TTTAAAAAATAACATCTTATCTAAAGCATTCAAAAATAATACGTTTCTAAATATTGTAATATTTAGTTATATCCATATATAATTAGTAAATATTTTTATAATTCTATATTAATTAAACTTTTTTTCTTTATATCAATATTAAAAGCAATTTAACTCACGATTAGATCTAACATGCGTAAATGGAATACAACACGTATAACCTAATATAAGTTTGTCATCTAACATATCGTCTAGATACAGCATCTGTAATTTGATATTCAACTAACAACAGTTTCGTTATCGGGGATTTATCACTCTGAAAACTTGTTGTCAAACGATTAGGATCTTATGTACTGTTGACATTAAGCACATGATATACTTAAAATCTTTACATTATAAAGTGGTTATTATAGCAGATAAAAATTCGTTGAAGTGTTGAATCGCTATTACTTCGAGTGCTTAAGAAATCTGGCGACGATAAGGAAAAATTCAGAATAAACGGAACTACGTATATTGACGAAAATATCAGTAATAATATCTTTCTCTTTCCTTCTCTAAAAGCATGTAAACTGTACGATATCGGACGCGATCGCTAACGGGCATGTGTAACCTCTTCGCTAAAGTAAAAGAAAGAGTAGCAAAGAGGAACAAAGAGGAAAGAAGGAATGCGGCCGCTACCGCCTTTGCGGCCACTGCTGTCGCTATTGCTGCTGTCGCCTTGCTACTTGTCATTAGACAATACCAAAGGAAACAATCAAAAGAGAAAAGAAGAATGGTGGCAAGTCTTCTTCTGAGACACTGTAGCTACTCTAGCGACTGTTACAAATACGAACGGCCGCCATTCAACATACTGAAAATACCGAAGCGAAACGAAGAAAGTATAAACACGCGATCTCTGTTTTCAAGGAAGCCGTTTCCTCTTCATCCAGCTTTCTTCCCTTCTACCGACTAACTATACACACACTATCTTTCCCGTTGGGCGTATTTATAAGAAATATTTGCTCAGCGTGGATATACTTTGTTTTTACGTACAAACCATCCTTTAAAGTTAAAAGTCACCCAACAAACTGTCATGTGCCGCAAGTTTATTATTTCCAAACACACATATTCAATTAATAGTGTAATTATATAATTATATACATTACATATCTATTATTATTAATTTTAATTAATTAATTATTATATTGTAACGCTAATTTTGCCATATATGCCAGTTAAAAAACAATTTAAGCTCTAAATCGATAAAATATTTTTAAATAAAAATAATAATAATAATTATTAATTGTCATTGTACAATATATAATATCGTGTATCGACTTTAAAAACATCATACATAAGTATATCAATTTGTTTGAAATAAACTAAAACTTTATGTGTTATTACAACATTATATCAATCGGACATTATAAAGTTATGCACCAAAAAGGAACGATTAATCAAATAAAAAGATGGTGTCATGATATATCAACAAAATTTTAATAAAAAATTAAACATAAATTTTGTTTTAATAGGTCCTTTGACATATTTATTAAAAAAGCAAGTAGCACACTGTTTACATCGTAGACTGCTCGTAAACAGGTCAAGTGCAAGCAAGAATGACAGAGAGACAGTCGTCATATAGAACGAATAATGAAACTGAAAATTGCAGATTAGAATAATTTGACATTTGGACAAAAGAAACAAATTTTCGAAAGATATGAAAAGACACAATAACATTGCGTATTCATACGATCGACCGGAATGTATTAATAATACTAAAACTGCTTCTCACTTGAGAAGTTTTATACCCACAAAAAGACTGTACTTTATTCAAGTAAAGATAGGTATATCTCATCCAAATGAAATTAACAGTATACGTATGTACAAATAAAAAAGTTTCACTTGAAGTATATGCTGGATTTGTTTGGTTAGATGTGACGCGACGCTAATGAATCTGCTATATTTGAGAATATATGATGATTTCATACGTTTCCATTTGAAATGATTAAGCACAACGACCTAGTAGCAGAAGAAAACTAGACCTCGTGTCTGTCCAAGTTTTCGCTAGACAGTTTCGAAAGGACGCGCTTGACAACGAGTTCTATTCACGCCACTAGGTCACCGAGAAAACTTGCTACGTAGTGTTCGAAATAGATCTCTCGGACACGATTGCAATACGGTTAAGCCATCATGAACCATGCACCGTGATGAACAACATTGTATACAAATTCCAGATCTACATCCTGCATGTGTTATGATTGTTGCGACATGTTTACATACTCTTGTATTTTCTGCCGGATTCTCGCTACATTTCGTATTACATGTCTCTCCCTGTTTTATTAATTGAAAGTTTAACTTCCAATAGAAACTTTTCCATACGTTACGACTCGTATTGAAAAGACTGATTACAACGTAACAGAAGGCTAGATGCGCGCGATCTATACTTTCATCGTTGGACATCGTGCATCAATGTACAAATATCAAAATCATATATATTTCCAATTTAATTTTAATTTATTACTGCGAACAACTAAATAATGCGGTTCGATTAACATAATAACTATACATGTATAATAAATATAATTTGTCATTTAATTATCTAATATAATCTTCATAAGATATATAAAATTTAATCAATACAAGGAATAGAAAGCAAAATAATATCAAGAAAAGAATAATTCAATTTTGAGCGTTAAACGATGAAATTTTATAATGTAATAACTAAATCGAAGACGAGAAGAATAAAATGAATTTCTTTGCATCAACAGGACTATATCCTCGTAGGAATGCGCGAGATCAGAGAGCTTTCGCAAAACCGGTTCTTGTCGTAAACGTCATTTGACACATTTCCTGTGAAACAGTATAGATGACTCGAATGCACATACACTTTAAATAATTTTCAAACAAATGAAAAATCACAGAGAAACTTTCAGCTGGTTTTTCATATACTTAATAAAAAATAATGAAAAATTTATATAAGTATACATGTATTTGTCATAGCTATTAAAATAATACGTTTAACGTAAAAATAAAAATGATGAAAATAATTTTTTTATATGTAAGTTACATATTATAAAACAATTATCAATTATTTACAAAATAAGAGTCACTGTCATTTTGCAAAGTTATTTTTCATAACATCTAATCATCATTTATGTTAAATATATACGAATATTAAAAATGTTAATGTATGTAATTATAGAATAAAAATAAAGCATGTTAAAGTTTTAATAGATATAATAGATTAACTTCAAATAGATATAAAATGTCTATTTGGATTTACAGTAACTTAATGCTACAACTTGTATGATATTTACCCTTTTGGAAGCTAAACGCTTACATTAAGTATAATCTTAGCTCTGAGTCACGATAGAAAAATCATTTTATATCTTGTCTGTTAGATCATTCAATTTGAATCATTCGAGAACAGGCTTACATATGCATAAAAAAAATACGTCAATGTACGTAATATAAAACATCTTTCGAAAATCTGTATTTCATAAAATAATATTTGATAATCAAGAAATATTATTTCTGAAACACGTGTTTTATTAAATTTTCAAGCAAGATAAATTAATTTATAGAAAAATTAAATAATAATTTAATTATATATGCAAAAAATATACATTTGTAAACAAATATTATCATCCTCACATCACATAATTTATATGCACATTGTCTGTGCTTCTACGTAAAATAGATATTGAATAATACTTTCATAAATCACGTTTTTACAATTCGAAAAGAAGTGAAAAATATAGTGTAGCAAGCTTTGATTTAATAACTTTAAAAAATAAGCTCGTAAAACGAAATGACAATTAAACATTATTATTTGGCAATTAAACATTAATCGTGTATCTGGACAACGAAATTGACGTTTGCAAACTGATCGATTTGATTCTTACATTGAATATCATGCGAAATTACGCATAAAAAATCATAAGAATTTAAAAAGATATTAAAAATAGGAAATATTCATAATTCACGCAGGCTGGATATTTTTTAAATTTTCTGCAATCGGTATGTTATATCGGTATGTATCCTCTTTGAATCGTTGATTTTTATCTGTAAACTTTTCTTATTTCTTAACGACATCATGCTCAAGACGAATAACAATAAACAAGACAAATTTAATGTACGATATATTAATCGATTGATTTTATGTAACGTTTTACGAAATAAGTGTTTTACCCAAGGAAAAAAAACTGAAAGTATAGTAAACGCGCTGCTGAGTCTGCATGTGTGCATATACGCACGCACAAGAGTATTCTAAAAATAGAGAGTGAAAACTATTCTCCAGAATAGTTGATACGAATGAAGCAGATCATCGAGAAAACCTATATTAACGAATATAGGAGTGCGAATATAAAACACAAGGAAAAAATCGTACAGTACAAGCTTTTTATATATAGTTCGTAATATTAATAAATTTGTACGATTGATTTTCAGAGTGACAGTCTCCCCTCCTCTTAGCCCTCCCACTCATTTGGGCTAAGCCAACCGTGTAGACTAAATTGAATTGTGTCAAAATTAGTGGGTAGAATCGATCAGTTATGTATGTAGATCATAAATCACATGAAATTGTAAGTTACTTTGGCCAACTTACATTGAATAAGTTAATTTCCTGTTCTTCTCGCTCCGGCGTAGAAAATTGGAAAAATAAAGTGAACGGCAGGCTCGAAGACACGAAGAGCAGACTGGGACGCGTAACACGTGACACACGATCGAGATACGATGTTTGCGAGCAGTTCGTTGCCGATTATGGCAAACTACGAGGCAATAAGAACCGGTATCTCATGGTATGAGCAGCGTTCCCCGACGTTGCGTATTTTTTTCGCGTGCGCGAATGCTGTAGCGAAATCCGTAAGATCTCGGAAACTATGGCGAAAGTTTCACAGGCATGTAGAACACGCTTGGTCCGAGCTCCAAGTATGAATCGCTGTGGGCGTTAATCATGCAAACCAAAGTAAGGCGTGTCGCGAGTGAAATGATGCATTACCGAAGGTATACAAGAAGATATTAGTGGATTAATGGTTGCTTACCTTCGTCTAGTAGGCGCTCTACATGTATGAAGACATTAGGGAAAGCAGCTAACTGCTTTCGATCTTTTAGTAACTGTGACAGGTAGTCCGCTATACTCTGCGTCGTCGTGTTAGTATTATCACACATTGCAATTACTTGATTACTCCTATGGCGGTCACGCGAAAATAGAAAAAGATACGAAAACAAAAAAGAAAAGGTATTGCAAAGAAAGGGAAACGGAAAGAAAAAGTGATCGTTAAACGTAAACGAGCAAGACGACAGACGACGTTGCGATTAAGATCCAAAACAACAGCAGTTCCTTTCACGTTCGGTTTTGCACAAAGTTAACGCTGATTTTTTCCGTTATCCACTATTATATCACTTTGCTTTCTTATTTTTCGCACAATTATCTCGTAATTAATATAACTCGCTGTTCGTACGTCGCGCCTCCTCACTCGTGGTTTCTCTGGCGCGCTCCTCGCATACGTCGCCACGATTGCGTTACGTTTTTAGAAATAGCGGAGTCAGTATACTATGTATAAGGAGAAGACGGAGGAGGAAAACAAGGAGGACGAGGAGGACGAGGTGGAGGAGGAAAAGGAGGATAAGGAGGAGGGGGAGAGAAGTATGTAAGAGCGACAGAAACAGGGAGGATAGGAGAGGGAGTACGAGAGAGAAAGAAAGAGAACAAGACAGAAGAGACGGAGGAGAAAGGAGGGATAAAAGGAGAAGGAGAAGGAGAAGGAGAAGGAGAAGGAAAGGAGAGGAAGAGAGAAGGGGAAAAGAAAAAGAAAGAAAGAGAAGGGAAGGAGAAAAAGGGAAAAGAGATAGAGGAAGGGAAAGGCAGGAAAATTAGACACTGAGAGAAAGAGAGAGAGGAGAAAGAGAGAGGGGGAGAAAGAAAGAGAGAGGGAGAATACAGCCTCTCTCACGAGTTGGAGTCTGTTAAGGTTAAAAAGTTAGATCGTAGATCGCGAAATTAAAAACAAACACACGCTACGGGACTCTCGGCTCTACTGCACTATCCGTGCATGTGCCGCGGCGAACTACCCGTAGATTCCTGAAGTTTGGACGCATGCGCAGCATTTGTTTTGCGCATGCGTTTTCAGCGTATTGGTCTTGCGTACCTCTATCAGCACGCTTCTACCGCCCACTACCATATACGGCCTCTGCGTACGCGCGAGTACTGAAGTACGCGCCATACCATCATCGCATACAAGTTGGATAATTCAGGGCTGTAAACATCTACCACCGTGCCCCTGCACCTTACAATCTTTGTAATTCATGAGTCGGCTACCGTTTCGTGAAATTCTTTTTGTTAACGGAACATCACGAAACATATTTATTCGTATATCCTGCCGTTGTGTGTGGGACTACTGGGCGGACAGACTCAAGGACATGGATCTATACATGACCAATCTATTGAATACATTTTATTCGCTTAATTACAATATTTGGAGAAAACTTATTCTCTTCGAATATTTTTATTCGCCAACTTCGTTCCTCGACTTCATGAATACACTTTCATTTATTTCTGACTTGCTATATGTGACTTGTTTTTCTAAATTCAATAAAATTAGCTGATCATCTAACGAAACACGCGTAATGCTTTAAATAAACCACAAGTTAAATATAGATTTCGACTTTAACTCGATATTTTAGAGTCAGCTGAAAATTATTTTGTACGTAAACTTTCGAGACGACAAATTGCATCAAAGTCTCAATATAATTAATATAGCATCTGTCACAAATATATTGTAGATAATGTAGGAATTATTAATATGTCTTTAATAATATTTATTTACAAATTAAATAATAAAAAATTAATTATATATCATATTCTTAATATATTACTAATGTATGTAAAAATCTAATTTCAACTTATCAAAATATGACTTCTTTATAAATTTTATAAATTTACTTTATTTTAAAAAATAAAAATATCATTTTTAAATATAAAAATTTGAAAAGAAAAAACTTTTGCACTTACTTCTAGAAAGATTAAACAATTTGAACTAAAAATTATTTTCGATATTAAATAAAAAATTTCAAATATATATTACCCATATTATACCTTATTGTAAATTTAAAGAAGGTACAAAATTTTATTAATTTTTAAAAATATTTTGCATGAACATAATTTAAAAAAGAAGAAAGTTTCAAAACATATGAAAATTTTTAAAAAATACTTCAATATTTAATTGAACATATAGCATAAATGTATAATTTATTTTAAAACTTTTCCGATTATAATATTTTAATATAAAGTATCAACGCATTCGACTACATTATGATATTGAAGCAGTATACTTTAGAATGTATAATTAATCCTTCTACCTACTTTCAATTTGCAGCCATGCACTGTATCGTAGATTCGAACTACGCATTAATTGATATTGCACAGAAGATATGACACCGATTAACATGACTATATTTTCTGAAAATATAAGTTTTTAATATATAAAAGCCATTTTAAAAATTCTGTCGACGATACTATTTTAATAAAAAAAAAGTGATTTTAAATTTATTAATCGTAACATAAATTTCTTCAATTAACAATTGTAATATATGTATATTATTACTGTATATTATTATACACTAATCTAAATTTGTAAGTGACACAAACATATCTTTTTATAATGTATTTTAATAATATATTATGATAAATAGCACAAATTTCTTGATAAGTGTAATTCTTACTATAATAATCATAAATGCATTACTGCTTGAGAATGATATATTTTAAATGACAAATATATTTGTTATAATTGAACATTAATGTGTATAAAAATATCGAGCAAATTAATTTCTTAAAAATCTATCAATAATTTTTTATTTGTAAACTGAAAATAATAATAGAATAATTTTCTACCTATTTTGAACTATAATACGTTTTTAAGTGGACGAGCAATTGTATTAGGTTATCCAAAAACAAAAAAGCATAAAAAAATAATACATAATATAAATAAGAAATATTATATGATATACAAAAAAGAAAACTTTATATTTATATGATAAATATTACAAAATTATCAAATATAAATCATAAAATATGCATTTTTAAAGCACTAAAATACTTGTAACATATGATGTATGTATATACACTTGAAAGAAAAGGCACAAGGAAAAAATAATTCGAAAAATTACTACTGTTGTATGCAACTGGGGTCGCGTTCAAACTGTATGGATTATCCTTTTTAGACTTGTAAATCCCAAGTTAATCACATTGGTGAGTAATTCTTTCATGACTAATTGCCCATTAAATTAATATTAAGCAACCAACTCAAATGGATTAGTCCTAAACGATGGAATGTATTATGGTGACTTTGATCGACCGTCTTCGAAATACGAATTCAATTTACTTTAAAAAAATTTTAAATTCGTTCTTTTCAAACGACTACTGTTGAAGATCGATTCGAATATTTTTTATAATTCAAATACAAAATAATTGTAAGTTATTCTATAGTAAATGTTTGAATACTTTCATGGCCATTATAGGTTTAAACCTTAACGTTGATCTTTTAAAGATATTCCCAGCATGAGAAGTGTGTATATATTAAATTGTTTTCATAAAATACTGGGATTTTTCAATTAGTATACTTTGAAGATATCGCGTATTAAGATATGCAATTGCGTGCACCCTAGTATATCTTAATGGAAAGAGGGTTGGACGTGAAGCTTTCGACAACAATTATGCAAGGTCGTGTAATTTTCCTCTAGATCTGGCCCTCACGTGGACCGTTATGCAGTGTTAATTAATTGACCCTTTGGAAACACCAGTTTATAACACCTATGGCTATTGAGTACGATAAATATGAAAATTCTAAAATATATTATAATAAACAGGGTATGACATTGTTTGTAATATACCAATATCTTGACTCAAAAATAGCTTCTTGTCTTCGAAAATGTATCATAAACTTGCCAACAAAAATCTTCAAAATTTTGATTTATATAAGTGTTTTCCTCCCACTCCTTGTAGAATAAAATTATTGAAATAAATATATACGAAATTCTTTGTTATTTTACATTATTTATAATAAAAATTTCTGCTTTACTGTACATTAATAATAAAGTAATATATGAATACCATTGTTTTATTCCAAAACTATAGTAATATATGAATACCATTGTTTTATTCCAAAACTATAAATTGGACATGCTGATTCAATGAATTCACAAATGAAATTACACAATTTTAGAGTGGTTAAATTAGAAAACCATTTATCAAATGGACTGTTGAAATTATGGATTAATTAATCATTAAGTAATTAATGATTGCCAATGTGAAATACATAAGCTATACCAATGTCTAGAAAGAATACATGTTACACACTTTATCTCTTGATATTTTCCAAACTTAATTATTAATATTATATATCTACAAACTTTTATATCAGATGTAAGAATAAATTTATTATAAATAGGCAGTCGTTAATTGTCAAAAAGAATTAACGGAATGTCATTATTTGTTATTCAGGAAAGATTAACAGTAATTCTCAGTAATTGTATTTTTTTAAGTTCTAATTTAATATTAACCACTTAAGCTTTATGAACGAGAGTAGTTGAGTATAGTAATTCTTATATTGACAAGACAAATAAGAAAATAGCAATCAAGCAATAATAAAAAATAACGTTTTTTAGGAGCATTTCTAGTAATAACAAATTCTTTCTACAGTTGTAATAAAAAAATGACTTTACGACTTTAGATAATACCACAAAAATAAAATATCGCAATTTGAAACCGTTTAAACGCGAGTAATTTTACAAATAGTAATTTATAAAGATGAGGTACAAAAACAACGATCGATTACAAAGTCTGTCGCCTTAGTGTTCTCCCACGAATGTTACCTTTTGCGCCATGTCCAACACGCCTACACACATGTATTGGTTAATATAAAGTAACGTTGACGTCATACAGCATGTGCCATACATGGTCCTACTGAGAAATAGCGTGGGTGTTATACATTATAAAGTATCTCTTGTCATTTCTCACTGATCAGTAGATACTTTCTAATTCTTTTTTTCTTCTTTTCTTTTTTTTTATAAAAAATGAAAAGTAATTCAACCAATTGGAAGATATACTGTTCGATTTATAATATGCACTAACTTTATATATTGTCACATTCTAATGATCTTTCGTTATTTTTAAATTAATAAATTAGTATCAATAAATATTACATATGAAGTGAAATATCATATATACTACAATATAAATATAAGTATTACAATATGAAGTATTTTCAATTTTTGTTCTAGGATACATTCAACATATTATAAGATAATTAGTCAACATACTAATCATCTTTCTTTTACAAAAATATAAAATAAAGAAAATAAATATAATTATCAATTTTCTAGTATGAAATAAATTCTTGTAGGATGAATCAAATTTTGTCTCAAATAAATTAATTTTCTTTTAAACTTATTTCCATTCATCATAGCTATAAAAATATTTAATATGTCACTTATTCCAGGAAATAAGTATTCATATATGTTTTCTTTATAAATTTTATAATTTCTTTATGAATTTATACAAATCTTGCATTTTGTACAATATATAATTTTCGATTCAGTACTATTTCTTCATCAAAATCACCTAAACTGTATTTTATATTTTATATAAACAATAAAAACAATAAACTTAAAATTTAGATCTTGATTTAAACTTAGAATCGTAACCATGCCCACCTAATCTTTTTCGTGGCCGTGAATTTTTACTTACTCCCACTTCTATGATAATATTAAGGAAAAAATATTTCTGTGATATTAATGATATAAAAACAAAATAATTAAGAAAAAAAAACAATAAATAAAAGATGCACTATACATTCTAAAAATGAAGATGGAACACAATAAAAGTTTAATTTTCTGTATAATGTATATGTAGTAAGAAATATATGCATTATACAAAAATTAAATAAAAGTAAGTAACATTAAATATTAAAACATCAAATAGTAATAAATTTTCAATAAGAGAATATAGCATCAAAAAAGGATACTCAAATCTATAGCTGGTGGAACCAAAAATCCAAAAGATTTTGCAATCTTTGCTAAGTCCAAGGTTTCAATATCAAAAATTTGTTTCAAGTGATGAGAATCATATGCTCTCACATATGCTTTGAAAGCTTCTTTTGCTGACATATTTAAAAAATAATTCTTCGAAACTAATTTTTCAAGCTACACAAAACATTAATATAACATTACATGTATTAACATAATTAATACAAAACATTAATATGATAACAAAAGGAATTTAATTATTTCAATGTATCAACAGAAATATTGTATTTACCTGTAATTGAATGTCAGCAATTTTATTCCATGAAAAATCAAATTCGTTCACAGGTACTCTAGCCTGTTTAAGGTAACGAAGAAAACCAAGTTCTTCAGGCCTTAAAATTAATAAAGCATGACCACTACTACCTTCTCCTCGAGCTGTTCTACCAACACGATGAATATATTCCTAAGATAAATAAAATAAATAATTCCTAAAATAACTATTATATTCACTATTAATATAAATTTAGCAATTTTTGCATTCTATTACATTTGAATTATACAGTATATTAGGATATATATATATAATCTAATTTAAAAGTTATATGTTATAAAAAATTTACCTTAGGATCATCTGGAGGATCATATTGTACAATCCAATCAACAGCTGGTATATCAAGACCACGTGCAGCTACATCAGTACAGAGGAGTATACCAGAAGATGCATTGCAAAATTGGAAAAATGTTGTTGTTCTCTTAGTCTGTTTTTGTTTTCCCTATTAATTAAAGATATGTGATAAAAATGTTACATTCAAAGTAATTACAAACTTTTCACACTATAGACCATACATGTATACTTAATACTGGTAAATCAATGTAATTTAAAAGTTCGTGATGGTATTTGACTGACATACACGAACTGAAGAAAACCATAACTTTTTTCTTTCTATTCTTCTTTAAAAAAGTAAATAAAAGTAAAAATCTCTTTTCACTGGGACATACAACATAACCTTGTTCTAAACCTTCTACTGTTGCCTTTTCCTTATCATCATCAACACCAACATAAACTGGTTCTTTCTTTAAAGCCAAAGTTGTCAACATTTCTGTTTTCTTGGTTTGTGTTGCACTGAATAACATTGTTTGTCTTTTTTCTATAAGAAAATATATAGCAATTAAATATTTCTTATTATTATTATTTGTATTAAAAATATAAAACATGTTACACTAACTTGGTAAAATGTTAATAATCTGTTTAAGTTCTTCTTCAAAACCAATGTCTAAAATACGATCAGCTTCATCAATTATTAGACACTGAAGATTTTTATATAAAAAATCTGCTGTATTTTGTAGATGATCCAATAATCTACCAGGTGTAGCTACAATAATATTAATTCCTTTTGCAAGTTTTTGAGCTTCAGTTTGTCTATTAGCACCTCCCATTAATAAACCATATGTATGGTAATGATATTTCATTAATTCTTTTAAAACTCCAAAAGTTTGCATAGATAATTCTCGTGTTGGAGATATAATAATACAACCAGTACCTACAAATAATAATATAATAAAATACTTGCATTCAACACATCTATGTCATTAACATACCATTACGAGGCATAAATTTTAATTTATAAATTAATTCAACAGCTGGTATTAAAAATGCTAGAGTTTTCCCAGATCCGGTTTTTGCAGAACCAACTAAATCTCTTCCTTCTAATAAAGGGGGAATAGCTTTTGCTTGTATTTCCGTCATGTTTGTAAAACCCATATCTTCTATTCCTTTCAATGTATTTTCACAAACTATTTCTTTTAATATTTTAAAACTTGTATCATTTGCTACTTTTAAACCCATTGCAGATCCAGGTACTATAAAATAACAATAAATGTTAAAAACTTTTAAACCCATTGCAGGTCCAGGTACTACAAAATAACAATAAATGTTAAAAACGAATGAATAAATTAAAAGAAAAATTGGAAATTTTAAAGAAGTAAAACAAAAAAGAAAAATTTCATACTTTTAATACTATACATATGACATACGTCATCATTAGTGAATGATTGTTTTGAAATTTGCAATGAACAAAAGATGAATGAAATTTGGTTACTGTACTTACAATCTGCAACTGTATTGCTAATATTATTTTCTTCTGATATTTGATCATTTTCGATTTTCTTTCTTTTTTCTGTAACACAACATAATTATATATTACAAGGCAAATATAATTTACTAAATTTTACTACAAAGCAATTTTGATAATTATTAAAATATAAATGAATTAATAATAATAAAAGATATAATATAAATTATAAGCTTTAACTTACTTTTTACTGACATATTTTTTTCTATATGATGTCGTTTTAGTCCATTTACTGTATCATTTTCTTGACTGTCATTTTCTATATCCTCACTTATGGTTTCATCTACCATAATATAATAAATTAACAGTTAATGCCAATAATTTCATATAAAAATAGGTTATAATACAACAATAATCAATGTTACGATTACATTTACCATTTTGTATTTGCTTTTCTCGTTCTTTTAGTACTTCAAACTTCTTTTTTTCTTTCTTCTTAATTTTTCGCATCAACACTTTATCAGGTATTGACATATTTAATAAACTTAAAAAGGTTTATATCAAAACAACACAGTTAAGACACGTTTTACCCATGTGGTAAACTGAAAATTGATGGCTGTTCGCACATAAACGATATACTTATACGAAATGTTTCAAATACCTTTCTGGAACAACCAATTGCAATTCAGTATTATTAGAAAGGTAATATGTATCTAAGTCCCTAGGTTAGAACCAATTAAAATAGCTGAAAGAGAATCAACAGTTAGGCCTCGAAAATAAAACAAAATTTTATAGAAAAAAATTATTTGTATTTTATTATGGATCATAACGTATATAAACAGATATTAATGATTATAGAGATTAATTGCTCAAAAGAAGGTAGGAGAATGATTGGTTATTTCTAACAAAACTAAGTTAATCATAACTTCTCTTATACTTCTATACTGCTTGAAAAATCTTTTTAGCTTATAGGTATACATTCATTTATATATCAGGCAGAAAATATCATCCTTTAAAAAAATGTAAATGTAAGACTAATGGTTCTATCGCCGATCGAAATGAAATGTGGAGATTATTCTAAAGCGTATTAGGAAACTCCAAATAAAATCATAACTTCGGAAATTCTCTTATTCGGAAGATATAGATCTTACAATTTTATAAAAGACAAAGTCTTTCATAAAAGATATGAAAGACAAAGAAGGATAGGACTACAGTAGGTTTCCATAAAATTGCATTTTCCGAACGGGTGAATCCCCAAAGCTAAGATTTTATACATTGCTCACAAAAATTAGGGGATATTTCAAAATGAATATGAAGTGATAAAAAAATTTCTTATATTCTTATTTAATAAAAAAAATCAAATGCTTCTTTTTTTATCACTTCATATTCATTTTGAAATATCCCATAATTTGCGAGCAGTATATTTGAGATACACATTTCATACAAATTTCATTAACGATTCATGTCATTCGAAGATCATTCGAAAGGTTTTTTTAATGCAATTATAGCGATATTTAACACTCAGTGAATTTAATTGCTTTTCATAATTAATAATCAAATATTGATGATTGATACCATTAAATTATCACAGGAATGAAGCATATTTTCACAGTATTTTTTATACCTTACGTATTATATTAATTAAAATAATATAGCAATAATTTTTATATAAATAACAATAATCTATCGTTGTTGTCGATTAATAAACAAATATTATGTGGTAAAAAATATTATGAAGTTATGATGAAGTTTTGCAAATAAAAAATTTAAATGTTTCATTAAATATGTACTGAAAGTATTAGCATATATAAAATTATACACTTTATACTCCAGGCCAACATTAAAACCTTGAGAAACAGGAAAAGTGAAAGGTATTTGCAGTAACAGGTATTCATGAAATGTCAGTATAGTCCCAGGCCCAGATTCGTTGTGAACATTATACAACACTTTATTAAATTATAGACTGTGGTCTTCTTTGAGTGAGTATTATTTTTATAAAATTTATGATGTTCCACATTATTTTGATTTTTTATTTTTATATATAAATATAACAAGAATATAATCAAGAGAATTATAACAAGACTTCATTTGAAAAAGATAAAATAATATTAACTTTTTGTTTAAGAATTTCATAAATTTTGTTTGTTAAATAGATAAGAAATTAATTAGGAAATTAAATGTGGAATTAAATATTATTTTTAAGATTATTATATTACAATAATATATTATTATATGATTTTACATAAAAAAAATACAATAAAAATGAGGAATGACTGTTTTATAATAATTATCATTATAAAAACAATAAATAGGATAAGAAACTCAAATTTTATTTCCATGTCTAATTTCCGTAATCCCACAATCCATTCAGTCAATTTGAATCTGAACTCTATTATATCTATTATATCTGAACTCTATTACAAAAACTTGTTTACGTCTATTATATGAACGTCAATACAGATTGGTCTTCAATAAGAATTAGCAGTTGAATATCTATGTTATTTTTGCAAACGTATGATAAGTTTATTAATAAAAGCTGTTCAACGCAGAGGGGGGTATAATACGGTAGTATTATATTTTTGTAGATGGAAGAGTTTCAGAGATTTCAAGGTCATTTCCATTTTTTCAAATATAATAAGATATATTTTTTATCCATTAATCGATACAACTCTACATTCTTTATATGTCGAGAAATTATTAATTTAGTTAATATTTTAACTTTAATTTCATAAAATCAACATTTAAATAGATAAAATGCGATTATGAAATTTTGTTTAATTTTTTTCCCACCAGAACTAAAGAGATTTATCCCAATGTTTCGTTAATATTACCATTTCATTGAGAATCAAAAGACTCATTATAAAGTCAGTTCAGATGATGCAATTTTTTGACCGATAATTTTGCCAAGATTACTAATCTGTTATCTACATATATGATACAATATGTCCCTCAGCCTTAGAGTTGCGATATCAACGAAATATCGCATATAGTGAAACAGTTCTTTTTGATCACGGCTTATACTCGGAAATTTTATGTATTAATAATAAATATATTACTAATAAAAATTATAGAAATAAACTATTGTACAATAGCATTTTTTTATGTTTATTGTAAATTAAATATCCTTCCTTTTAGGTCAATAATGAAACTCTACAGCGTTGTCGATGGTCCACCATCTCTTGCCTGCCGCCAAGCTTTAAAAGCTTTAAATATTCAGTACGAATTAGTGGACGTGAATTTTAATAAAGGAGAACACATGACAAGTGAATATGCACAAGTAAATACGTTTATATCAGTGGCATACTTATTATTAATTTATCATATTTTATAAATTTAAAATCTACTTGCAACATTAATATATTTTTTAATACATATAATCACTTTTCTAGTTAAATCCACAAAAAGAGATACCTGTATTAGTCGACGATGATCTTATAATGGGAGAAAGGTATGAATTTACTTAAAACATGAATTATTTTATTTACTTTAATATAGAAAAGAACTTTGATTAAGAGGATTGTTCTCATGTAAATTAAAATAATATTATATCTATTAATAATAGATATAATAATCTTTTATAACTTACAAATATTAAAATAATAAGTAAATTTCTTTTTGCTTCAATACACGTAATATTAGTAATGCCATTTTACAATATCTTGGAGACAAATATGACACAACCGGAAAGTTCTACCCGAAGGAACCAAAAGCCAGGGCAATAGTTAATCATCGATTGTGCTTTAATTTGGCTATGTACTATCGTAATATTGCTGAATATGTGGTGGGTATAATAAATACAATATTAAATTATGTATATGTAAAATTTATACAATTTAATCTATATAAAAGTTCTAACAAATTATTATAAAGAATAAAAAAATGTGAACATCCGAAAAATAAATTTTTGAAAATATTATAAATATAATTGTATTAAAAATATGTAGTTCATCGCCAATTACTGTATAACATGTTTGAACAAATTTTTACTTTATTTTAAAATATTTGTACAGGTGGCTCCTATGTTTTATGATTATAAAAGAACCCCTCTGGGTTTAAAGAAAATGACAATAGCATTAGATGTTTTTAACACATATTTACAACGTGAGAATACAGAATATGCTGCGAGTAGTAAGTACCCTGAGTTTTAGTATGAAAGTTTTCTATAAGCTACAAAGATTATTATAACAGTTACAGAAACTTGTTGTGAAATTGTTAAGTTATACAAAAAATTTAATCGACATGCAAGATTTAATTGTCTTAAAAACGAATTGAATGTTTTTTAATAATATTATATTATATATATATATCTTATAAAAAGAAATACTTTTATATTCTTCACTTCATATCACTTGTATTGTTACATAATTTAATTGTTACATATACTTAACAGATACGCTGACTATTGCCGATTTCCCTTTAATTACTGCAACCATGTGTCTAGAAGCGATCGATTTTAAATTAAATGCATGGCCTTATGTAGAAAAATGGTACAATAATTTTAAACGGAAACATCCACAGTTATGGGAAATCGCTGAAGGAGGTATGCAAATACTTAGTGATTGTGAGAAGAATCCGCCTGAAGTATCTATGGACCAGCATCCGATCCACCCACTTCGCAAAAATAAGTAGTTTTATGCTAATTGCAAGTATAATTATTGAGTATAACAGATCTATGTGAAATACTAAAATATTTGCAACTATTTCTAAAATTAGATATTAATATCACTATGTTCTAATAAATTAAACATTTTTATTGACATAACGTGATAGTTGTAATTCTTTGAATATTAATTTTAAATTAACTAAAGTTATGATGTATATACATATATGTATATAAATAAATTAACTATTATCTAACAATTATATATATTTTTTTATGTAAGTACAACGTTTAATGATTTGTATAATTGACCATATGCGTCATAGAGTTAGAAAGTATTCTATTTGAGCTAAATGTATAATGTATAATATGGAAATAAACAAGTAACAATGACAACAATCCCTTATACATTTGTACATGTTTGTTGATAATTGTAACTATAATGATAGTTATAATGATTTTTATAACATTGTTATAAAAATAACACTTTTAATAAATCAAAATATAAAGATTGAGTATTTCGGAACATCTTGCACAAATCATGCATTCTTACCTACAATACTGAAATTGGACAATGAATCAATTATTTCAAGTACGAAAATAAGTTTTTACAAATTCTTGTACTCATAGTACAGAATATACATCAATTGAAATATACATATAATTTAACTTTTCTTCATTTATTACCTTAAGCATTATTATATTCTCTTACATACTCACAAAATAAGTTGATAATAACACAAAGTTTTTCTTTTACAATGAATTTATGTCACATTAAAATTTGAAAACAATATAAGAACATTGTTTAAACTTCATCAAAATGTAATATATACTGCTACATATACTGCTACATTAATATTATAACTATATACTGTTTTACAACAGAGATTTAATTATTTAAAAGACGAAAAATGTGATAAAAATGCGATTTAAGTTGATTTGTTATAAAAGTTTAAAAATTTTCCAAATTTATAGATTTTACTTTAGTTTAACAAAATGAAATATTTCAGGAAATGGATGTTAATAGAATTGTAATGTACAATGTAATAAATAACAAGTGATAATACATACTAGTAGTCATCTGACATATATCAGTTTAAGTACATATATTCATAATTGTATGCTGATCCTAAATAAAATTACAGTTATATGATAAAATACAAAGTTATGTGGCTTTTTATTTCTAGTCATATAGCAATTCTTATATGGAAGTAAAATTCAAATATATCCATACTACAAATTGACTGACTAACTGATATATTATACATAATGTATGCATAATTTAATTGAGCGAATATTCTAATTTCTTACTGTGTAAAAGAAAAATTGGCAATACTATTTGTTGATAAGAACACTTTGATAAAGAATTTTGATAATTCTTTTTATATTTTACTTAGTCAATTAAGATTAAACCATTAAAATATTAAATTAGATAAGAAAATAACATTATACATACATATTGTATAATAAGATAACAACTTCATATAAGATAATTATAAACATCTAATTCAAAGAAAAACTCTTCTTGCCTATTTTATTCATTGCTATGATATTTGATTGTCTTTATAGTATACATATAAATCATGTATTTATAGATTAATGTTCTTTATAGTGTATTAATACTGATGGAAAAATTCTAGTAAAAAAATGAACTTGTTGTTTAAAAATAATTATATATTTAAAAATATTTAAAAGAATTTAATAAAGAAGAAGTAAAATATGTAAAAGAATTTGTGTTAAAGTTGAAGCAAGTATTTAACTTTGATAGAAACGATTTTTAACTACTTTATAGTACAGTCAGTAACAAATATAAATTAAAAATCACTTTTTGATATTTGACATATTATTTATAATCCGTAATTAAATTTAAATATATAAAGTAATAAAATCAAGAATATGAATTAAATTTAGTTACAAACGTATAATTATAATTGCTTCTCTAAATTTATTGGAAACATTTATTTGAAAAAATATGACGATAAACTTGGTTGCAGAAATTATGAATATTGTCTATCACTGTTATTTTTTTTCTTTTGATTATATTGTTTCAGCATGGATTAATAATAACATAATTGATAATAGATAAAGACTTTTTAACTCATTAAATGCAATTTAATTTAAATTTTCATTTTATATTTTATGCAAAAAAAAATAAAATTTCATCAAATTCAATTGTAAAATAGAAAAGAATGTAAGGTATAGAAACATTGCTTTATTTTCTCTTTCAAAATATGTATGTTTTAATGTTAGTACGTAAAATATAAAATTAAATTATTTATCCAATCATTATTAATAATATAGAAGTTTCATATTTATTAATAATATAGCAAATTTTATGAAAAAATATGAAGAAATTGAATAACTTTGATAATATTGGAAACAACAATTGCAAATAATAACTTTATATGGTACAATTTTTAATTAATATTGTTTCATATTCACAAAATGTATAATAAATCACTTCAACAAAATCTCTCATCAGTTTGGATCCATTCACTTATATTTATAACTTTTATTTTAAAATTTTTAATAAAAAACAAATATATAATATAATATAATATAATATAATATATATATATATATATATATATATATATATATATATATATATATATATTAAAAATAAATATATTTGTTTAAAAATTATTGAAAGAGAAAATTTAATAATTTTGCCCTTAAAAAATTATTCAACTTTTAAAATAGCACAAACTAAAATAATTATTTCAATCAAGAATATAAAAAAATTGAAGCAATTATAATTGCAAGACAAAATCTCTTCCGACCTTACTTTCGGCATTTGTTTTGGAACTTTTTAGATTAAAAGATTCTTGAAGGTCGACAAATAATTTCTTTGGCAAATCAATTCTATGTGTGATTGAAGCGATAGTACACCTAGTCACCGAACTCTTCCTGATGGTGAACGAAGATGTGATTTTATGTAACCAGTACGATAATCGATCACATCACGTTGTGTACCTCCTGATACACCGTGCCCATGTCTTCTACTCCACCTGCAATTAAATTTCAAATTAATTGAGTTGTTACTAGGTTTTCCGAACTAGCAATTTTTGTTTGCATGCAAATATTATACTTTTCTTTTTCTTTTGTTTCTCAGCATTTAAACGGTGAAATCGTAGAAATTTTCTACTAGAAAAGTATGTCAAGTAAAACATAATTCGGGCGAAAAATTCTTATACTAAATTATGTATAAATTGTAGAAAATTTCTACAGAAATAGCCTTAAATGTTTTAAAATTTGCGGACTGTGTATTTACTTGCAAAAAAGAAAGAAAAGAAAATGTCAATTTCTTTATATACATATGTATCTTAAAATAACAACAATAAATAATTGTACGTATCTAAAAATGTTATAAACTTTTTATTAAATGTATATCATTCTTAGAACTTACATTTTTTTCCTATTCAAAATCTGAGTAAAAATGCATAATCATTTTCTAGATAATTCATACACGATGAATTATATTTCCGCAAATTTTAATAATGTTTAATTATGAACTAAATTAAGAACAGAAAATTGTCACACGATATGTCAAGCAGCATGACATTAGTCACGATGCTTCATTCCATAAAATGATTCACAGAGAAATGAATATTACATATAAAGGAATAGGGCAAAGAAATGCTATAAAACAGAGTTATCTATTAGCTACGGGAGGAAGTTTCCAGTCATTCCTAAATGCAAGCATATTATATATATATATGTTCTAAGTAATAATTTTGATAAAAAACACAACCTAACAGAAACTAGCATTTCAAAATTAACAATGTATAATATGTACGAGGCATGAATAGCAAGTATAAGGGCATATATATATATATCATTGGATAAAATTCTAAAAGAAATTAATTTCAATTATCGATCATTCGAATTTACTATTATACAGAACGATTTTTATCTAACTCGACAACATTAATTACTTACAGTTTTTCATTGCATAATAATACCGACACATAAATTACGATTTTTTTGTCTGTTTCATTTTCCGAATAAAATTCCTAATTCTGAACTGTACGAACACACGAAAGAAATATTCAAAGCCAACTGAAAGACGAGTACACGAAAGCCAAAAATACCAAATATCATCACCTAAAAAATCAAGTTTCATTTCAAGTAATGTGTCAAACTACGTGTATACTAACAAATAAATATTAATTTGATAAATGAAACCACCGACAAATCTGTGTACAATATTCGAGGTTTCTCCCATGCAGATCTCGATACGGTGACAGGTGAAACGTGGGTGGTTTTCTGAGAACAAAAAAATGTATAAAAAGTTTGTCTAACTAATGTAAATCTGAACGTTGAAATTCACGCAGTATTTACCTTAACATTAAAATAAAACTTATTTGCTAAAACTCAATGATATGTAATTATGTGACAAGTATGATGGAAAATTGACTAAATGTTTTCTTCGTTTGAACAAAAGACTTATAATAATAGATTATAGATTAGAATACCTAAAAATTGATTGAATACCTAAAATAAGATATAAATAATTAACGAAAGTAGAAATAAAAATGAAAGAAATTAATTATATTTACACATAACATGACAATAGATAAATAATAGATAAATACAATAATTATTTAGTATCGCTCGATATATATAATACAACGAGCAGATTGCAAGTAATTTGAAGTTGTCAAGTTAAATGAGTTACACTCCATATTCAAAAAAGATGCATTTAACACACAAGGTGGAATATATTGACGTGATTACACAAAATATCTTTGATTTTCATTTTAACAATATGAAAAATTTCTTAAAGAAAAAGGTAGGATTTTTGGGAATATTATGATTGACAAATTATTGTTGTTATGATTATTTTTTTTAGACTTTGATATATATGTATGCTTTTCATAATTAAGTGCTTTTTTTTCATAATAGATGCTTTTCATAATTGAATAATTATTTAATTTTTTCGGTGAGAACAATATTTGTTAAATAGTAAAATAACACTTTCTTAATATGTTTTTACAAGTCTTTTTAATTTTAATAGATTTAATAATTATTAATTTTTAACTAAAACTATATTTTATATCTTTCACTATATTATGTTCTTAGTTCGTTACAACTCAAATGGCACAATTTATAAAATTCTTATCTACTGCAACGTAAGTTGATATTATATCTGTTTTCTCTGTATAAATGATCTATACACGTAGAATTACAAAATAATACAACCGAAAACATTACATCTAAGATTACATTACTTAAAAATTTAAGTTTATATAAAAATTTTATTCCACTTATTGAATTCTTATTTAGATCAATTAAAATATGAAAAATCAATAACTGATAAAATTTACAAAAATAATTTGTCAAGCATAATATCAAACTTCATGACTACACTTCTTCTTCAATCATTTTTCATATTTCTATGAATAACAAAGATATTTCGCGTGATCGTTAAAAGAAATATCCTTTCTATAATAATTAACAATACATAGTTCATATACATATAAAACATTAAATTATTGTCGACCTCACGTTTCATTTTAATCGTTTGAAATTCATTGTTTTGAAGAAATGATTTAAAAAATTTAAACATTAACACGATAATTTTAACAAGTAAATGTTGATCTCACCAAGAGTGACGTGACATTATCATGCCTGTATCTCACATTTAATTTTCTGTATAAAAAGTTATAGTAAACAACAGAGTCTACATTGAAAATTGTTTGAGAAAAATTCTTATAAAATATATATTTATACTTTTCTACCTGAAAATAAAAATATAAATTAATATGTGTTATTTTCATTGTTCTTAAAACAATGATTCTTTTACGAACAGTGTGACTTCCTATTAAAGTATTATCACGGAATATCAGGATCGTATGGATATGTAAATTAGTAATTTTTTATCCCCAAAATTTTATGATTTATAATTATAATTATCTGCGACATAATTTTTAAGAAAAAACGTTAACAAGTATATAGTGTGACTTTCTTACAAAATATCGAATTATTTTTAATTAACGTAATTCTCGCTTAATTTTTAGATAGTTATCTAAAAATTTGCCCTCCTCGCCGACTTTGCTGATATTAAAATAATTTTAAACTTTTAACTCTTGTGACCTCTGCACTTTAATAATGTTTTTCCACTTCAAGTGGCAATTGATTTTCCTTTACTCAGAGGTAAGCCTGTTACACCAGCCATTATTTTAAATCAACTTCACTTTAAAAAGGAAGGAAAACTAAGTGCTTTATAATTACACTGCTTTATAAATGCAAAATTGCACAAAATGCCTGTAATATGGAAAAATATTCAAACTATGGTACTTTCAATTACACACTATCATTCATAAAAATATTTCGATACTTCTGAATTATTGCAATATAAAATTCAAACGAATCTCTTTAATTTAATTTTGACATATATAGTTAATAGATATTGACAAAGAGAATAATTAATATTGTATTATAATAATAGGTAGGTGAAGATTCTTGAAGTAGAGTCTTGTTGAAATTTTAAAACGATTGAAATATGCAATTCTAACATCATTAGAAAAGTTTATGCAGCTTTATGAATCATCAACTATTTATAAGAAACTTGAAAATGCAGGAAATTAACAGCAGAAACACGTTCGTCAATCGGAACGTAAGAAAAATAACAAACTTTTAATGAAATTACAATGATGATACATGTTTGATATCTGAAAGAATTCTTTCTTTGTATTATATGCATAAAAATCTACAGTGTATTTATTATTATTCAAATTGTGTACGTATAAATTTTTTGAAGTGCCCTGGATTTTTGTGCTAGAGTTGCCATCTTATCAAAATGAAATTATACACCTGACAAAACTTCCTTGTAAGAAAGATCTCGGAAACTAAAGTCGAGCGGTGATAACAGATATGAACGATGATCCTGACAACATGTTTCAAGTTCAAGGACGACACGAGGAGGCCAAACTTCCAAATAATCACCAATTTTCGCAACAACAACGCGTAGAAAATAAGAAAAGAAACGAGGAAAAAAAATCAGTCTATAAAATCGAGCTTGGAACTCCTTTGCACAGATGACGTACATATGTATGCTACGATTGTGCATAAGGACAAGAGCCTCGATTTCACGGCTTTAATATTCAGCCATACCTTGTTATTAGTTCTGAAGGCCAGGAGGATGGGAACGTTGATGGCTATTCGTCGTGGTCGAGGTTGTGATCGAGGTTGAGGTCGAGGTCGAGGTCGATGTCGAAATAGTTGTCGTGATGGAAGTTGAAATCGGAGTCAAGGTTGAGGTCGAAATGGAAATAGGGACTCGGCGACGTTGGGATTCGGAAGCCGTGTTGTTCTGCTGGGATGAATTAGTATGCCGGTGTGTCGGATTCGCGGTCATCGTTGTCATCGGTGGCTCGCTGCTCGATTGGTTGTTGTTAGCCTGATTGCTGTTACTACTGTTCATCGGCAGTAGCATTTGACCGTCGCCGTGAGCCGACGACACACCATAGCTTCGTAGCCGGTATTGCCGTTGTTGCATCGAGGGACAGCGGCTTCTAGCAAAAGTACTCCTGCGTTGCTGCCCGCCACCCGTCGTACTGCATATATTAATCCCAGGCTTTCATCAGTATTTTTGTTATTGCCTGCAAGGACCTGTACACAGCTTCTCTCAACAGCACCCTGCCTTTGCCTTGGTATTTTTTTTCTGATGTCGCCGCGTATTGCTTACTATGATAGTCTGTATTCAACTTGTACGTATTGTTAAAATCAAATTACACGCGTTCGTTAAGCTGACACTCTGCTCTTTTCACTGTACCAGTTCAAGTCAATTGCAAATCTAAAAGTATCGTCGCAGAAATTCAAATTTTAATGTAATATCTTTTTTACTTTTTTTTTATATTTCTTTCGAATCACAGTTACACGTAAATTATACAGTGAAGAGCATCGCTGAAGCAATAATTATAGATTTCCAGTAGATTATTCTTCATTGTTGTCAACATTAAAATATGCAAAGAATCCACAGTGGAGAAGCATTTTGCACGATTAATGTTAATTTAAATGCTTTAAACATACGAATGTGCTTTATTTGCCTATAACAAAAAATATTCGTGAATTCAGTTTTATTTCATATGGAATAAATTGTTGCATTTACATTAATTTATTGAACCAGTGTATGAATAAAAATATTTTACAGAGCAATTGATTAGTTAGGAATATACCATTTCTTGAAGAAATTATTATATTTCAACATGATTGGGATCCTAATCTCACAGTAAAATAAAATATCTGTGGCTCACACAGAATCTAAATTTCAATTCCATTGAGAATCCGTAGAGATTTTTAAAGTAAAAAATGTGCTTGCGAAATTCTTGTCCAAAACATCTCATCGAGAAAACATTAAGAAAACAAAAAGAAAGAAATAAAAGAATAAATATTAGTCATTATTGGTTACGAAGAACATTGAATGTCGTCAATGAATTATTGTGATTATTTTTTGAGTATCATCAATTTATTAATGAATATTTCTTATTGAAAGCAACTAAAAAAACATTCCCATTATGTTTATGTTAATTTTGATTGTTCAAAATGTTTCTATTATATTCATTTTTTGTATTTTAATATTCTCGGTAGTAGGAATTTACATAAAACCTGTGATTATTGGTTCAATTATACTCTCTTCACTGTACATAAAATATTTCATTTTATATTGTATTTTGTTACAGATCAATTCTGGATCAATAATTTCTGTATCAAAATTAATGGATTTCTACAAATTATACATTACAATTACATACGTAGAAATATTTATGAATATTTAATAATTATAAACATCCATTAATGGAAAAGATATTATAAAATTATATATATTTTGTATTTATAGAATTTCTGCGTCGAGTGAATTGATATTCACTGTCGTGATGGAATATTCAACGAAGTACTGAATGAATAATGAACATTAGAATTCTATAATATCGAAGAACATTGCTGCTTGATATTAACTTACAGCGCATTACGATAGGCAATGTTTTCTTTTTCTTTAATTACACATTAAACAAGAAACTAAATTTACAATTCATCTATTTGCATCACCTTTTATTGTACCAAAGAACGCACTTAATAAAATATGATACATTAATATTAAGATGAAAATTAAAATGTAACATATGTACAAAAACAAGAAACGGCATGCATTTTAGTTAAAAGGAGAAGCAAATGCCTTAAAAGATAATTGGTTTTATACATACACACATTTAGAGATTAAAACTGTCACGACATGCAACTTGTCATGCACTTCTTCATATATATTACTTATTACTTATAAAAAATTCATCTGATAATGCTAAAGACATGACACTCAAAGTATTCAGTAATTCCTTTAGTCAGATAATTATGAGTTTTTATCAATTAAAAATAGACACATTTTAAAAAAACAAAAAGGGGTAAATTCCCAATTTTTTTAAATTTTTAGATATGTTGTAGAGGAGAGTGTCCTGAGTAAAATGTATTTTGTCCAAGACATAGTTCAGAAGTTCTAAGAAGAAGAAAATTGTATTTGTTACATTATTCAGACACTAATAATCTCTCTACAACATATTTGAAAATTTAAAAAAATTGGATTTAAGATGCCCTTTATCAGAATTTTATCTAAAAAAGATACACACACGCACGCACGCACGCACGCACGCACGCACGCACGCACGCACGCACGCACACACACACACACACTATAATTGAACGAAATACTTGTTTTAACAATAGATCTAGTATTATTCGTTTAATATATATATATTAATAACAGTGTACGATAAGTATTTGTATCATTAAATTATATTATATTATTTTTAATTCTAATGCAGAAATAACAGAAACAGATGAATTTTCAATATAAGTAACGGACAAAACGAAGGCGATGTATTTTCTTACCTCGAACTGTGACTCATGAGGACTATGTTTCTGTAACAGCATATAATGGATCCTGATTGTTGGGAAGCGAGTGATGAAGTGTTGACGTCGATTCACACACAACACAACAAGCAGCTCAAGCAATTTTGTTGTATTTCTTATGTAACTCAATATTCTAACTCATATTGAAAATAAAATTATATTTCTCACTGCACAAATATTCCAGTAAATTTTATAATTTTGAAATTTGAAATAAAATAAGAAAAAAAAAATTGGAATATATATCATTATTGAATATCATTTGAAACAAAATAAAATATTCATGAAAATTCATAATGTCTTTTGCAATAATTAAATTCATTAAAAATGCATAAAGTTCCTTAAATTTATACACATATTATAAATACATACAACAAATTTTTTTATATTCTTAAATTATTAAAAATTTTTTACTAACATTTGAAAGCTTGAAAGGGTCAATACTTTTCATAGATTCTTCTTGGATAAGAAATATGTTCTTTTTTATTCCTTTGTTTTTTCTTTCTTTCTTTTACAGTACTATGCAGCGTAAACCTAAAATAGAATTATTGTCACGTGTGCAAGCACGTATATCTTAATGGAGAGTTTATATACAAAACTCCTATATACAAGCAAATAAGAAGTTAAATTACATTGTCCTTATCACTCTATGATTTTTTAATAATTTTAGTGATTGAAGTGCTTCTTTCTGTTTCCTTCCTTGATCTAATCTAGATAATTGACAAGTCCCTTCCTCTCATTATTATTTCTTAATCTTTTCTAATTTTTCATTAAAATTGTTGTTAATATATATAATTCCAGCAGTTTTATTTTTTTTTACTCCTACTAAATAAATTTTAAACATTTTTCAATAAATATTTTATTTGACTGGAAATCAAAATGATTGAAAAAAAAGGAAAAATGACATTGAGAGTGGTCACATAATGACAAAAGAAAGACAAATATAACTGTTAAAATATAAGTTGGTATATATTATTGACTCATTGATCAAAAGTTCAATGCAGTAACAAATGATTCACCAACTTAAGAAAATAGTCATTGATGAACATTGTATACACCATTGATAAAACAGTTAGTCACTAATTACGTTTATGAAAACTGCTGTTTTCTGAAATATCATACATCGTATATCTGACTTTTCTTAGGTTGCTATATTAATTGCTATTCATTATTTATTATTATATATATTAAAGATAAATTAATTTATTCTTAATAAATTTAAAATGCAGTAAGTAAAATGGTTCTCTAAATAATTTTTTATAGGATGAATGTGACAATATACTTTTCTTTTCTGGTTTTACTCTTTTAACACATAAATAAATAAATAAAATATTGATCTTTCTATATCGCATTGATTATTTTATTAAAATGCAAACTGTCGACTGACTATTAAGGTAACAACTACTCGACTACTATTTAACTAAATTTTTTAGTTGATGAGAAGTTGTTTAATCAGATTAATTAATATTAGACTCATTATTAAATTTATAAGAAATTCTTCGATTGAATAGAAATTAATAATGTGATAGATCTTATTAATGAAATGAACTAAAAAAAGTACTTATATGTACATATTTGAAAATCAAAATGAAAAACTATACAAATTTTTCTATAAATAACATGTATTGCTTAAGATTATGAAATCAAATAATTATTACTGTAAACAGAAACTATCTCCTTAAAAATAAAATATTTTTAAATTGTTCATATATTTTTATCATATATCAGTACTTAATTTTTTCAATAAAAAAAGTTTCCTAAACATCTTTTAATTATATTGCTTAGTTTATATTCTCTTTATCGAAAAGATTTCTTTTATTATTTAAAATCTCTCTTAGCAGATTTAATTTTATATAATTTCAAAATGCATATCTTGTGATGAGAAAATGCTAAGTGCATATCAGTTCTCAATATTAGAGGGAAATATTAGTTTGTAAATGGTATTACAATATTTAACATCAAAAATATATAATATATAATATAAATTATATAAAAATTTAATAAATATTATAAAAAATTTTGTATAATAAAAAAGTTGCAATTTGCAATAATAACAATAATAAATTTAAAACATTGAATTTAGTTTCTAACATTTTAATATTTCAAAAAACCATTATGCATTAGAATAAATTATAAAAAAATATATTTTTGTAAATATTTTATATTAATCATTTTCATCAAATAAACTTATATGCACTTCATTTTCCATTATATTGCACACTTATTAGCAAGTTGGATATTATATGCCTAACTACAATACTATGTAATTTCCATAATTCGCAGTTATCTAAAAGCTGTGTAAATGAAACAGCAAACATTAATTCATTGCATGAATGAGTTTGAGCCTTGTTACATGTAAGTCTATTTTTTTAAATAAATAATAACTAATATATTTAATGTTTAATGTAATCATCTCTCTTAAATATAAAAGGTTTAATTATACTTTAAACCTGTTGCATATTCCAGGCATCCTGTAAAATAATATCAGTGCCACTTTTTACTTTTATCAATTCATGAAACACACAAGTATGTACCTCTAAATGGCAAAGAAAATTTTCTACACTTCGATATATCGAACTTTTTCTACGTAGCAAAAATATAAAACCATTAAACAGACTATTATATATTTAATTAGTATTTTAATTAAGCAACAGAACCATTTCGATTAATCGAATCAGTCTTTTGATTTTACCTACACATGTATACGCATGTATAGCGTTATGAATATAATATATTTTCAAGAAACAGAGTAAAAAATTATCTTCAATAGACATATAAAGTATTAGGGGATCTTGATGTAGAAAGTGTATTATCTATTTAATATTTCGGCATTTTTAAATTATCGATAGAGTAAATGGATGCGAAGAAGCACTACACGTGAGAATCTTATGCATAATGTTATGTACAAATATATAATTACTCGAAAATAGATTGCCGTTGAATTTTTGTCATAAAAGCTGTTTAGAAAGTGAAATTCGTGAACTTCAATATGCTTTAAAGAAATTTAAATACAAAAGTGAATAAGTATATAGAAAGATAGATATTTATAGGCCATTTTTATATATCAAGCATATCCTACATCAGTGAGACTACCACGCTGCTTCTATAATGGTGCAAAACAAGATAGATGACATTTTAATATTCTTGCAAAAGTGGAAAGAAGTAATATAATAAATATGTGTATGTATGTATACAGATATACATACATATATACATACACATATACGCGCGCGCACGTGTATGTAAGAAGGTAGCAAACATAGGACGCTTAGAATATCTACAAAACTAAAGACTAAGAAAAAAATTTACTTAGAAGTAATAAACATACCATAAAATTACGTTTATAAAATATATTTAAAGTGCATACCGAAGTAGTCTGGTTATGTAATCCGGCCAATTGTCTGGAAACATTACAAGGAAGAAGCCGACTGCTATAAATATCATCCCTGCCAATTTCATTCCCATGAAATGAGCTCCGTATAAAAGAACATCCAATGCTGTAATGCCATAATATTACATAATTATCGAGTAATTATAATTCTTTGACGGGTAAAAAGTCAACATTGATCATTTCCAAAAAAAAAAAAAAAAACGATGTATGTTTTGAAGTATAATAGAATAAGAAATATATTATCATCAATTTTTACAAACCACAAGATTAACACTTGATTTTACATTGTTCTAAATTTAAATATTATATAAATTAACAATTCTGACTTATATTCTATTGTCCGAGAATTATAAATTTAATTAATTAATTACTAATTAATTACCGTACCAGCGGATACAGGAACAGCGGTGATCAATCCTAGTGTAATGAATAGGTCGTACGTCAGAGCAATACTGAAGTTACCAAGCATATTTGCAACTGCCAAATAAGAATAAAATGTAGTTTTAATATCTATTTCTAACTTTTGTCTTTGTTATGTCCAGAATATCTCAATATTAAAAAATATATGTACTAATTCTTTGTATTATTGTAAAAGGAACGTAATAATTTTCGAATAAATAATTGTAATATATTTATAATATTAATAATATTAAACGTTCAGTAACTGAAAACAAAAATTCCCACAAGTATGTAAAAATATTTAAATTATGATAAAAGAATTTTATATTCGAACGATTGACTATGCAAGTGATGATGTTTAGGTTCATACAGCATTCACATATGTTCTTAGTAATTCTCTGCAATATATATATGATATAAGAATATTTCTGAAAAAATACTATTCTTTTTTTAATAAAAATACATAAGAAATAAAAATATATATAAGAAACGATAACTTTTTTATCGTTGTAACGTAAGTAAACCACCATCGCATTGAATATCGAATATAAGTATCTAAAGTGAGATCTGAATGAATCTGCATCTCATCCGAATATTTGTATTATAATACGAAGAATTCGTACGTTCAAAATTATATATATATATATATATATATTAATTATAATTATTATTAATATTAATTATATAAATTATATATATATATTAATCTGGTAATAAAGTCTGGATAAAAATTTAATATTAACTAATAAAATGGCTCACCTAAATGCAAAATGCTTGCTGAAAGTAAAGCCGTCCACGGCAATCGTCCCCACTGTATGCTTTCTGCTCCTGAGAAGTAAAGAGCCAAACAAATTGGCCATAACAACGCCGCATTACACAGCCCAATAAGGGAAAAGAATAAAGACATCTGACCAAATGTTGTTTCTCCTATGACTTTTTTGAACAGCACCTAGTTTAATATTATATTTTCTTTTTTATACTGTCCATCGAATTATTCTAAATATTTGTTTAAAATATAGAATGTCCTACTCAATTCGAACTTCTAAATTATTTTTAATGCTATTGAAGGTAAAAAAATAATGGATAGCACAAGGACGTAAATAAAATTTTGACTGTCTGCATCAATATATTTCTGAATATGTTAAATAAATGATTGAACGACAATTCTAGCAGCATTTTGATGTTTACTTGTATAACATGTATTCTGAATTTGTTTTTTTGTATTGTCTGCTGTTATAAAAATGTTATTGTAAACTAGAGTTTTCCATAATGATGATATCACAGATCATTGAACTTGATATCAACTAAAAGATCGCTTAATAAATAAATAAATAAATATTAATATGCAAAAATATAACAATGACATTCAAGATGACTTTGGGACGAACTTTTTTTTTTATTAACTGTACATATGGTCCTGAGACCATATGTGTCTCTATCAATTATTTTCTTTTTCCCTTCAAAAGTATTGAAAATAATTTAGCTATTCGACTCGAAATAGAACAATCTGTATGTTTTCTAAATTACATCCTAGATAAAACTAGCATTGCATGTAAATACTATCTAGAAATTTTTACCTTATAAACCGCCGAACCAGCTGCTGCCGATGTTGCCAGAACAACACCACCTAAAGTTGGACTTCCAGTAATGCCATCCATGTACGCTAAAAGTGCAATTCCAGTATTGCATAAAATCACTGCTACTATCTGCAATAAATACAGATACAATCGTAATTATTACAACAATTTCATCAACACTATTAATTTTATTATTCAATTAATCCTTTGACTGCTATAAATGCATATGTATTTCGCAATTATTTCTACCTTATACACACAATATAAACAAAAATGGATTTTTATGCAAATTTATAGTTATAAACTAAAGAATTGAAACCTAAATAGAGATGTATTTCACTTCCTAAATATACTTTAAAAAGTAAGTCTGCAGTCAAAAATTACATACAGTTTTTATGAAATAAACACTACTAACCCTTACTCCAACAAATTGTTCATGAAGAATAACCCATGATAACAAATATACACAAGATACGTTGGTTGCGAAAAGTGCCATAACATCGGTTGCTAGGAGTATCCTGAGCGAATAAATATACATATAATTCGTAACTACCCAGAGTCCACAAAAAAGACTACATCTGATCAAGAAACGACCACCAGTAAATCCTTTGTCGCGGAAACCTCGTAAACTCTCTGCAATTATTTCTGATGGTGTATTACATTTAATTCTTGCAGATTGACAAAGAAAATAAACTGGGAAGTAAAGAATTTCCCAATTTGTACAAAACCAGGTTGTGAAGAATGGAGCATTATATGGAACCGTCTGAAAATAAATAAGATAAAAAATTTCATGGTAAACGTCATACCAAGAAAAATAAAATTTATTAAATTATTAAATGAATTGAATTTGTTGTTTCTTCATTATATATTACAATATATAAAATATACATTAAATATATTTCAAATATATTTTTGTGAACTATATCATTCGTATCTTTCATTCAATATTAATTTCATTCAATATAAATTTCAATCAAATTTAAAAAATTAATACTTTTCCTATAGATTTTATGATGTCGGTAAATAAACCATTACAGAATAAAGGAGGTCTTACGAAACTTTTACGATTTTGAATAACATGAGTGAATAGCGGATTTTTATGCATTTATAAGAAATTTTAAAGTGCAAAATTGCTTTAAATGGTATAATATAAAAATATACATATAAAATATCTAAAGTATAGCATTTTCTATAACGTCTGGTGCGTAAACAAATTTTTCATTAATGTTCTATTTTCCTAATCATATTTTTAAAAATATAAATTTGCAAAAACATCTGCAGTCTAAATTTGAGAATATATGATTCATTGTTAGGCTCTCATTTACACTTTTCAATATCTAGATACATAAGAAATCAATATATCATTTATTTTAAACGAATTATTATATTTATTTAAATATAAAAATATACAAAAATTTGGTACTAAAACTTTTTATTAAAATTTTTTTCGTACCAAAAATTTAATAAAATTGGATATACTTACGTGCTGATGACGACCAGTAATAGATGAGTTAGAAAACAATGAATAATTAGGTGTTTCGTGTTTGTAAAAATATAAATACTTGATACAGTGTGTCGCACCGACCCAGCTTGCTGTGACACATATTGTGACACACACTCCAAAATATATCTGAAATCATATCAATATCTTAAGAAGTAATTAATGAGTTAATGAAAAATTATATTTAATATATTCATAAGATCTTTTACTTAAAATTAAATAAAAAATTTTCATTTTCAAAGTATTATAAGTATTTATTATCATTTAGAAAGTATTATAAAACAGCTCTTAATATTTAAAAATAAAAATTTTTTTTAACCAAATATATATATATATATAAGCATTTCCTATTTCCTTCAGTTGTTTTTAAAATATTTTTGGAAGTTAAACTTTTTTTGCAAATTATTGTAATTAAAAAATGAACCTTTTTTGCGGATTCAGCACAACATGATGCATAACAAGCGGATAAAGAGTTGGGCCTTTGTTGATAAGTAACTGGTGGTACTGTTACATGGGGTTGAACTTGAGTTTGACTTATATTGTGCCCTTGATTATCTCCAGCTCCTCCAGAACCAACTCCGCTTCTACTTGTCTCCAAAGGGCGACAACTCGGTACAGAATCGCCACAGCCACCGCTAATGCTACATCCTTGTTGCTGTTCACAGCCTAGATATACGTAAAAATAGAATTACAATTGAAATAAAAATTCTTTTCGTTAATATTGGAGCAAAGTTCATGTAACACGATCTAATTCGATGTTATATGTAGATTATTATGTGGAAAAATATTCCAAATTTGAAAGTGTAAAAAGTTAAATTAGCACGTACGAAGTGTCTCACATAAAGTATTACAAGTCGTTTTCTTCGAAACTATCTGTATGAAATTTGGAACACATCCAAATTTCACGTAGATAATCGCAATAATTTCAAATTAGACAAAATGATACAAAGTTTATATGTATATATCTCTACCTAATAATGTTAAATATAACATTAATATAATATAATGTAGTACATTAAATAAAGATTTAATTTTGACTTACCAGAATTGTCATAAGTAATTTGACCAGCAGTATTTTGAGAGCCATGATTCTGCTGATTATCACCAAGAATAATACTTGGGGTATGAGTCTGCTGGGGATGAAATATAGTAGGAATATCCCCTACTCCTCTGCTACCCATGTTTAAGTTTGTTCTTTGAAACATGTAACATTTGTTGTCATCATACTTATAAAAAGTACTTTATTTACTTTACATTTATATTACTTTTTATTTTTACTATATTACTTTATATACATTAATTTATATGAAACACTTATTGTATATATAAAAACAAATTAAGTTTCCTGTTAATGCTACTATAAAAATTAACATTGATCTCTTTATATTCTTCATAATACTAAAGAAAAAACTTTACTAAAAAAGAACTACTTGTTGTATTAAAATACACACATTTTAATAAACTTTGAAACTGAATATATTTTATATTGGTATGCTTATTATATTACATTTTATATACAAAAATATCAATATCCTCCAATGTAACTACTATTGTTATTACAAAACTTAAGTTACAATATATTTTTTCTATAGTTTATTTCATATAATGAAACTATTTGTTTGCTGTATTATATATTCAAAAATACTTTCTATATTTGAAAAATACAAAATAATGCAAAAAATTTACTAATAATTAACCAGAAAATAATTAATCTTAAAAATATTTTTAAACTTAATTATTAATAATCACATTTAATTATACTTCATCATGGTTCATTAATTTTTCAATTTATAAATCTTTGAATACATAATTATTGAAAAATTATAAATAAGTATATATCCAATTCAAGATAATAACTTATAACAATAAATAGAACAAGATAATAAATATAACAATATATGTAATATGTACTTGCAGGGAATTAGAAATAAAAATAATATATATGTAAAAGATTTTTATTAAAGAAAGTATGACACATCTTAAAACACAAAATAATAAGATTAATACTTAATGACATTTATTAATTCGTTCTTTGTCATTAATTAATATTTATAATATCATAACCAATTTTTTAAAATGAAAATAATTTGTATTATATTCTTTTCGACATTTATACATAATACATATGTATGTTAAGTAAAATATTAACATTTTTGAGTTTATAAAAATCAAACTTGTTAAAACAAATATATATATGTGTGTGTAATACATATAAAAGGTAAAAATGACACACATGTAACAAAATTAATTATTTTAATAAGAATTTATATCAAATAATCATTGATAATGAAAAATGGTTAACATGATTACAAATCTAATATAAACTATTAAATTTATTATTTATAAAACATTTATTTTATAAATAAATGCCTTTTAGATAAAAATACAGAATAATTATTGTATACATGAACATTATAAAACTTTTTTATTTTTTTCGATTTATGTACTAAAAATTAAAATTATACTTTTTATATGTATTATGTATGAATAATTCCTACGTCTGAATTGTTTTGTTATAAATAATTTTTATGTTAAATAAAAGATAAAGAAAAATACGTTTAATATTGTATCTTTCATATTTTTTCAATTATTTTAATAAAATATATACATATATATTTTTCAATAAATTTTATATTCGATTTCTTATCTTTGAGAAATTATAGAAATTTGTCATTACTAAAAAATTTATACAATTCAGTAAAATTTCAAAAAAAAAAACAAATGTGATATTTTATAAACAAATTTTCTCAGAACACAGAACTTGACATACCTTTTTTACATTTTTCATCAGAGATCATAACATGCCTTAAGTTTGGTATTATCCATCGTTCACAATCCATTTAACTGCTTATTAAATATCACATGCACCATCATTTTCGTTTTATTGTAATTATATCATAAGATCGTTTCACTTTTTGCAGCTCCATCAGTTCTTTAGATTAAAATGTTTTATGGCTGCCCTATTAACGGAATCTAATAATGCAGTAGGCAGCAGAGAATTTGTATTCCGTTCTTACTCAGAGTAACTTGTTACTTTTTGAATTGAACAAAATACATTATTATATTGTTCATTGAGAAATCATTTGAATTACTTGATTATTTGACTATATTGAAATACAACGCTGATATCAAAATCCAAGTTAACATTACATTTAATATAAACTCAAAACAACTCACACTAATGATCTTCAACTAGTTTTAAGTATGCTATGTCACGCCATTGATTACTAGTAAACTTCATATTACCACCCGTTTGGCAAAGCCTAGTTGCGTCTGCGCTTTGTTCACTCTATCCCTTTCGTTAGGGTTGTTTGAGAGACTATTCGCTGTATTGAATTATTTACATATATTTCATCAAATTTAAATTTACTTTAAAAAAAAAGTAATTACTGTTAGAATTGATTCTTTTTATTTGAAAAAATTTCGAATGATTTTTCAAAAATTCAATGCATTGCGTTTAAATACAAAATAGTAAAATTAATTTAAAAATTGTGATATTAAAAGTATTATTAACAATTTTGTACGTTATTATAATAGAAATAAAATTTTTTCTTAAAAAATGTTCTATTTAAAATACATTATGAAGCTATACAGAAATATAGTATAATATATTAATTATTTAATATCGATTAAAATTAATACATTATAACATTTATCTTATATACAAAATTAATAGAATAATATTAAAGTTATAAAAAGATAATAAATCATAATCATTCACCATCTTCACTTCATAATTTGGAATATCTATATTGCAATATAGGTATTACAAAAATTTAAAAAATGACAAATAGCAAAACGTTAATATGCAAAAATAATTACTATAGCGGAAAAAGAACATGCGCATAAATAATAACGCAGTTATACATAACACATTTTAATTAAAAAAAAAATGAATAAATGAATAATTATTTAGCTTAAAAATTTTCTATCATTTAAACAATTAGTTGAATTCTACGTTGTAACAAAAATAACAAGTTTCTTCAAGATTGTTTTGTTTAACAAGTTTTTTTTAAAAAGATAAAATAAGTGATACAATTTTTTATTAAGATTAAATAATGAAGAAATTTCCCTAAAATGAGAAAAAGTTATATTGAAAAAATTTAAAACATTTGATTCTTTTTGATTCTTAAAAACATAATTTTGTAATTTAATAAAATTAAATAGTTGTAAATCATACTTTAATATACTGTAAATATTTTACTGTACTCTATTTCCTCTCAAATTTTAGGATAATAGGAAATGAAATTAGACAATTAAGTAAAAAATATTTTATTTTATATTTTTCTGAAATAAGAGTCTTGATTTATTTTAAATAATATATGATTAAATATCACTGAACTTGTTCTATATCAATACTTGAGGTATATTTTGTTATGTCTAAACAATCCAAAACCTATATGTTATTTTGTAAAAAAATGTAAGTACAAGTACATAATTATACAAATAGTACAGTCATACGCAATAATAAGAACAATTCAAGTAGCAATTTACAGATGGAAAAAACAATTAAATCCATAGTAAATATGTTGAATCCATTCAAATACGTAATAAAAGAATTTTATTAATACATAGTAATATAAAAGAATACTAGAGACAAATAAATACATAAATAATTTTTATCTTTGTGATTTCATAAATTAGTCAGAAAAATTTTCACCAAGTTCCATCTGTATTTACTACAGTGACAAAAATTAGACAAATAAATCAAACATTATAACAGCAGTAATTAAATTTACAGATCAGTTACAGTCTTATTACAGAATAACACCTACAAATGAAATTTATAAAAATATTATATTCATTTTACATATATTATATATACATAGTACTATACTGTGTTGAAGGGGTATCTAAATAATATATATAAAATAGGAATTAAAAATTAATATTTTTAGAATAAAATGTAATTAATTAATTTATATATATAAAATGCATTATCTCGTGATTAATTTGACTAGACAAGTTTCAGAAATTACTTGCATTATTCTACAATAAGCAATTTGCTTATTATTAATAAGACTGTAAAAATCTTGCTGTATATCGCATTTTGTACGATAGATAAATTCAACAATTGCAAGTCTTCTGAGTTACTTTATATTTATAACAATAATATTCAACTCTTGGAGTTGATATTTAAAACATATGCATAAAAGCATATAAATTGAAGAGTATAGGAAACAGTTTTACTGATAAAGCAATACTTTGCTTTCTTGATGTACACTTAGAGTTGTATCATTATGATATAACTAATAAATCATATAAATCATAACACGCATGAAATGATTTAAAGTTTTAAGCTATTTATGTGTGTCAAAATTGTATATTTTAAATTTATTCTAAGGTGCCATCTCTTTTATATCAAAATTTTTATCAAAAAAAGTTCATATAAATGCAGTTATCATTTTTTTTATTTAATTTAATATAACACTTACACCTTCATAGATACTATGAAGTATGCTATCTTATTTATGAAATATAATGTCTGAAATAATCTAAATTTACATTTGTAAGTATATTGGCTACTACGTCAGCTTATTGGTAACACATGATAATAATTTACTTTCAATATGTATTTTATATGCTATTCATAAAAATATACGTATAATAATAAGAACTAATTGTTTGATGGAATCTTAATTAATATTATGTAAAATACAAGAAAAAACTACACAGATTTTTTTTACTAATGATAAATATAATAATATAGTAGAATAATGATATTATTCCAATTGACTAAATACTTTAATTCTGAAGTTATATAATTCTATATATAATTCTATTAACTGAATCATAATACTATATAAATAGTATAATTTTACACATTAACTCTAAATATATGTGCAGAAAAAGATAAGATACACTCTTTTATATTTGTCTAAATACAAAAATCATTTATACTATGTGTTTATAATTTAAGTATAAAATAACAAATCAAGAAAAGCCAGTTTACGGTACACTGCATTTCTTAATTATCTTAAAAAATTCGTGTTTGTTACTTTCGAACAATGTAGTGTAAAAAATATATTTTAATAAAATCACTCTTCTGTTGCTATAGGTCACTTTATATAGTATATTCAATACCTTAATAATATTGATTCAATGTACATGATATACAACTTATTTTTCACTTTACACACGCTTATTAACAATATTCTTATTTACAATTGATTGAATCTTTTATACAGAATTATTAGAATACTAATATACTTAGGTTTACAAAAGGTGACTTTGGGATTATTAATGATGCTTATTTATTAAATGAGTGATTGATGTAAATTATTTACAAATACTTTAACACAACAAATGATTTATAATCACATGTAATCAACTATCTACTATAATGCTTAACAATAAATTAGATATAATCATACATAAAATATTTTGAAATATTGATATTGTCTTCTAGAAGAATGTTATTTTTTCATCTTTATGTTAGGTCACACGCCAAATAAAACAGATACTTGTTCTACATGAGTGCAATCTTTTATATAATTAAATTTTTAATAGATTTTATCTTCATATGCTGATAATAAAATAGGAGGTAAGATGAACAGCTATGCACTCTTCATATAAATATGCAATCAGGAGAACACGCGTTTACTCTATTCCTAAACAAAAAAAAATATGTGCGTTTATCATCTTCCAATAAAGATAATATTCAATTAAATTTATAACGTGAACCTATACCTGTTTTTAACTTTATAATATATAAATATTATTTTAAGAAATTAATTTAATACTTTAAATAATTTTTCTTGAAATTTATTTTCTTTAGTAATTTCTTTTAATGATTTCTGCTATATAAGTCTTTAACTTTAACTTCAAAAATTAGTTTCAGAACTACATTGTGTATTTGTACATATCCCTGCTTTCAATATATATTTGTAGCATTGTAACATTTATTTAGGTATAAAAAGAAAGTCAATTTCAAATAACGTCTTAAAATAAATCAATATAATCAAGTATCTTCAGCTTTATATTACAATTTGCAGTATTGCAGTAACTGTAGTATCACTGATCTGCTATTATACTAAAAGTGACGTAATAATCATTGAATATGAGTTATATTCATAACATATATAATCATACAATTATCAAAATTAAATTATTTTCTAAAATTAATTTTAAAACTGATTTATTTAAAAAAATTAACCTATAAATTGACATTATAAATTAACCTATAAATTATTGTCATGATTATACAATATTTAAATATTTTAAGATTCTTATTTAAAAAATATCATGCTTAATACATAAGACTGATGATAAGATGAAACATAAAATGAAATATAAAAAGAAGACTGATCATAAACATTCATTTTGAAATTTATTTGATATACTAATATTGTATTGAAATTTTTAATTAAAGATAACTATGAAATTAATTAATTAAATTGATCTAATGTAAATTAAAAATTAATTAATTATTTAAATACAAATAATAAATACCTATATAAATATATTAAAAAATTGAATTCATGAAACTATAGTAATAAAAAATAATACTTTTTCATTTTAATGTAATTATAATTATAAAATATAAAAAAATATATATGTATAATTGTGAAAGAATATGAATTATAAATAAATATACTTTTAAATATATATATGTATATATATCATACTATGAAATATTAAATGCTACATATTCATTTTATTTTTGTACTATCAAGTTTTTAAAACTGATTATCTTTAATATTTTCATGCATACAAGAAATATCCAATTACTTAAATTAATTATTAAACATTCTCTGTTATACCATATAACATTATTAAAAAAATTAATCAACTATTTCTAAAAATTAAACATATATTTATCTTTTTAAAAATGACAAAAAGATAAATGAAATGTTTTCAAAAATTGATTATCATTTATTGTAATGAAGTATTAAATTGTACTGTTTTTAAAATATATTTTATATGTGCTATCAAAAAACAATTTCTGCACAATTAACAAACTTGCTACTATAAATATACTTTGTTGCTAGATATATTTATTTCATTCAAGAATTTTTATATTTCTAATTGTTTAAGAAAATAGTTAATAGTAATATTTAGGATATTTAATACAATTAATGTTATAAAAATCAAAAATAATGGCACACAAACTTAAGTAGTCAAAATATTACAATGTTAAAGTTACGTATAAATATTATGTTTTCAAATGAATTTGAATATGCGAATTATGTACATATTGTAAAATATAATTTCTATACTATAAAATATGTTTTGTTGTTACAGTTAAATTGACTTTATGGTTTACCTTGCGACCCTGTCTTTTAGATGCCTTTCGAGAAACTTTTGACTCCCTCGTATCTTGCACTTGTTTATTGAGGCCCAGTCTAAAACGCACAGGCACCTTCGAATCTACAGTACTTTCATCTGTAAATATAATTATATATTTGTATAAAAACATTTATAAAATAAAAATAATTCAGTTATTTATTTTTTATATTATTATTTACAATATAATATACTTTGTGAAAGAATTATACATACAACTATTTTTCTAAAAGTTACTTAACTTTTTTTTATATGATAAATTATCTTTCTATGTCAAATCTATATTAATTTTATACATTCAATATTTCATTATGTAAACATTCTTATAAAACTTTATATTATATAAAATATGATAAAATATGTAAAAACAATTTTTTTAAATATATAAATATATAAAAATATTTTTCTACGCAAAATACATATTTTATAAATTATAAAAGGTGATTCATGCTATATTAAATAATGACCATTTTTTTTTAAATTTATAATTAAATTCTGAGTTTTTCAGAAAAAAATATAATGATTGTCATACAAATAAACTGGAACATTATTAAAAATAAGTAAGTTATTGAAAATTTTATTGCACTAATTATAATACAATTATAATAATTCAATAATTGGTTTTATCTTGCCAAAGCTACATTTCATTAAAAGATATCTAACACATGATAATAATAATAAATAATATAAACATATACAAACCTTCAGAATCATGTATATCAGATATTGTTCTGTGAAGAACAGTAACTCGACGAACTTCTTTTTGATTAGCTACAAAATAAAAAGATAAATTTATAATAATTTAGAAGCAGAGATTATTGATATGCTCTAAATTTTTTAATTTACTTTTTAAGTAAAATAGTAGTGTTCTATTTATAGATAATAATTTAATGTTGAATTTTTCATATTCTATATTCTAGATTATTATTTCTATTATATAGTATTTCATTATAATTTTTCTTATAATAAGATATAAGCAAGAAGAATATTTTTTTTTTACAATATTCATCTATAAAACTTCTAAAGAATAATATGAATTTTATATTTATATAAAAATGATATTATTTATTAACTTCGAAATGTATCATGCTACATTAGATTTATTTAGAACAATCATCACTTTATCATGGAACAGAAGTTTTTGTTGTACAAATGTTAATAGAAGTTACATTGTAAATTACTTACCTTTCTCATCTGTTTTAACTAAATGTCTTTGATTCACTTTTGCATTACTTTTGACAACTCTGAAAAGAGAATAATAATTCTTATGTATTCAAAATATGTTAAATTTTAAAAATATATACATATATTAAAAAGAGAATATACATTAATATATATATATTATATATTATGTATATTACATATAATACATAATATGTAGTTAATATGTATACAAAGTATTTTATTTTATTTTAATTCATTCAGGCAATTATTTCAAAATATTTATTATTCTTAAAAATCTATCTAATATATCTAATTGTTTTGTGAACCTTCACACTGTCAGAAGTGAGCCTCAAGAAAAAATATAAAATTTCTTTTTTCTTATTTATTTGAAAAAGCAAAACAATAAAAAAACAATAGTTATCTCTCTTAAGCTCAAATAATAAATAGTTCAGAAAGTAATTAAATTAAAATGAGACATTCTATATATTTACATATATTTACATATATACAAAATTATATAAAACAGAACAGACTGAGGAGTATTTCATTAGAACAAAAAAAAAAAATGAAATAAAAACATTTTATGTTTTTATAAGTAGAAAGTTTAATCCACATAGTGCATTATAAATACTTACTCATTAACAACTCCTTTAAAAGCAGATTGCACTAATCTTGCAGACTGAATTGGTACTGTTCTATTTAATCTTTCTGCCCGTCTTCTACTTAACTCAGTTCGTAAATCACTTTCTTTATCAACTACTAGATCTTCAAAAATGGCATCCATATCCTCACTTGAGCCATCTGAAATAACATCTTTGCGTTTCTTACATTTCTTATCTTTTCCAATACGTTCAGAAAGAGGAAGTTCATTTTTTAATTTTCCCACTTGGTACAATTCCTTGTCACGTTTTTTCTTCTTTTTTGATGATCTTTCTTTTTCGGGATTTTGAGTTTCTAAATCCAGGCATGGATTAACAGAACTTGTAATAGCAATAGGAGAAGCACTTTCCATGCTTTGTTCAAACTCTTCAAACTCATAATGAGTATCTAAACATAAATCTGTTTCTTGAATATCATAATCCTCTGTAATTTTATTAACTTTTCTCACATTTCCTATCTGAACATCTCCTACCGATTCTATCTTTTTACTTGTATTTTCCTTTTTATTTAATTTAATTTTTTTATTTGCATTTATTGGATCTATAGGCCTTGTAGATTCAAACTTCTTTCGTCGGGCTTCTAATACAGGGTCATTAATTATATCAGTAGGTTCTTTTTCTATCATAGTAGCATCATCCAAATTTTCTTCTTTCTGTTTTGTTTTTATACGATTTATTTCTGGAGATATCCTACTTTTAATTATTGACAACGATTCTTTTGTATATGATGGACTGCATGTTCCATCTGGAGTAATAGATCGTGGTCCATGTTTTCGTGAGAATTCTTTAGGCGACCATCTTGGAGATCTTTTTCGTCTAGGAGATAGACGAGGTGAATTTCTTGGAGATGACCATGGTGATCTACGTGGTGACAATCTCGGTGATCTCGACCGTGGTGACATTCTTCGTGGTGATATTTTTGGTGATAATAAACGTGACGGTCCTCTTCGAGGAGACAACCCAGGAGATTTTGATTTAGGTGATAATCTACGTGAGGGTGATGTTCGTCTTGGAGATAAATTAGGTGATCTAGATCTTAATGGCGATCTAGATTGAGGAGATAATCTTAATGGTGAAAATTTTGGAGAACGTGATCGTGCCAATCTTGGAGACTTGGTTGTGGATGTTTTAGGTGAACGTATTGGTCTAGGAGATCTGGAATGCGGCGAAAGTTTCGGAGATCTTCCTCTTGGAGATAGTCTCTTAACAGGTGATCTTATAGGAGACTTGTTTGGAGATCTACGTGGTGATAATCGCGGTGATCTCGATCGTGATGAAAGCTTAGGTGATCGTGATCGTGGAGAATAACGTACTGGAGACTTTCGGGGCGATCTATACCTCATTATTTCTCGCTGAGATTTTTTTGACTGCCTAATGGGTGATCTTCTAGGAGATCTTCTAGGTGATTTTTTTCTTGATCGTGACCTTGGTGACAACGATCTACGTTTTTGTGAAATTCGATTAATTGTATGTGGAGATATGGATCGTCTTTCATTTTTTAGGATCATTGTTACTGGTGCTGGGCTATAACTTTCTTTTTGAATAGTGGTATCTTCTATTCTGGTTTTTTGACTTACATTTCTAGTTATCTCATCTTTTTTAATAGATTCTCTGCTTTCCTTTTTATTATTTTTTTTTTCTTTTCTTTCAGACGGCTTATCAACATTCATTTCTCTCTCCATTTCATCCATTAACCGTTCCAAACTATCTTCTTCTTCAAGATCAGCCATTATAATGATATCATCATCATCGTCATTAACACCATCTTGATCTTCCTCAATTTTCTTTGAATTTTCTGTAGTTTCTGTCTGATTTTCAATTATTATAGATGTTTTATCGTCTATGCTATCTTTCTCAATAACTTCTGATTTCTTAACTGTCTTTTTCTGTTCTTTATTATCTTCTTCATCCGTACCACTGCCATTATCTTTGAAACGATGAAATTTTGATACTTCTAAAAATATTATTTTTATGCAATATTAAAACAAATTATATTATTTACACAGTATTATTTATATAACATTATTTTACATACCTGTAGAATAAGGTTCAATATTCGGAGCAGTTTTTTCTATTGAACAAGCTAAATCAGTTTGTTGCAGCACAGAACGTTCATCGACAGGAACTATTGCTATTAAATTTGGATTACGTGGACTCTGGTAATACAAATTCTGCAAAAATGATATATTTAGATATGAAAAAAAAATACGAATTTGCATCTACAGTTTAATTATTAAAATATATTTTGTTTCAAATAATTATTAATAATCTTACTTTTTTATTGATATTTCAAAATATGTACAATTTTTACTATCATATTGTTCTTTTTAAAAAAAATAATCAGTATTTTATATATTTTTTAAGAATATACCTAATTTCAACAAATTTTCCTCAATTATTACTATTTTATAAAAAATATATCTTCTTTATGAGGTATATAAAAGAAATTTTTCATAAGATTTCATAAAATCTTAATAAATTTTACAAAATTTTTAGATTAAGCTGTTAAATTCAATTATTTTTTATTCTGTATAACAATTAGAAATTAAAAGTATTAATTTGATATTAGTAACCCCCTAACTTTAATATTTATAATATAATACTTATTTTAATTACATTATATCAATGTTATTGTTATAACAATTTCTTTTATGTCACTCTATCCTTATTGATATTATAAATTATTAACTACTGATTAAAGCATTTAAATAATTACTTGAATAAGAAAATAAAAGAAATAAAAACTGACAATAATATAAACTTGAAAATAACTTTCTTAATATTTTAATTCTTAAAATATATTATTTATAATAATAAGATATAATAATATTATTTATAATAAGATATAATAATAAGATATAATAATATTATTTATAATAATAAGATATTGTCCTAAGTATATTTTATTCCTAATTGTACAAAACTTTATGGTGCTTGTTGTTAATAGCAACAAAAATAAATTTAAAAAAAAATTCCATATCATTTTTTTACAAGGCTTAAAAAAATTTATATAAAATAAACAAATATATTATTTAATTCAAAATTTAAAATATTTAGATAATTTGTATTTTATAAAATTATGTGTTATTTCTTTATTCATAATATTATATATGTACATGATTAAAATACATTAACATTGTTCATTACATTCAATACAAAATATATTAATATTATCAAATATATACAGTCAAATATCAGGGATATAACAAAATATTATCTAACATAAAAGAAAACTCAAATTATTGTTTGAATAACAACAATTTCTATTTTATTATTTTAGTTTTTAATTGATTAATATGAAAAAATGGATAAAATATACAAGTCTTGAGTAAATTTTTAATAAATTTCACAGTGAAATATTGAAAGTAATTCAATAAATTTATATTTTATGTCAACATAGCAATTGAAATACATTTTTAACAAGGTAATTGTTAAAATTCAAATATAATAAGAAAAGGCTTAACAAAGTTTCTAAAGCTTTGATTTGTAATTATCATTATAATAATTAAAAACTTACGCCATTCTGTCGCTGCTGTAACCGATTATGAAAATATCCTCTTCTTAAAGGTCGTTGACTTTTATATGACGAGTGAGATGTTTGCATTACATCTGAAATAGTTTTTTGTGGTGGGGGCTGCTTTTTATTATGTATACTATCTTTTGTTCTTAATGATTGAAGGGCAGCAAGTCTTAAAGCTTCCAAATCTTCATCATCCTCATCATCATTCTTTGTCTTTTGCTGAGAAGGTATAATCATCTAAAAGGAACAATAAATTTGGATTTAATATATTAAATAAATATCTAGTCTATCTAAATTTATTTTTTTTCTCATTTTATATTAAATTATTATGAACATTGAAAACAACATACAACGATACAAATATTACTACATATATCAATGTAATAATAAAATTCTTTACATAAATTGTTTTTTTTTTATTTTACATAATAATTAAACAAAATTACAGTACATAATGCTTCTTTACAATTCTATATTATTTTTTCACTGTGTACATGTAAACAAATCTAATGCTCATCGAAGTAAAAAACTTATATCGGTTTTTGCGTTATCAACTTTTAAATAATTCTGAAGTAACTTTTACGTACAATTTATGACAGCTTATATATATCAGTGGAATGTATATTAGTATTGTACATGCAATTAACGATAAATTATGTTGACTTGTTAATTATTATGTGTTTATGCTTACCTTTTGACGATAATCCATTTTATCCAAGTTGTAACTGTAGCAAAATCTGTAGTTAATACCAGTAACACAAAGATCTAACAATTGCATTAATAACTTTATACGTTCTGTAATAATATAATTTTATCTTATGGATAATCACGATTTATATTACAACTATATCACAAAATTAAGCATCCCTTTTGATCAATCTTTTGATAATTTTATAAATCTTACGATGTTGCACACTTTGTTACCCCCCACCACATATAAATAAAAATGGCGTGAGCGCTCATAAAATCAAAAGGTCTTCGATTACATAGTGTAGTACATGATGTACAACCAGATACAAATTTCATATTTTCTATTAAGTCTATTTTCATTGATTTTACTTGATGTTTTCATAGCAAACTGTAGATGTTATTTAATAGTGATTAGTATTATTTAAATTATAAAACTACATTTATCACATTTTAAATTATGTAATGATATTTATAGACAATATATCGCTTTGTTTTAGAAATATTAATCTTTATTCATGAAACTGATTAATCCTATTTCTCGTGAACTACATTCATAATGGAAAGTGAACACAGTCAAAACTTTGTAATTCATTCGCGTAGAATACAAATTAATCGCATAAAGATGTAAAGTCTATTATATTTTTTAATTTCGATCTATTTGATCGATGTAACAAATTTTTATTGAAGAAAGAAATCGGAAAAAATTAAAAATGCTTTCATTAACCAAGTCTTTATTAGAGCATCGACTAGGCATAAAATGATAGAGCTCCTATAGATACTATCACCACATAGCGGTAAAAAAATGAAGATAATTGTTATTAGTATCGCCAGCAACAGATTAAATTAAGTGCTACTGTTTATTGTATTCAACAATATCATAAGAAATTGGGATTCAATATTCAATAAATAATAAATTCATTTGGATATGTCATATCATTAGTCAATGTTATTTCTTTATTAATTAGCTAATTGAACACTCTTGATAATGTCCTTAGTTAATGGCATTGAATAATACTTGTACGTTCAAATAATGCAGTACGTTCAACTTCAATGATTTAAGGTCTAGAAAAATGTTTACAATGTAAGAATATATCCATAACAAAATACAATGACATGAAATTTAAATGTGTAATACAGAGAAGAATTATTATTTATACAATTTGAATCATGGCATCGACCGGTAAAAGTACAAGAGAGGTTTTGTTATCTATTGTTGATGACATTGAATTGATAGCAAAGTACGATTTAAATATTTACTACAAACATTAAAAATTACTTATTAGCCTTAAATTTACTTGTTAATTTTATTATCGTAGAGAAATGATAGAAAATACGATAGTTCAAAAACCATTGAAATTATCGAACGAAGAACATGCTCAACTTACAGAATTGTTGATCACCAAGGATAATGAATTTAAATCAGTTTTAAAACGTGCGGCTGAACAAGCAAAAATTAATCTTAAAATGGAAGCTTTAAAAGCTGAAGTTGAGAGACAAGATCAAGATATTCAACAATTGCAGCGACAATTGAAGGAAGCAGAACAAATTTTAGCCACTGCAATTTATCAAGCTAAACAAAAGTTGCAATCCATCGCCCGCGCCAATAAAAGGCCTGTGCCATCTGAAGAATTAATTAAATATGCACATAGAATAAGCGCATCGAATGCTATATGTGCTCCTCTTACTTGGCAACAAGGGGATCCCAGGAGACCTTATCCTACTGGTATATTATTCTTGCATTGTTTTTATTTCTTCACAAGTCATGGAAATTATCTTTGTTTAGATATTGAAATGAGATTGGGCTATCTTGGACGATTAAGCGATCTTCCATTGAATGGACAGATGCCAGGCACTCATCCTGGAATATCATCTGATTTACATAGAACTGGACATCCAGTAGGTGGTATGTTTGTAAAAATCTATTTGTATATTTATGGCTAATAGTACGCTTAAATTTTTTTATTCAAATTAAATTATTTCAGAACCACCTGTATCACAAGCTAATCAATTTGCCTGGCATTCATCGGGTGAAATTCATATGTCTGTGAGTGGACAAGGTAGTGTTGCCATGAATACTCATAAGCAAGAAACAGAAGATGTTGAAGTTATGTCCACAGACTCTTCGAGTAGTTCATCTAGTGATTCTCAATGAATATTAATTTTTTGTGAAGCTCAATTTTTATAAATTTTACACTGAAAGTAACTGTTTTATAGGTTCATTATGATTTTATGTGAAACGTATGTATATAAAACGTTTATTCCATTGCAACAAAATATTAGATTTAATAGAAGTTAATGAACATTTTTTATTATCAATATATTTATTAATTCATTATAAAATCAAGGATATAACACTTTGAATTAACACTATTTTTTGTATTATACAGATTCAAGTAAAATTTGTGGTAAAAAACTATGTAAGCATTGATGTGTATAATACATTTCCGGATATGTCTGAAAGAACAAATAATAATAGTTTGAAAGTGACAATATCTTAAAGTAACATCTTGAGTGTTAATTCTTAATTTCTTTCACATACCAATTGAATTTCATCTTTGAAATTTGCCTTTTGAAATAAAATATTTTGATTGGTGAATACAAGGCCAAGTAATTCACAATCTGCTTTAATTTTATCTATCTCTTTATACAATAAAAGTTGTTGTAATTTAAGTCCCGGAAATGTGAAAACTTTACTGTTGTATCCTGAACTCATAATTTTTAATGCTGTCCTGCAACATTGTATAATTGTACATTAATAATAATTTCGCTAGTTGAAATTTAAACGTATATGCATACCTTCTTAATTTTTGTATACCAGTCATAGCTGCACATATAAGTAATGGAGGAAGTTGTGGAATTAGAGAACAAACGCGCACATAATTTTTTAAATACCAAGCAAACGATATTTTTATCGACAATTGTACATTTGGAGATATTCTACGAAAAATGATAAATTATTTTTCATTAAATACATAATTTATATTAAAACATATGAATTGTAAGTATTATAAGTCATTTATTGGATTGGTACCGTAAATCATGAGGGAGTCGTAATGCTCTCGTCAAAGCTTCCATGTTACCCATATATAAAAGAATGTATAATGCTTCCATTTCTGCACGATTGTCATTTAATATTAATCTTTCCATATCTCTATCAAGTTCCAGAGAATTTCCCTCGTCTTCGGATTCGTCATATAAGACTAACAAACGCGTTAAGCATTCGGCAAGGTGTTGTCCATTAATAATTGTATTAAATTCAGAGATATTTCGCTCACATAATCTGCAATCGTTTCTCCATATCCATTCTGTTAAAACTGCGCATTTTTCGAATCTGTTTTGAGAAATACAATATATCGTACCTTTGCGCAGAATAAACCAAAAAGCGAACTATAGGTTCCAACAACTGAATATACATAAGGGCATCGATTCTTTGAATTGCAGCGTCTTGTCTGACAGATCTTAAACGATCGAAGATAAATTCGTATATTATTATCCAATCTACATCGGTACGCGTAGCTATTCTGAAATTAATATATATATATATATATATATATACACATACATAAATAGCTGTACAATACATTAATGTAATTTCAATTACACAAGTATGTACTTGCTAAACAAATATCGAATCGTCGATAATAATACCGATGCTGGACGCAATAGTTTCATATCGGTCATGTCCGATCCTGCTGCTGAACGACTGAAACATTTTATAGTTTTCGCTGGATCTGCCTTCGGCAATTTTGCTCCCTTTGTATTTTCGTCGATCTCAAATTTGTGTAGTAAACCCTCTTTTTCTCTGCTATAAGTGTGTGTTGTCATGAATTTTTCAAAAAAAAATTTTCTTGAAGAAAACTTTTTATTAAGAAGATATAAAAGATATTTAAAAAAATCAAAAGAATGTTTCTAACAACAATTTACAAGAAAGTTGAAATTTAGTTTAATTTCATTATTACATGATCATAATATAATTTATATTGAAAAACAATACTGGCAGATTTTTATAACTTACATCCAACGTTCTTTCTCTGGACACATTAACAAACATGTTCCTTGACTAAACGTAGTCATTTTGACAAAAGTCCTTCAAAATTACCAGTTGTCACGATTATTGCGTACGTAAAAAGGTTATGTTGACTATCTCTTGATTAATTTCACTAAAATATTTATACACGTTCCTCGTCGTACCTCACGTACATAATACACACACACATATATATATGTAACGTGATTAATATACTTGTATCGTTAACTGTAATTGTATTGATTAATGATAACCGTAAGCATGAATTGCAATACCATAATCATTAACTGAGATTTTTTTAAAAATGAAATAATATAATGTATGTACATACAATTTATCCGATATACACATCTGACTACTAGTCTAATACTATACACAAATATATAACTATCTGATCATTACTATACACAAATATACTACTCTATATAAACATATTCAAATTGCATTTTTGAAAATGGATCTTCTACATTGTATTAAAATAATAAAACTTCTTATAAAATAATATATTAATGATATAATGATTATTTTTGTTTTTTATAGATTTATTTTCTCACTTTCGAATAAAAAAGTCTTATACGAGTACGCGTTCAAAACGATGGAATCTAAAATGAGAATGATCAAGGGAAACGCTTTGCCACGTCCTTGTGCGTTACGTATGTATACACTTGTTATTGCGTAGCTCTTCGTCGCATCGCCGTTATTACACGAAGGTTAACGTTCTAACGTAAACTTTCTCTTCTTTCTTCTTTTCTTTATTCTCATCCTAAATGTATCAAATATAAATATATGAAACAAAATTAATAAATTAGTTTGTACTGAAAATGAGAATTATCTATATTGGCTAAACTGATTCATATACTGGCGGTAATATTAATGACAATATTATTTCTTTCAAATTCTCACGTAAAATGACAGAAGTAAACATCGCGATGAAATTGTATTTGACAATCTGCATGTATATGAATAATTTCATATTTTAATTTAGTTTCTTGATAAAAGCAAATAATTTTTTTTTTCTTATCAAATCTTCATGATGTTTCCAATAAAATCATTATGCTATAAATACGTTATGTTTGTGATGTTTGACCTCCTTTCAAATTGTTAATTACGTAATAAAGACACCGAAATGTTTTACATTGCGTTGTATATGGTGTGTGCGTGTAAATATCAGATGTTTGCGATCGCGTCAATTTAAATTCCTGTTCCTTTATATGAAACTCGCTTGCATGTAAAGAAAATTATCTTATGTCAATCTAATCAGAAAAATATCTAGTAATGTACGACTATTAACGCTGTTATATATTACATATAGGCAATTAGAATTGTATATTTAGAGTTGCACGATGCGTGAGAAATTTTTGAGAAAAGTCACATATTAATCACATATTATTATTAGAATTATACTTATCATTGATGTTGGTCGTCGTTACTAGACTATAAGTATTTTCTATTTATACATACGGCAAGCGATTTTAGATGATATATGTATGTTACGTGTGATTTCAATGGGAAAACCGTGACGCGTGTTCTTCGATCGCTGGATTCTTTGAAAAAATTTATGCTATTTTACTATACATATACATTAAAAGCGAATGATGATTAACAACGTGATTAATGCTTGAAGTTATATTTTGTAATCGTTCGTGTAAAAAATCACTCGTTATCTTAAATTGTCATATGCAGCAATATGATACGAGCAATTATGTATATTTATAAAGGTGATGCTCATCCGGACCATAAAATGAAATCTTTTATCGTGTTTCCCTATGTATCAAACGTGATTTTATAGATAGACAGATAAGCATGAGTTTAATCTATCTTAGAATGTATCAGATTTTTATAATTTCTTTTGATTCATATATTCATTTAGAAACTTACACGTTTTTAAGAAACTCATTTTGAAATACAATCCTTCACAGAGGATTATCCTGTCATTCGTTCTTCTCATAAAAGTTGAAATAATAATTCCATTAATTGTTATATGTATTACACATTATATTCGACTTTTTCATAAGTAATAAGTACATCCATTTATTTATTATTCATTTTTGAATATGAATGAAAATATTAAATAATTATTACATATTATTCATTTTAAATTCATGCATTCATTTATCATTTGTTTCACATACATTACGTACAAAGATAAGTAAACCAAAAGATGCATTCCGCCACGAACGTAGTTTCGAAGAATCTGGTAAAATTTCGTCAGGTGGACGAGATAATGTTCGGAATGTCGGAGAAGTTTGCTTCGTTATTATTTAATAAGATAAAACTATACAATTACATAGTTTAATATTTGTAATTTTACATTAAAAGCTATTAGGAATCGTTCCTGATTCTGAATGAAAATTGACCCATTCATTCGTGCTTAAACTTGATACGTAGCACGATAGGTGCGTCAGAAAGGGAAATGCGATATCGATGCTATATCATCGATATGACAGAACATTTCTTTAGAGAATATCGGTGGAATTCCCGCGATATTTTTTTTACAGGGGAAGAACAAGAGGAAATAATAAGAAACCGTTGACGTTATTTGCATCGTGCGGTAGACACGAGTAAAGTAAGAGGACTGGGTATTTTGTGGGGTACGCGTGACCTCCAAGAAATCCTTGTATAGAGAAACGAACATCGCTGCATTGATCCAGTCTTTCTTAAAACATCGTTGATTTTACACAGTCGTACACGACGATTAGGACGAACAAACGCGAATATAAAACCGACATTATTGTATTAAAAACAAGGAGTAAAACTACAAAAATTGTTAGTTTTTTTCCAAATTAAACTTTCGCTTTTTTTCTTTTTTTCTTTTTTTTTTACCCTTTTTTCTATACGATAAACAATGTGTAATAATTATGTTTGTGCATTCTTGCAACGAGAGATAAAAAAAAAGATTTATTCTTAGACGGCTATTCTTAGCAATCATACTCTTAAATAATCACGTTTAGTCAACAGTTTAAAAAAAATACTGTCTGATATAAGTTTTCACAATTGAAATATATATCGAAAGCTTTAAAAAAACGATTGAGTAATATAAAACGACAATATAATTTTGTGTACGGTATATGTTCACATTTCGTTATAAAATATATAATTTTTTTACATAGAACATCCAAAATATTAATAATGTAGATTGTCAAATATTAACAATGATTACTTTGCTTTTAAATATCTAAAAACTGGTATCTATCTTTTACACAAATACATTCCTTATTAATGCATCGTTCGTCTAAATGTAATACTCTCATTTACAATGGAACAGATTTTTGTGATACTTAGATTAGATAAAGTGAAATGTTATGTTTATTTCCTGTATTTGCTTGCCGTCAATCTCATTGCCGAATGCACTGCCTGTTCGTACAATTGTCTATGCTGTTTGTACAATCTTTTTTACCGATGATGTGCAACAATTATGATAATAGTACTAGTGCAGCTATTAATTTCACGTGTTCACGATATTTCACAACTTTATAAATTTGCAGACGACACGCAGAATGACGCAACGAAAAGTGATAGTGCTTTTGATAGAACTTTCTTTATTGTTTCCCCGTTTCCTCTCAGGTAAGTAAAAACGATGTTAATTAATTAGCGTTACTCAATATATGCACAAAGACGAAAAAGTGTCAATTTCCCACTGTATATAATATGGATTATAGATAATTGATTATAGATTTTCATCGCTTAATCTTCGTGTATGCTGGATCCATTTTTACTAAAGTACTGAATTCGTAATAATTAATATAATCGTTATTTTTAAGAAGAAAAAAGCACGCATTTGTAAATATAATGAAATTTTAATGTATAGTACATTAGGAAATTTTAATATATAGTTCACTATGGGTCTATATGAATCCAATGTCCGCCCTGTATATTACGAAAATCATTTCCTGTTCAATAACTGATTAATGGAATATAAATATTTTTCCAATAGTTATAGCTAGATCTAATTCGTTACATTAATACACTATACTTAATATATATTTCTAACATTACACTATAAAAACATTCATCCTTTATTCCCTTAGAAACTATTATAACGGCGCGTAATGATTTTGAATTCGGGGACATCGATTCGGAAGTGGCGGATGAATTGGACTGGACGAAGCATCCTTGTCGACGAAATTGCAAAGACGAAACACCTCCAATGGAATGTCATTACGTGTTTAGGTTAGAAGCGTATCATACAGTGAGCAAAGCATGCTACGATTGCCCATTCAATATCACGGATTGTTTTCGCGAACATTGTATTCCAGCAGATGGAGTCGAAAGATCGATTTTAGTGGTTAACCGGCAAATGCCTGGACCACCTATCGAGGTATATACATATATAATTAAATAATATCAGAAATGTGTTGATCGAAACTGATACCGGAACGTAAAAAACTTAAAAAAACGTGAGAAACTTAAAATTGAAAGTAACAATATATATGTAATTTTTTTCACGTATCTTAGATTATCACGAAAGTATTATCTATAGCGCAGATGCCTACAGGTATATATAATCCTATACATTCAACATCATATTATGATCTTGTCATCATTACGTGACATCATTTTATATGGAAATCATTCTACTTTATCCGTCTACGTGATCCGTCAGATTTCCTAATAGTAAACGAAAAATGATGTTTAGTTACGGAAATTCTCGAGGATATTGTTATACCTAAACAAAATTCAAACCCCGTGATATTCTAATAGTTAGAGTCTATGCTATTCATAATTAAATTAGAATTTATTCATTTATTAATGAGTGACTTATCTAATCGGATTTAGGTGTGTCAAGGTGACAGGATAATAGTCGATGTAATAAATTTATTGCATTCTGAGAGTACGACGATGCATTGGCATGGTCAGCATCATGTTAAGACGCCATATATGGATGGTGTGCCTTATGTGTCTCAATGCCCGATTTTGCCAGGTTCAACTTTTCGTTATGATTATATTGCCACCGAAGCAGGCACACATTTTTGGCATTCTCATTTAGGTGCGAGAAAATTTTAATTCAATCTATGTATCGTCAATTTCACGTTCATTCGTCAAATCGGCCAACAGTTTTTAATAAAAACCCAAATTTTTAGGCTTCCAAAGAGGCGACGGAGTATACGGTGCGTTAATTGTGCGTACATCACCGAAAGTAAATTGGCACAAAGACTTATACGATATTGACGATCATACTATCTTGATTTCGGATTGGACTCATGAATTAGGAATCGATAAATTTTTAAGTCATCATTATGCAGGTGGAGACAACAAACCGCCTAATATTTTGGTTAATGGTTTGGGCCGTTTCACTATTAACCGGCACGAAAACAATATATCCGCTATAATGCCAACTGCAAAATTTACCGTTAAACAGGTAATATTAAATGCGAAAATAATTTGTGACGAAAGTTATACATTGTACAAATTATAAATTATATATTCGTTCTAGAACCATTATATACACATATATAGTGTGTATACATATATATTACAGGATACATATTTGTACATATAAAGAATATAATATACATGTATATTTTATACTATCTATAATGCTATATGTATCATGTAATGTATATATGTATACGTATTTAAATATAGCAAGTAAGAATATACGCATTATAAATTTAAATTATTATTATATATTTACATTTTACATTGCACGTGTGTAAATTTATATTTCTTTGCGTTCGTTATAACATATTCGTTTGTAAGCGTTTTGATCTAATAAGGAAAACTATTCGTTCGTTGTAAAGTCGTTTTTCATCGTTTGTTGCAGTATACTTCGCTATATTTATAGTTACATTTGCATTTATATTTACAGAATACTAGATATAGATTTAGGCTTATTAACGCTGAATTTCTTAATTGCCCGATTGAATTGTCGATCGATAATCATACTCTACATGTAATTAGTTCAGATGGGCGTGATATTGAACCCGAGGAAGGTACGCATATAAATAGAAAGGGAAGAAAAGGGAAAAACAAAAAGATAAGGAAAGAATTTCTTTAACACTAAGTTTATAATTCCAGCGGAATCTTTGATAAGCTATGCCGGCGAAAGATTCGACTTTATTGTTGAAACTAATCAAGATGTGAATAACTATTGGATGCGATTTCGTGGATTAATGGATTGTGATGAAAGATTCACCAAGGCCTATCAGGTTGCTGTATTACGATACGAAGGTGCACCTGAAAAAGATCCAGACGGTGTAGTCTTGTATGAACGCGAATCGAATGAATATATAGGTCAGGTGTGTTTATGTCATAATACTATCTACATTTATACAAATGTAGTAATCTGAAGTACAACGATATATGTGTACATATATTTTCTAACACGTCTTTTTCTTTCAGCGAATAAATGCTTTAAATGAAGGCATGGAAACTAATAACAGCGTTAGTATACCATTGTTAAAAGCCATGGACAAAAATGACAAATCGAATATTGCACATCCTGATTATCAATTTTATGTGTCTTACGATTTTTATAAAAAAGATAATCCTCATTTCCATCGTGGAAAGCTTTATGGATTTAATCAAGGTAATACAGTTTAAGATGTAATATATTAATATATATATATATATTTATAAATAATATTTAGTAAATTTCTTATTTGATCAATGTAATTTTCAGTAAAAGATACCAAACGAGTACTTACTCCTCAGTTGAACCATATCTCAATGAAGTTACCACCCATGCCTTTGCTATCTCAAAGAGATTTCATCGATTCAGATCAATTTTGTAATGCGAGTACTGTTCAAGACTGCATACAAGATTATTGTGCTTGCACTCATGTTCTCCAAGTAAAGCTTGGTAGTGTGGTAGAAATAATCTTGGTAGATGAAGGTTTGAAAATTATTATATATTTGCTTCATAATTCATACATACACAATCACATAATTAATATTTCTCGATTTTCAATCATTTATTTGTTAGGTTTCGCGTATGATGCGAATCATCCGTTCCATCTTCATGGCTATCAATTTCGTGTGATTGCAATGGAAAGAATCGGCAAGAATGTCACCGTTGATCAAATAAAGGCATTGGACAAAAAAGGAGCGATACGACGAAATCTTGATCGTGCCCCATTAAAAGATACCGTAACGGTACCGGATGGCGGTTATACTATTTTACGATTTCATGCCAACAACCCAGGTATGACAACTAGAATTAATCGTTGAACAAATATCATTTAAAATTTTTACAAATTTTATATACTTTTAGGCTATTGGTTGTTCCATTGTCACATTGAATTCCACGCGGAAGTCGGAATGTCGTTAATTTTTAAAGTTGGCGAGCATAAAGATATGTTACCAGTACCAAATAATTTTCCTTCTTGTGGTAATTGGCAACCTAAAGATATACCATTCAAACCAAGTACCGTCAATATTTTATTAAACACTACGGAAATTCCAAACGCAACAGTAGATAAAATTACTGAGAACAGTATACAACAATTTATAAAGGTGTTACCGCAAGTTCTAAGAACATTACAAATGTCATCCTCAGCTAGTACCTCAGTTATTTCGCATATTTGTTTCTTTCTTTTTCTTATTCCTCTTTTATAGCTGTAATTTATAAAATTGTGTAAGAAAAGGAGAATTGTTTGTAAATATACTGTTTTAATTGTTTTGTTACAGTTAAGTAAGTAATATGTACGAGAATTTAGTCTGGTACAACATTCTCTTGTACGAGAATTAACATCATTGTATTATTTTAAATTACCAAATAATCATGTTACCAAATACATAATATTTAGTATATAGAGTATACATTCTAACAAAAAGCAATTAAATAAAATATGAGAAACTAAAAATATCAAAGAAATATTTTTGTAAAAATAGTTTGGTATCAAGAAAATTCTAATTCATTATAAACTATTGCACTGATTTTACCTAAAAACATCAATTTATATATGTACGTTGATACTTGAACGAAATTGGATGCATATGTTATTTAGGAAATGTCCGTTTGTGTTCTAATCTATTTTCAATTGTAAGTAGTTTTATTTAGTTTTATTGAGTATTTCTATACTGTGATATAAATAGTATAAGCATACTTGTTAAAAATTAAATACCGTTGATTGTTAAAAACAGTGTTCATAATAAGTAGTTAATATATTTCTTATTTTTACATGTAATGATACATGCGAGAGAATAGTTAATGAATATTCTTATGTTATATTATGTTATTTTGTAAACGAACATAAAATTTGATGATATAAATTAAAGAATTTTATCCATCCAGTAAATCTAAAATTTCGTGCGTGAAAATCTGTCGATAACTTTTTTTGAGATTGTCAATTGTTAAAAAAATGAGGAACGAAAAGCTTATATTAATAGCGTATGTAGTATAATATGTATCAGGAGATGTATAAAAGGTGTCCTAAACTTCAAAGTTTAATGTCGCACTATTTTGTAAATTTGTAAATTTGTATGTTTAAATAAAAAAAAAACTAGTTCCATTTACTTTATTTACTTTTTATTTATTTATTACATATATTATCAATAATCATATCTTGTAAACTGACATTAATTTCCTTTTTAACAATTTTCAAAAGACAAATTATATGTTATTAAACATTATTACACGTTTCTTGGGAACATTGAGAAGGTGGACAAATTGTATAACACACGTCTTTTTGAGGTGGTCTCTGTAGTGGATGTGCCAGTAGTTTAGCCATACTATCGTGCAATTTTGCTGCGTTCCTTCCTACTTCTAATATGTATGAAAAATTTGTTGTATCCAATGTTGCTATTTCAGAATAAATTTCTTCACATAAATTTTCAGAACAAGGTGGTTCATGCACATACAATACATCTATGAAAAAATATGGATTTTTTGTAAGAGTATCTAAAGGCCTTTTGTCAAGATGAAATTTTGGGATACTATTGGAACGTGAATACACTAAAATTACTCTGACAACGAATGTTGGAACAGCTGTGTCAGATTTCTTATTTGGCAGAGGTAATTTCTGTTCTATCTCATCGAATATTTGTCCAAGGTCATATGTTTTTTTATCTTCCTCTAGGATATCATCATTAATAAGATTCAAATGATTGACAACGCTGTTGGTATTATTGGTAAAATCGCATATCCATTGAAAGCTGTGAGAGTTCAAGATCATTAATCCATACTCGTGGCTGTGTTGGATGACAGATTTAATGTAAATAAAATTTTCTATAGTTCGTTTTATCATAAACAAAGGCATATAGCTAGCTCCTGTAGAAAGTTTGAATGGTGTACAATTCCTCTCTCTTGTCGTATCGATTACGAATAAAATTTTCTCAGGTAAATTCATTCCTGAGAAATTTCGTAACAACGTGTTGTCTTCATCGGGCTTGAAATCCGGAATGAAACACGAGGCGCTTTCACTGTTACTCATTTTCTACTGGATGTAGGTTAGCATCTCCGAAAATTTTGTCAACAAATCAATATCCTTTGTTGATCATTTTTAATACATTTTCCTATTATAACAATAATTAATATAAGTAATTAATACATACATGTGTCTATGTGTGTGCGTTGACTAGTTTTCGCGTGTTTACTAGATAAATCACAGCATCCAGTTGACTTGTACCTGACATTATTGCATACAAACAAAAATGCAATTAGTTTTTCCTCGATGAACAGCTGTACTTTATTTGGCAGTACTTTTGATTGATTTGAATATATAACACAATATAAACAGTTCTTGTTACAATATGCTTGCATTGAAAGATTATGGTAGCAGCGGCGACGATAACAGTGAATCCGAAAATGAGAGTGAAAATAAAAAAAGTGAGGTTAACTGTATCGTCGATTCTATCAACGTTTCTACCGTTAATTCTATTCCCGCAGAAAATTTGGCTGCATCTCTAAATATGCAAATTTGTTCCGCACCCGAAGTGATACCAATGGTGAGTATAATAAGTTTTCTTTCATTGAGTCGAATAGGTTAGAATATAATAGGTATTTTGTAACACTGTTTCAACTGAGATTAAAATTACAATTTTGAAATTATTAAATACTTAATAGATATTTAATTAATTACGTGTTATAGGGAACAGAATTATGTATAAACCATATAGATTCAACTGTGCAAGAGATAATGCACAACCCTAAATATGAAGAACTTTTTGCACCTGATGTTGGTCCAGAAAATCCATTTAAAACACAACAGCAACGTGCTATAAAAAATATGCTTTCTGGATATGTTGAGAAAGCTCATATAAGCGAGTTTCAATTTGAGAATCAAAGAAGAACATTTGCTAGTTATGGTATGTAATATGATAATACTAGCATATAAGAAACCTTAATAAAAATCATATATTGCAATATGATTACAAGATTGTATGTGTATTTTATAGGGTATGCACTAGATCCAACTGTAGATGGTAGTGCAGAAGAGGGTAAAACAATCATTGGTGCAAAAGATGCTGCTGAAGAATCTGGTGGTAAAACTGTATTTGAAAGTACAACGCTAAGGGCTTCTGACAAAAGAAAACGTCACAGAAATGATGATCCTGCAGATATAGAAGGCTTTTTAGGTCCGTGGGGTGGATATGTAGATGAAAAACGAGTTATTAAACCAACTGAAGAAGAAGCCGCAGAATTAGAAGAAATATTAGCGAAAAGAAATAGACGAGGGAAACCAACAGAAGAAAAACCACTCGAAGAAAAAACAGTATTACATAGTACTATCATAATAATTTTTAAATATGTTAACTAGTTAAATAACAGGAAATTATACAAATTTTTTTTTTTAGTTAAAGATAGTGTGGATTATCAAGGCAGATCGTTTTTACATGCACCACAGGATGTTGGTGTAAATTTAAGATCGGAATCACCACCTGACAGATGCTTTTTACCAAAAGCGCAAATTCATACTTGGGAAGGACATACCAAGGGTATTTCACAAATCAGATGGTTCCCACATACTGCACATTTGTTACTTTCTAGTAGCATGGATTGCAGGGTAAAGGTATGTGTATATTTGAACTTTTTGTGAAAAATAATATGAAAGACAGATATCAAGTATTAATTTTGTTTATATGCTATTAAGTATAGTTGTGGGAAGTTTATAAAGACAGAAGATGTATCCGAACTTATTATGGTCATCGTCAAGCTGTAAGAGATATAAGCTTTGATAACGATGGGAAAAGATTTTTGTCTGCTGGATATGATCGTTATGTAAAATTATGGGACACAGAAACGGGTGGTTGCATAAGTCGATTTACTAGCAGAAAAATTCCATACTGCGTGAAATTTAATCCTGATCCAGATAAGCAACATTTGTTCGTAGCAGGCACCAGTGATAAAAAAATTATTTGCGTAAGTTACAAACATCATGTTCTAATAATTTTAAGAATTTTATATTCGTCAATTTTCACAGATAATGAATATACGATATATCTTACAGTGGGATATCCGTTCCGGTGAAATAACACAAGAGTATGACAGACATTTGGGGGCTGTAAATACAATAACATTCGTAGATGAAAATCGAAGATTTGTAACAACTTCGGACGATAAAAGTCTAAGAGTATGGGAGTGGGATATACCGGTCGACATGAAATACATAGCCGATCCTTCGATGCATTCTATGCCAGCAGTTACACCCTCTCCTAATCAAAAGTGGTTAGCATGCCAGAGTATGGATAATAAAATTGTTATATTTTCTGCATTAAACAGATTCAAAATGAATCGCAAGAAAACATTTACGGGTCACATGGTTGCTGGTTATGCGTGTGGTTTGGACTTTTCTCCTGATATGAGGTAAGAAAATTTTTGTTAATTCTTGTACAATTGCTTTTGGCATGGTAAAATTTAATTTCTTTATTCTAATTTTCTTAAGTTATCTTGTGTCGGGAGATGCGGATGGAAAATGTTACATTTGGGATTGGAAAACGACGAAATTGTATAAAAAATGGAAAGCACATGACGGTGTCTGTATCGACGTACTATGGCACCCTCATGAACCTTCAAGATTAGCTACAGCAGGTTGGGATGCAAAAATAAAATATTGGGATTAAGAGCATTATAAATTGTATTTTTACAGAAGTAATTTCTGTTTGTCTGCCTTTGTATTTGTATCTGTATTTTATATCACATGTATAAATAGATTCACTTTATATATATATACATATATTTTCAAACGTGTATCATTAAAAATACATAATTAATAATAAAAACATAGGAACTTCTGATTGTTCAGAAATAATTTACTGCTACTATACAAAATATGCATAAATATATGCATAAATAACTATTTTAAATAATAAATTATATTAAATTTTTTAATGTTACTAGGTCAATTAGTAAAATTTTTATTATAATTCTTTTACATTTCGTTTTCAATTAGACGCAAGTAATATAAAAGTATACTTAGTTAATGATTATTTCGTTTTTTTTATAAGCAGTAAAAATTAGATATTATAATGCTATTTGAAGTGTGTGCGAATTTTTAAATAACTTCCATTATATATAAATACTTTTTAAATCACAAACTTTCTGCCGTTCTATGACGGTCGTAAAAATCAATAATACGCATCATGATGTCTGCCGTTTTTGTTTCATATGTCGTTGCAGATTTGTTTACCGTTCTCGGCAAATTAAAATTTTCAAATCTAATTGTTAAATTGACGAACGCTTAACAGTATATGCTTTTTTAATTATTATTATTAAAATCTAATATGATAAATCGATTCGTGCAAGGATCTTGAAATTGTACAAATATCCATCAAGTTACTATTAAATTAGAAGGTAATAATAAGTTTTTACTTATATAAGTATTTATGGATACCTTTTATCAATACGAGTTTTACTTATACGAATAAATTTATTAAGTTGTTCAAGTATGGATATGTATTTAACATTTTCGTTGAACACGTGGACTGTTGTATGAGATGTGAATTATTTTCTCCATTCTTTCTATTTTTTTTTTTTAAAATAGAAAGAAATACTCAAATCAATATAAGAAAATCTGTCTACTTGTCTTTATAAAAACAAAGAAAAAAACGAATATTACATGTGTACCTCAGTATATAATTGTACAAATATCATTTGTAAAGGTGACAATATGCCTGTAAAAATATACATAATAAAAAATCTACATAACATGATAGGTGTAATATAAAAATGGATGGTCCTGGATTAGGATACTCGTATCATCTTCCTTCTGCAGGATGGAATTTTCGAGTTAGAAATATACTTTCACAATTCAGTGATCTTTTTAGTGAATTCAATAAGTATATTGCACCTGCCTATCATCATGATCGTTGTGAAAGGTATATACATTTATTCCTATCACATATTATTCAATAATATATTATTTAATAATAATATTTTTGTTTTTCTAGATCAGTTCAAATGCGATTATATTCTATGCACAAGAGGGAATTTGTTATGGTATTCGTTGCTTTTTTTGCATGTTTTGGATTAGCTGTATTTATTGGACTTGCAGGTAAGTAAAATTATAAAAAAAATATAATTTATTAAAATGTTTTTTTTTTTATTGTTGTTGCTCTTTTTATTAAAATACAATACAATACATACAAACATACAAATGTATTATATCAATATAGGTCCTCCTATCACTTCTACAAGTGAACAAAGAGCTCATGTAAATGGCAGTGAAATTGCTAGTGGCCCTTTTATTATGAAAACCCCTTTACTGTCTACATATAGTCAACAGCTATGGGTCATTGCAAAATTATTGACATCTAATAATGATGGTAATGTAAATACGGAAGGAAAAATTATCAGCAAATAATGAAATTGTAATAATATGTTTTAAATTTTACAGATGAGAGATATGACAAAAGTTTTCAAGTGAGCATCTCCATAGATGGTATTACCATTGATCATAAACTTATACCTGTTCTGCCTTCAGAAACTGGTCATAATAGGTATGTCTGAAATCTATACAGTATAGCCCAACTTTTAATAAGATAATGTAAAAGATTTACTAATATATGCTTTCTCCTTATAGAACTAGACACTTGAAATGTGAAAGACAAACATGTGAAGAACTTGTAGTTGCTCATCTAGGATTTCTCGATTACAATTACTATATTATTACTGTTCGCTTTCATGGACTCGAAAGCTTTCATCAACGTTATAACATACGCGATCTCACATTCTACGTCAGTAAGCACTATGTGAAATAAGAGACTTTTTAGAATCGAAATAATCGCACTTGATAATGTTTTTACTTGTTCATAGTTCAAGAATTACAATCCAGCATTCACAGAGTTTGAGATTTGGTTTCGATTTATCTTTTTGTTAATTGCATTTGGAGTTATGGTAAAAAGCAATTTTATATATATTTACATATTAATTGAATACACACGTCAATAACATCAATTTTTAGTGTTGGTTTGGACATTCACTACGAAAGTATCCATTACACGATTGGTCAATAGAACAGAAATGGATTTCTATATTGCTTCCCTTGTTAATTTTATACAATAGTAAGTTGTTAAAAAATAACGAGTTATGTTTCAAAAATTCTTCATTTAATTTTCAAAGAACTAATTTGTTTTACTTTATTTATAGATCCATTATTTCCAATGACATTTCTAGTCAATTCTTGGATACCTGGTATGATAGATGCAATTCTACAGACGACATTTCTTTGTGCAGTCCTCATGTTTTGGTTATGTGTTTACCATGGTTTAAGACAAGTATGATATTACGATGTGATTTGGCAGAATTCAAATCATAGTATTTTTGTATTTATGAATTTTGCATTTTAACAGAACGAAAGGCGTCTTATTACATTTTATTTACCAAAAGTTTTGGTAGTGGGTTTACTATGGTGTTCAGCATTTATTTTAGCAACATGGTTGCGCTGTACAGAATTAGAAGATCCCACTTATAATTATGTACTTGATACATCGAATTATTTTGTAAGTTATCAAAATAATCAATGATTATATGTTTAGAATACAATATTTTTACTTGATACCAAAGAATCTATATGATTATAGGGTTTCAAAGTATTCTTCTTCACAGTAGGAGGATTTTATATAGCATATCTTCTTCTCTTAATATTAAGAGCATATAGCGAATTGAGATCTATGCCATACTTTGGTATGATTATAAACATATTTGAAATTTTTATTTACAGTTTCTTATAGAGTATTCATGATATATTATCTATTTTACTTATTTCTTGTTTCTTTTTCAGATCTTCGTTTACGTTTTTTGACATTGCTTGCCGCTGTAGTTTCATTGGTTTGTGGTTGTGTGACAGCACGACAATTTGGAGCTGGTATTTTTGAGGACAGCTTTGCCTCCCGTCTTACAACTTATTATCGTTCATCTGCGCAATTCATGGCTTTATATGGTCTTCTAAATTTTTACCTATATACCATGGCTTATGTATATGCACCGGCATATCAACAAGTATATGGACAACGTAAGTATCTCAGTTTTGATTGAATAATAAAAAATTCTTTTTACAAATCAATGTATGTATTATTATTTCAATCGATATTAGATTCTTCTATAACAAAGGACAACCCTACGTTTTCTATGATTAATGACTCCGACGAAGAAGTCATATATGGTTCAGATGAAGAAAGTCGACGGCCTTTAACTCGAACATCTCGAATTGCAAATAATAATTAATCAAGTCCAATTGTTCACCGTGGAAGAGGAAGAAGCATTTTTAAAGCAAAGAATATGGTAACAACAAAATGTTAAAAATAGTAATAGTCATATGCTGTAAAATAAAATACACGAAAATGAATAATTTATTCTAAGCAAAATTTAATAAAATAAAATTCATTCTTTGCACGTATTTATATGCATACGAGGTACAGTCACTCACAAAATTCATTAACGAAAAATTGTCGATATTTTAAACTGTTATAATTTTATGAAAAAAGATCGTATAATAATCTAGTTGATCTCGCTTTGAAACCTTTAATAATTCTAAGTTTTTCTTTTTTAAAGATATTTCTACAACATGCAATAAGCGGCAAGTTATTTTTTTCTCGAAAAATATAAAAATTCACATATATCTAAAATTACTGAAAAATTTTTTTTCATGTTTATATCCACCATCCAATTATGAAGATTGAAATTCTTTTCTTTTCCCTTTAAAACCATACTTGCTTCCTGCCTTGCAGGATTGCAAAGTAGAGACTTCACGTTTTAAAATGAATAGATTATACATTTTTTTCATGAAGTCATAACATCTTAAAATATCGATTAGTAATCTTTTATCGAATCTATGGAGACTTTCGATGAGCGATCGTATACTTTAATTGCATTTTAGTTATAAATTATTTATGCCTTTTAGGTGGCATAAAACATACTTCGTATGTTTCTCCGATTTTTGATCGGTTATTAATATATTAAGAGATTTTCAACGCATTATGCTACAATATTATAGAAACATAAGTGCACGAAATAACACTGAAAACAAGCATGAAACAACGATCAGGTATATTTCATGTTCGTTGCATTGGCCGCGTATGAGAAAGATTTGTTATACTAACGTATAATGTATGTAATTACACTGTAAAATTACGTTGTAATTTGTCTGTATTATCTGACATCTTGAATAATATAAATTGAGAAGTTTTCATGTATTGACTACTGTAATTGTAAACTATAAGACAAGAAGAAAATAACTGTTTTATTATTTTGTTATACCTTTGCTAAATATCAAAATTATGTGTATACGTATGTTCCAGCTGATGTAAAATATATAAAAGTTTAATGTATTTGAGTCTCATAACTTGTAATATTTCTGTAAAACCTTAGTTTTTTACACGCAGCATTGCATAAAAATCGAAGTACAGAACACATATTTGAAAATCGAAAAAAGCCGGAAATCGACAGCCTACATCACTACTATATCCCCAGAGATACAAAAGTGGTACCCAGCATAGATAAGATAAAAGAAGTTTGTGTTTGCGGTAGTTTCGGCCAATAAATATCTTTATATTTAAGATTCTATTGAATCTATCCAACACGACCAATCAGAATCGCATTCCTTTTACATACTTTCCTTTCATCTCTACGTACGAGGGCGCGCAAGATGCATTTGCATAAAATCCCGTAATCGTGTACGAGAAGTAACGCTTGTTTCTGATTGAATTATTATTAAAATAAATAACGTGAATCTCATTTCATTTTCTTTCGGTAAGTTTAATACAACTATGTTATTTTTCTTTGGCAAATTCAACTGCAATTTTTTATATTACGTGAATTCAAGTAAATAAATATGTTGTGCTTATTAATAGGTTATAATAAACGAAATCATGAAATTTTTTGAAATTACCATTTGCATCGTCTGGGCATTATTCTTTAAAAAAATCTAATCTAATTGAATTTAATATATTGAAAATTATTTCAGATAAACGCATTCAAAATGCCGAAATCGAAAGAGTTCATATATTCGGATGATGATAGTTCTGATGAGGTATTTTATTTATATTAAATAATATGCTTATACATGTGTGTATCGGATAGTATCAATTAAAATTAATATAGTTTTTTTTTGGTTTCCATGTATATGTAAGAATAGATTTATATAAAATTCAGTGTGAGATAGGTACATATATACATATTTTTTGTTATATATATATATTTTTTTTTTCATCGTACAAGGAAGTAAAATCAAAGAAGCGAAAGAGAGAAAATGAGGATAAAGAAGAAAAAAAATCAAAAAAAACGTCAGAAAAAGAATCTGAAAATGAAGATAACATTTGGGATTTAGGAAATAATCGTCAAGTTACTGTAAGAGATTTCAGAGGAAAATTGTATGTTGACATTAGAGAAATGTACTTTGATAAGGAATTAAATTTGAAACCTGGAAAGAAAGGTATTAATTTTGTTAACATATTCGTATGCCTTAAGCAGTAATATTTTAATAATATTTTATTTTATATACAGGTATTTGCTTAAGCATACCACAATGGCGAAAGTTATTATCCGTCATGGATGATGTGGATAAAGCAGTAAAGTCCAAATGCTGAATATCTACTTATGTATCTAGTAAATATTTTACAGTTTTTCAATTATTAAATACTTAGCCTTTTATTATTTATAAAAACACCACATATTCTTAATATATATTCTTTAATTACAAGTATGTTAAATTACATCTATGAAATATAATTCAAAGTCAGTTTATGTTATATTTATGAGATAACATTTTCAATAAAAGATTCCATCTCATACGTGTGCCAAGACAAAATTTAGAAATTTGATACTATTTTTATGCGTACTGGATAATTTAATACAAAACATTTTCTCAAGGAGTTAATAACAATAAAAGTATTTGTTGTTATTATTATATATATATATTATATAATATATATATATATATATAATAATTTTATTATAATATAATATATTATTATATGATATAACAATATATATAATTATATATTATATTATATTTTATATTTCTATATAATTTTAAAAAGCTATATGTAATATTTATGCTGGTCCATGGACTGAAGTTAAAAATTTATCTAGATCTAAATTGTTTAGTAATGTTTGTGGATCCGTTGTACATTCTTGTTTCTTAGTCTAAAATGAAAAAAACAAAAAGATAAAAGATAATATGAATGAATGAATGAACAAACGACCGAACAAGTTCGTTTCAAAAATTAACTACAAACCTGTGTACTTTCTTTCAAATCCAGTATCTTTTGTTTCGATATTTTTGCAGCAATGTTAGCTGAAATTGATAAATTATTAAATCTATGTTATTAGTAAATTAATATTTTTATTTTAATCACAATTACTTTACCTTTATCAACTTCTCGAATTCTATTTACTTTTAACCGTTTTGTACTATTGTGCGGTACCTCATTTTTTCTTTTATTCATGATAGTTTTAATAGCAACTTTCTTCATTGTGTTAATCAATGGCTTCTCCAGAGGAGATGAAGTAGCTATAGGTTTTGCGTCTATACTTTTAGTAACTGAATTAACGACAGATATTTTATTTAATGCTTCGCAACTATTTTCATGTTTAATTGGTGATTTCCTGCTTCCTAATCTTTTTCTAGGCTTTGGCGGCAAGTTAAATATTTCTTCATAATCAGTGGCAGTCATTATTTTAACTCTTTCTTTGCAAGTTTGGTCGTTCAAGACAATATTAATTTGATATTCTAATTCATGATTACTATATCGTCGCCTCCTTTTTTTGAAGGATGCATCGTCATATAGAAAATGATACTCTACCGAGTTAGGAATAGTTGCATTGAGATCTATTTTACGATTATATTTCGTGCATTGAGATTCTATGCAATCCTGCTTGTACGTCGGAATAAGCTGTAAGCATTGAAGAACGTGCGATAAACTCTTCGAATTTTGTGAATTGGTACTTTCACTATCTGTATTCTTAACGGTATCGTGTGTTTGAGTATTAGGAACATTATTAGTTTTCTGATTAATCGAAAATTCAGCATTTAATGTCTCTTCTTTCTTTAATACTTGTTCCTCGTCACTAAATAAATCTCTCTTTACTTGATCAACCTTTGATTTTAATAAAGTACTTATTTTGTTACTATTATAATTTGGACATTCTTTTAATTTGAAAGTATCTTTTCCATTATAATTATAATTTTTTTCTATATCATTCAAGTTATTTTCATGTAAAATAACTTTACTGGCGGTACTATTGTCGCATTTTTCATTTTCCGTATCAATTTTGTCACGCGTGTATTTTGCATGAGTTTGATTTTCCATTTTAAGCGCATTTGCTTGTTGATATATATTGACTTCAATGTCACTAGTAATGTTTTCAGCCGGTATTTCAATGATTTTATTGGTGTCATTTTTGATGATTAAATCATTATTTTGCATGTTCTTATTGATATTATCTCTTTCTTTTGAATTTTCCAAATTATAAACATTACTTTCTGAGGTATTAATAGATAAATACTTTGTAAATTTATCAGTGTTATTAGCACTACTACTATTGCCATTGTTGTCATTATTGATAATATTACTATTAATGTCATCAAGATCATTGTCACTATCATCAGTAAATTTGTTGTTTTTGTTATTGTTGCTATTATCATTATTACAATTATCCAATTCTTCCATCCTTGTTTTCCTTTTTTTCTTTTTCCTCTTCTCGTTGAATTTATTCTCATTCTTCTGACTACATTTATATTGATTGCTCTTCTTTAAACTAATATTATTCTTTCCCCTAAAAATAATTCGACTCTGTTGACTTTTTCCCCGAGTAAGACTAGTTTTAGGTATTTCGCGAAATTTTGCTATCATACGTTGACGTTTTGCCTCCAGTTGGATAACTAATTTTTCATCTATAGTCAAAGATTTTTGTCTTTTCCCTAGAATGGAAGAATGTTTTATTGAATTCGAACTTAAATGTTGTATATTAACTATCTTGGGTTTTTGTTTCAATTTTTTACTGGCAGAATTCTCCATAAATAAATGTTGATTCGATTTTGACAACTTTCGGTCTTCTGAAGTTATTAACGCAGAAATTTTAGAGGATAAATTAGTCAGATTCTCTATGCCGTTCTTTGAACTATTGGGAGTCTCAGAAATATCCACTTCATTAAGAGTTTCGTCTTTAGCAGGCGTTTCTTTCATATCAGTTTTACAATCCTCTTCATTTTTTAACAATGGAAATACTTTCAATGGTGAAGATTCACATCCTTTTAAAGCAATAACTGCCTCCTTCTCTAGAACATTATTTTCTAAAATTGTTGAACATTCCGTTCTTTTATTTATTGTTTCTATAACATTTGTAAGTTTGCATGTCATATCGTTGCTTGTATTAGTATAGTTTTGATTTGCAATGTTTTTGCATTTCTTGTCAGGAGAAGTTTTTAAATTAGTTAAAATAGTTGATGATGGCGATGGCGATGGCGATGATGATGGTGATGACGATGATGATGAGGACGACGACGATGATGATGATGACGACGACGACGATGACGATGATGATGATGGCGATGAAGAAGAAGATGATGCGTTGCTATCGTTCGATCCTTCGCTATTTGGTAAATATTTTTCATTACTAACATTCATTTTTTCATACATATCTTTATTCACATTAGACTTATTAACATCCTCGATACAATCAGCTTTTATATATGGTGAATCACGTGAATTAGCCGATATTTTAAGTTCTTTTATTGCTTCTTCTTTTGGTAAATTTTCTTTAATCACTTCAAACTGTGTTATTTCTAATTTTGTAGATACACAGGCTTGATACATGTTGGTAGAATTGATAATATTTTCAGGTATATGCTGGTTTGTACATTGCAATTTTTCTGTACTATTACTCAACTTCTGTTTTTCACATTCATTTTGTTCAGATGTAGGTTTATAATACGGAGAAAAAGAGTTAAACGTTTCTTTTCTTAAATTATCTGCAGTAGTTTCGTCTATTTTTGGTGTCAACAGAATGCGTGGCGTTCTTGGAAATTCTGGTGTATTTATGAAACATGGTATTTTACTAGAATCATCATCACGTTTAATGAGAAATGGTGTATTACTTGGACTGAGTACTCTTGGTGTCATTGGAATATCATTTCTCATTTTTCTCGGTGTTTCGTGATCGATTAAATTAGGCATTTGTAGCAATTGTTGTTGTGTAATATCTATAGAAGTTTTCGTAGATTCTGAATTCTGTACTGCATCAACCGAGATGATATTTTCTAAATATGGTTTCTCTTCAGTTTGATTATATTTATTTAAATTAGTCTTCAACGTTTTTAATTGAGCATATTTTTTTATATTTTTCTTTTCAACAGGTAAATTATTGGCTGCTGTTTCTGTTGTTGTTGTTGTTGCTGTTGTTATCGTTATTGTTGCATTATCGTAGAGATGATTAGTCTTTGCTAACAATTGATCTTGAGTACTCTTTTGTTCAACAATAGATTTACTTTTATTTCCTGTTTTCATATTAGACAATTTAATTTCTTGAGCATTATTAATGCGAGCATCCAGGAAATCTTCCTTCGCCTCGGACGTGTTACAATCTATACTTTTTGTTATCGACGATTCCATTATATTATACTTTTTTATACTACGTTCATTTCTTGGATCTTGTACGATGTCATCTTTCTTTGGTGCAGTAATTTTGAGTTTTCCTTTTGATGTACGTAAATTGCGTTTGTCCTTCTTTGTCGATGAGAAAACACTTGATTTAGCAACTTTTGCATTATTTCTTTTTTTGTTACTTGCAGATATTTTACGTTTTTGGTGATCTTCGTCTAGAGTGATGTGTAAAGCTTTTCGTAAATCTGCATCCCATGCACCTTTTGTAAGATCCAGAGATTTCGATTGAATTTTGACAAATTTATTTTCCGAAGAAACATTGATGTTTGAACATGGAGAGACATCGCCTATAATTATCCCAAGTCCGTTATATTTTTCCCATTCACCCATAAGCTTTGGTGCTGGACTTCTTGTTGCTATTGGAAGTTGACAAGGATAATGTTTTAATGGAGTTTTAATTTTATGAGTAGACGCAGTAGCATTAGCAAGCTGTGGTGATTTAAAAAGAGTAGTTCTACATACAGACGTAACGAATTTTGCGGATTCCGAAAAATGCGAACCTTTATTTTCATTAATCATTTGGTCGGACATAGTTGTTTTCATCGGGGTGTTAAAATCAAGAGTTCTTATATGACTACTTCTTCTCCTTGGTGTCGATAAACTTAATCTATAATTTTTTGATCTACTTCTCAGCAACGATCTTGGAGTACGTTTACTAATATCACGATCAGTTTTTATCGAAGCTGAAGATTGGTGCTCGTTAACAGTACTATTTATTTTCAATGGAGCAACAACTTTTGCATTCTGAATGACAGGTGTCAAATCAATGTCTGATAAATTTTGATGCTGATTATTTTTGCTGCAATTAAATTTTATATATGGAGATAATCCAGAATTGGATAAGCTACTACTATCGTCTATATTTATTGTAGGCATATTTGAACTATCTAATAATGTTTTTGTGCTAGTTTCACTGCCATACAGAGTTATTGATTCTCCAGCAACTGATTTAACGGTATTCGGCAATGCGGGACATGCAATTGAATTACCAATGAAATTATTATTATGTACAGTTTGGCTTTTCTCTTTATCATTATTTATTTTGTTATCATCTTCTTTTTGAGATGCTTGCACTGTCATCGCTGACGTTGTTGTCGTAGCCGTTGTCGTTGTAGTTATAGTTGTCATCGTTATTGCACAAGAAATGAAATTTTTTAAATCATTTGATGTATTAAAAAGTGGTGACGTTACTTTCTGAGCAACATTTACGGTTTTCAGATATAATGTTTCCACGAAATCTTTATTTGTTCTACTGGAATCTTTGGGAGCAATAGGAATGAATCTTGAATTTGTAGTGCGAGTAGAACAAGTACGTGCATTTTTTGATAATGTATTACTTATTTCTTCCTTCGAACACATTACTAACGTTGGTACTGTCACTATAACTTCCTCGGATGTATATCTGTTTGTGCTATCTTCTGATTTCTGTTGTTTAAGCTTCGGATGTCGTAATCGTTTTACCGATGACTTTTTAATCTTTGAATCCGTGTCATTATTTTGAATCATTGAAACAACGTTATTGTCTTTTTTAGTAGCATCAGTTGTTAATTTTTCTGTTTTACCTGTATCTTTATCAACAGAAACTTCAAATGTTGACAACTCTTTTTTGTTATCACTGTCTAACAAGCATACAACTTCTTTCGTTCTCTTATCGTTTACTGTTTTACTGTTAACGCTATTTGCATTTATTATACTTAATATTGCAGCAGCATTTTGATCTTCTAATATACTTTCTTGATCACGTTGCTCATCTTCATTTCGAATATTTTGTTGTCTAGAAGAACTACGAAGTCTGTGCTTTAATGGCACATCTGCATTTAATGGTGTATCTAATTCTGTGGATGGCTTGTCATCTACCATATATTCTAATGAATTATTACTATTTGAGGTCGTTTCATTTTGTTTATCTTGCGATTCATTAGGAATCTTTGTTTTTGGTTGAACTTCAGTATCTTCATCATGACTTGCATCAGTTTCTATATGTGGCCCAATAATTTCCTCAAGAAATTTTTCAAACACAGGATCGGACTCTGTAGCTTCTACTATTGATTTAACTGCATTATTCAATTCTACCATAAGAGAAGTATTTGCTTCACCATTTAGAGAATCATTTAAACTTTCATCTTTCAATGATATATCTGTTGGAAGTATTGCCTTGTTAATATTTTCAGCGATTCGCTCTTGTAGCTCCGTGCGGTTCAAGAGCTCTTTCGTTAATAGCTGTAATATAAACGATAAAAAAAGGTAAAAATTGATTGAGAAGTTATTATTACAGAATCGAATTACTTACACTAAGATTTTCTATTGGTTCATCATTACTTTCAGATTCAGATTCCAATGTATCATATGGAGTTGTTTGAACTTCTGCACATGAATAACTCAATAATTCTTCTGTACTTGTTGCTGTGGTGCATTTATTAAACACGTGCAAATCTTTTATATTGTTTTCTGTACATGCATTATATGTCATATTCTCTGTGTTCTGAATATTTAAATCGCTGTCTGATTTAAATATTAAGAATTAAATATATGTTTATTTTATTAATATTACCATTATTTTTATCTTAATTACTTGTAATATTATTTGATTATGCAATTTAACTATACATATTAAAATTGAACAAACCTTCATGTCGTTCCATAAAGTTTAAACTATATTTCTTCTGTTTCATATTAATACCAGATTTTGATAATTCTAACATATCCATATGACCTGGTAGACTTTCCAATGGAGTTGCTTCCACACTATCAAGATGTGCTGTAATGAAAAGAAAATGTTAGAAAATTATTAGAAAATCTCATATATATTCTACCTTTGCCAGAGGGTGAATCATGTTGTTGTGATGCGTTTGATATTATTTTTGTGCGTTTACATCTCTCACAATCATTATTACTATGATGCCTTTTACGTGTATTACTATTACTCATATTTTTTATAGGAGAATCATTGCATATTTGAGAATTAGTCTGCAAATAAGTAAATGAATGATGGTACAAAAGAATACAAACCATATTATAATGATTAATATATTACTATGAGAATATAATAGACTGTAATATTAATAGTAATAACTAATAGATTTTTAGATTTTTTATATACCTGTGAAGGAACATTGATATTAATAATAAAGTGTTCTCCGTGAGTTTGTTCAATAAGAAATTTCAATTCTTTCAGTAAGTCTCCACAATGCTTTGATTGTTCATAATTAGCAATTTTTTCAAGGTAATTATCAACTATAAAAACAAATGTTAATAGAATAAAATGATATTTTTGCCCGTGAGTTTCTCACCAGTAAAATCTTACCAGTTGAATTTATAGCAAAAAACTTTTCAATGATATCAATCAAAGCCATTCTGCTAACTTTAGTGCTGAATCGTTTTCCTTTTGAAATTACAGTGCGACATTCTTGTAAATGCGGTGAAGTTTCTAAAAATATTTTTGCAGCTTCCATACACTTCTGACTTTCAAGATATCCTAAAATTGTTCGAATAAACTTATAAATCATATGTAAAAAGATTGATTAAAGTTTTTTTTATAAACATATATATTATATTATGTAAATGATACGTTTTTCATGTACGCATATATGTACACATTTAAAAGTAAAATGATTTATTATATTGATTACAGCAAATCATCTTATTGGTTACAATGTAATATTTCTTACAACGATTTATTATATTCAACATCTATTTGTATAAAATTTGTTGCTTGTTTCGCATCAATTTCATGCTTATATAAAATTCTGACACGTTTCGTTGTCATGATTAGAAAGTATACATATATTCCCGCCACACAACAGGTTATCATAATATGATGTGCAAAGCACACGTCGTGTCACTCTTACCAAGAACCAATCTAGCTACTTCCGAAGGTAATAATGTTTCCATAATGCCTATCAACATTTAAATTCCACGGATATCATCGAAAAATTCAAACTTATTTGTGTTACAGACTTCGAAACGATACCATAATATGAATCCTAAAGATCTTGAATGGAAGTAACTTCTTGGTCAAAACAATTTTGCCAACATCAAAACTGTTTATACTTTTCTCCATGCCTTAGTGATTCTCATGTTTAATAAATGATTTGTTTGATATCGGAATAGGAAGAAATTTCTTTCAAGCATTTCGCAAGTAAGTACGTCGTAGATGTTATTACAAATTATTAGTTGCTAGAGTCGAAACACGAAAGCATTTTCTTTGATAGTACAATACACAATGTCTCATTGTGCAACGTTCAATATTGTATATTGTGTTTTTAAGATCCAATGTGATTTCATCTTGTTATTTATAACAAAATCAATTATATCGCGTATTTTGATAAGAAGCTACATGTATTTTGCACCTATTCAGATATATGCTGTATTTTCTTTGGTTTGATATTTAGGAAATGGGAAATTGGCAAATGGAGATTGGAAGAATGATGTCGTACATATTATTCCCAATTGGTATTTATTACTATTTTAATCAGTCAGAAACTATAGAGGAATGGATACAGAATGAGAAGAAGAAGTTTAATACCTTGACTCAAGAGGAACATAACGAACTGGTGAATTTCATTGAAGAATATAACAAGAAACGAGAAATCAGACGCATTACAGAAATGGAAACACAATATAATGAAGTAAACTAAATTGATCAAATCTCATTTATATAATACAGTTAGAATAGACGTATGTGAATGTAAATATAAAGTACTTTATCCAAATTGTACATTTGTTTATTATTTTCATTATTTTGAATATCTATTATGTAATATTATTAAATTATTGATTAATCATGTTTGAATTGTTTATATGTATCTTATCCTACATTGTTTTTTATAACAGTAATTAATCTCAGCAATGATTATGAATAACAGAAATATAGACAAATTATATATATATATATGCATACACACAGGTATATATATATATAATGTATGATAAATATTTTATTATAGTACTATATTTCTTAACAATTTGATTAGAACAACATCTCTGATTAATATATTTAATAACTATAATACGAATTTAAATTCAATTTGAATATTATTTTTGAAATGAAATGTGAAGATACGAGAAATTTAAACATTCTATAATACTGAAGAAGCAACTTTGGCCAACCATATAATGTGAAATATTACCAAGTAATGCCTAGAAAGAAACAATCGAATTCTATTAATTGTACGAGCGTTATATTATATAGTACCAAATAACATTTAATTCGAGAGTTGAACAATATTTGTATCGGTTTATGAAATAATACAGTAGGTATATTTTTTTCTTGTATGATGTGTAATTTATGTATATACATATATAAATATATATATGTATGTTCAATATGTATATAAATGCATGTGTTTCGTTTTGCAGATCTCGATCGCTATTCGAATATATTTTAATCTCCTGAAATAATAGTATAAATATAGTACTTTACGATGGTTCAAGTACGATATACTCGTAACTTATTTTTACGTGGAATATGTATTATATATCTTTTTGCATTTCTTAGTTTTTATATACAAATTCCGGGTGAGTACAAATTGAAAAGTTTAAAAATAAGAAAATATATAATTTTTATGCACATTGTTTGTTCAAGCATGTTTATTTTTTTCTTTTTATTTATAATGAAGGATTATATGGCGATAATGGCATTCTACCTGCTAGAACTCAAGTGGATCTTAAAAGTCGTTCACCTTTACTTCATAAATTAAGGCAGAAACCAACGTTACTGTGGTTTGCTCCTTACCTTGGTCTAAACGTAGAGTATATGTTAGATGTATTATCACTTATAGGCGTTGCTCTTTCCTTTGCAGGGTAATTTTTGGATCATCGCTGTAATTTGTATAACTATATAATGTAAATATAAATACCAACAATAATGTAAATATTGATTATTTTCAGATTTATCTCACAAAGATTTTGTATTGCATTGGTATTTGCAGTACTTTGGTCATTATATTATTCCCTATATCAGATTGGTCAAACATTTATGTGGTTTCAGTGGTAAGTAATATTTCCTAAATTTTTTAATAATTTCATTGTTTATAGCTTTATATCTGTAAACTACAGAATAATATATCAATTAATAACATAATTATATTATGTTAATCTGAATAGATTTCTTTTTTGTATCAATGTAATCTAATATATCCTATTTCAAGTAATTGGCTCAGAGTTATATTTGATTGATGAAAATATATATTGATTTTATAACTTAATTAGAAACCATTTATGAAAAAGTTATGATATAATACATTAATATTTTACTATTTTTACAGGGATGTACTTTTATTAGAAGCAGGATTTTTATGTATATTTGTAGCACCATTTTGTTATTCTCAACGTAGCAAAGTAAATACACCAAGTGACGCTGTAACTTTTTGGACTGTACGTTGGTTACTTTTCCGCTTAATGTTTTCCAGTGGAGTAGTGAAACTTACTTCTGGTTGCCCTGTATGGTGGAAATTAAATGGTATAATATTTTAACAAACATGCATTTATACTATAATCAAATTAAAGGAGAATGTTTACTTCTTTGTAACAATGTTTCAGCTCTAAATGTACATTTTGAATCACAATGTATACCTACTCCATTAGCATGGTACGCACATCATTTGCCAACATGGTTTTTACGTTTTACTACTGTGATTGTCAATATTTTTGAACTTGTCATTCCATTTTTGTTCTTCTTCCCAAACAGAAAAGTTAGAATAATTGCATTTTATACACAGGTAAATATATTTAAATGTTAAATTAGTATTTATTAGTTAAGTCTTAACATCTGATTATTTAATAATTTATATTAATTCTGTTAGGTATTTCTTCAAATACACATTATAGCAACAGGAAATTATAACTTTTTTAATTTTTTAACTATTTGTTTATGTATCTCTTTACTCGACGATCAATTTTTTTATAAAAGAAAATCTAAAAATGGTACTTACAATATCATACAATCTTTTTCAACAATATTGTGTATTGTAGTTTATGGAGTAATTTTTTATGCAACATACGTGTATTACAATCTTAGAATATCTGATAATTGGACAATCCAAAGTGACATTGGTATGTAGATATCACTGATGAAAGACGTAAATATTTCTGTTAATGATTGAATATTTTATTATTTCAGCATTTACAGAAGAACAATTTGATTATGTCCTATCACGAATAATTCCAGTTTCCATCTATATTGGTGTAATATCTCTTGCATTTACTGTGGCAAATGCACTAGTTACGTCTTTATTCTCTATCAAAGGAATACAAAATAAGATCTTCACAACATTTGTTACAAGTCTTTATACAGCAGCAGTTTGTTTTATCTTTGCAATAAGTATTGTACGTACCACATGTGACTATTTATGATATTTAAAATCGATTTTTACAATATTTTTGCATTTAGGTACCGTACGCTACTTTACATCATTCTCATAATTCAACAATACCAATTCAACTAAGACAAATACAAGGGAAAGTCGAACATCTTCGTCTTGTAAATAGTTACGGATTATTTAGACGCATGACTGGAGTAGGAGGTAGATTGGAAGTAATTGTCGAAGGAAGCAATAACATTGATGGACCATGGAAAGAATACGAATTTTTATATAAACCAGGAAATGTTAATAATTCATTACCATTTGTTGGTTGGTCATTTCGAAAATTGATATCTTATCTTTTTCTTTATTTCCAAATTATATTTATTAATTACTTTTTATTATATTCAGCTCCTCATCAACCACGGCTTGATTGGCAAATGTGGTTTGCTGCATTAGGTAATTATCACCAAAATCCATGGTTAATGTCGTTGGCGTATCGCCTTTTAAGCGGTCAACCAGAAGTACTGGCTCTAATGAACAATGTAGAAAATCCATTTATTGAAAAACCACCTAGATTTATCAAAGCTAGTCTTCATCGTTATCATTACACTCCATGGAGTCAGTCGTAAGTATTTGTACGCATTTATGTTATTTCAGATTATTTTTAAGTTTGAATGATCGTAATTATATTTTGTTTTATTTTATTCTTGTTTAGATGGAACAAACAAGCTTGGTGGACAAGAGAAAAAATCGGGGAATATTTTCCAATATTTAGTCATGATCATCCACCACTTATCGAATATTTATCAAAAATGAAAATTATTCAAGATAAACCGATTTTCAAAATAACAAACGAACCGTTAAAACTATTCTTCGATAGTATTAGGTCTTTAATTCATAAAATCGAAGCCAGCCTTCTTTTATGGGGAGTTTTTACTGCAGGTTGTACGATTATTATGACTAGCTATAATAATTCAGTGTTAAAGAAAAAGTAAGTATTTATTTCATTTTTGTAACACTCTCAGTGTAAGATAATTCATAGTTGGTTATATTTGTAAAGACTTACTTGCGTATACATATAATCAGATTTAATTGTTTTCATGCATATAAATTATTTCTTAAATTATGCATAGATTATATTTTTACAAATATATAACCATCTGCGCTCTACTTTTTATTTTCTTTTCTTTTCTCATATATTTCAATCAAACATTTTTGTATCATCTGCATTGGTACAAATTTAAAAAAGATGGGAGAGAGGAAGTAGAAACAGATTCACTAAGAAAACAGGTAATTTATTTTCCATCAGCTATCGTACTAAATATTTGCACTAAACTTAGGAAGGATAATTTTGTTATTTTTATACATTCGGAAAGTTTGTTTGCCGTTTCATATATATATATATATTAAATATCTTTACTTTTATCTTACTGAAAAACAGAACATATCTGCTCCATGATATTTCACTATCTATACATACAATAATACTCTAAATTGCATTTAAGAAAATGAACGGTCATTATTTGCAATCTATTTTTCTGAATGTATTTCTTTTAAATAACATGAATGTACATAATATGTTCTAAAATTTATTGTGCGTTCAATAAATAAAAACTATCAGAAAGTTCTCTTAAGTATATTAAAAGATTTGTATATGTTTTGAAGAATTGCTTGGTATCTTTTTTCTGAGGAATAAAGAAAGAAATTTTGTTATAGCAACAGTAAATGATATAATTTTGAAAGTTTAATAATTTATTTATCAATGGTTTGAATTCTTATATTCCCATTATACTATATACTATAGATTGAAATTATATATATATATATTTTTTTTAATAAACGCACTGTATATCAATTATTTTCACTTTTACTTTTATAATTTTGTCTTCTGAAGTATATATTAGTATGATGTATATATTATTGTCTAAAAGAATTAATACGTAGTTTATCAAGAGTTGGAAAGAGTGTCACTTTTTTGTAAATATCAATATTATATCATTTTGAATAGAAATTGTCACCTTTTATAGCAACTATACAATGAATAACGAAACTTCTCTGAAAAAAATGTATCTAAACACGCTCAACTCAACCTTCGATTAGTTTTACTTACGTGTATGTATATTTTAATTACTATTTCCTTTTACACATCTTTACCGAAAAGTTAGCAATCCAATGATAATAATTTTATAAAAATTTAAAAGTAAAATCGTAAATAAAATCACGAATCATAATGATTCATTCACCAATTCATTTTATTACAATGAAAATGTTATAATAAATATAAATATACATGTATGTTAGTAAAGAATAAATCGAAGGTCCGAAATTATCCTGCCATATACTTAAAGTATAAATCGTTGAAAAATTATATTATTTACGCGGGGATTAACGTATTACCTTATTTTGGTGAAATAAAATTCATTTCTATTTTAAAATAGGATTCTATTTATTTTAAATTAAATCTTCTAAAGTGAATTTTACAGACTATAGACAAAATAAGAAATATATTGATTGTACTTTTAAATCTAATATTCTTAAAAAGAATATTTTTATTTAATATTAAATTTATTTAATATTTGTCATTCGTTTATGTTATGTCTGAGTAATGTGTCTGATATCTGAATCATTTTTCCTTTTTTTTTTCTTTGAACAGAGTTGAACTTCTGGCTCATAAGCTACATAAACTTCTGGCAATGAAACTTTTGACAGGCCTAATGGATATTTAAATAATTTCTCTAAACGTGTTTCTAATAAATTAAATGCTTCTTGAAATTCCTTCGATCGCATAAAATATTTATCAGGAATATGGTACTTCTCATTTAATTGTTTCACGTATGTGAAATTTTTAAAACTTAATAAAGTTGCATAGCTGGTATACATCTCGGTAGGTATGTTGGATTTTTGGATAATTATATCTGTATTACAATTAGATGATAAGTAATCTTCAAGATTATCACACAATACATCTCGTCGGTTGTTTTTTATGCACGTTTTCGTATTTTGACATTTGTTTTGAGACTCTACATATTGAGGATCGTAATTATTGTCATTTTCAAGAGGGGCAATAGCACCAATATCGGAACAAACGATAGATTCTACTTCAATCAACAGTTTGTCAGTCGAATTATTTTTATCACTGCTATTATTGGTACAACATTGCTTTAATAGTTCTGTTAAAAATGTAGGGCAGTTTCGAGTTTTAAGGGCTGAGTCAGAACATTTTGTACTATTAATTTGAAATGAACGAGAGAATTTCTGAAATTGCAATTCCTGTTCATCGCCTCCGATGTGAGAAATTATAATTTCTGGAGTATTAAAATCTACAGGGACTTCAAATATAAACCTGTCATTTTTGTTTAAATTATAGTCAATACAGTTATTTAAATTCTTTAATTTTCTCTGTGAACCAGAGGAACATGTAGGTATAAAACTGGAATCTTGTGCAAGTTCATTTTTACCGAACATGCGTAATTTATATTTCTCTATAATCTCAAAATACTTTTTCTTATCATTTTTTATTTTTATATATTCCCTCAGAGAATGCAAAAGCTGTTGATGTCTATTATTTAATTTTTTACTAATGTCATTGGATATACAAAGTTTGGCATCTAATGCTTGCAAAATATTATACAAGCTTATTGTGTTACATTCTAATTTCTCCATGTCATAAAATTCCCATCCATCCATCAATTCTTTTACCTTACGTTTTGTATGAAAATACTCGATTAATTTCTGGTCTATATCTATAATATCATTATCACAATCTTTATTGGTAATACTGCTATCAAGTTTGGATGTACAAAAGACTTGTTCTGTTTCATTTTCTGAATATTGTTCATCACTGTAACCATTGTTCATCAAGTAACCATGTAGTTTAAACACGGAGACACCTCTTTTAATATATTTCTGCAATGCCTTGTATCTATGCCTTAAGTAGGTTCTAGTTTTACCTGAGAATTGTTTAGCTATCATAGACCAATTTGGACCAACGCGCTTGAAGAGATTAAGTAATTTTGTATCTTCTTCTAATGTCCATGAATTCCGTTTTTGATTTTGGTTAATGATTAACGTTTGATAGCGATCGTGTAGCTGAACAGTAGATCTATTTGGCATCAGTGTGGCCGATATTTTATGAAAATTTGTACCATACTTGGTAACGGCACTTCTCAAAGTGTCATCTTCAATTTTAGTGAATCTGCCTTTTGTTAAATATGGTGCTAAACTATACGACCATCGAAAATAAACTTGTTGCTTAGTTCTGCTCCGCATCCAATTAGTTATTTCACCCCAGGGAATGAAATTACCAACCTGAAATATTTCTACCAGTTTCGACAGCCTCTTGTCTTCTTTATCTTGCCAAGTGCATTGAACTTTAGGTAGTTTCTTTGTTGTATTGTATCTGATGAGACACTGATATGCTGTACGATTTGTATTCAATTCCTTTGCAATCTTGTCCCAATCTTGATACTGATGCTTCTTGGCGATTTTCCTGAGATTAATATCCTCTGACTTTGTCCAACGCTTTCTATTGATGTCAGGGTGCAAGAAAACATTCCACATAACGCAACAATCAAACGGAGAGTGTACCTCTTCAAAATAGACAGATGATATTCTAAACCAATCAAACTCTTTTTCCCGCAATGGACTCATCTCTTTCAAAGCATCTGTTGATGAAAACTTTGCCTTTTCTTCTTTCTCTCTCTCCATTTCTTTTGTTACCGCCCTTAAAAGAGTGTCTCTCTCATTTCTTGTCCATGCGGATATTTTGGGAAGATTTTTCAACTGTAATTCCTTACAGTTTTCTTTCAATATTTCGTCCTCATTGTTGGATGCAGAGAAGTAACGTTTATCTTTAAAATACGGCATACCAGCGTTGTAAATTAATATCTTTTTATTTCCAACTGTATGCGTTTCTAAACTACACTCTATCGCTTTTAATTTTTGTTCACACTTCGTGAGAGCGAAAGTTATGTCCCTTTTCAAGTCCATCAAGGAGGAAATTATTTGTTTGTTAAGCTCCAACATGCGATTGCAATTTTCGATGTTACGTTCCGTGAACTCATCATCAGTGTTATTTTCGAGTGCGTCCACTCGATTTTTGATGGTATCTCGCTGCGGATCACCGATGAATTCAATATCATTTGCCTCATAATTATTTTCAAAATGATCCTCGTTGTCTAATATTATACTTTCTAACAACAGTATTTCGGCTAGGTTCTCGTCATCCTCATTGAGCACCGTGTTCATCATGCATGGACTTGCGAAGAAATTCAAGCACTATGTCAATTAATATCTTACCCTATTGACATTAAATCGCATCGATTCGAGTCAGCTTGTGAAAAATTATTTATTATGACATTAATGTGTATACATACGTATCGTAAATAAAATTACAAAGATAAAAGTGTCGGATGCATTACAAGTTACGTTCTATAACTTTAAAATTACGTTCATTTACATACGTGTTCGATTGTGATAAACAAAACGTATTAAAAACAGTTTCTAAAATGCGACGAGTTTTTTGACTCTTCACGCTGCTCTCCTCACGCCTGTTACAATTGTTCTGCAACATCTAAGTACAATTTGTTCTGCAACATCGATCACAACTCAAAGTAACAACGATAAAAATTATGTATCGAGTCGGCTAGTCAATTGTCACTGAAGCGAACTCCCACAGTAGCACCATACAATAAACAAAGACTCGACAATGAAAAATTTGGTTAATAGAATCGCGAGATTTTGACATTCGACCGGAAGTTGTGCACATATGTTTACGATACAGTTCGTGCAGAAGTGGCGCATGCGCAGTCCCTACGGCCTGAATATGTCGGCTGGGTAAAATACGTTAATTGTTATCATGACTGGAATGATTTCCTTTGGTTAAGTTTGTTGCCGTTAAATCACTGCAAAACTGTTCGTAACTGAAAAGCTGGAAGGTACGAGTACGATAAATATTATTAATAGAGAAAGTCAAGCCCGCTGTATCGTAGATTAAGAAATTTAGTAAAGAGGGCCTTATGTCAACTCAGTTCAACGTTGAAGGGGCCGACGACGTGTGCCAATATGAAGAAGCTGTTTTCAAAAATCGAAAACACGTCGAAGGAGCCTAACAGTTACATAGGGAAAGTTTTTGTGGTGGGACGTTACACTGTCACCGTTGAAGAGGTTTTGGCCGAAGGTACGTCTCATTATCAACCTTGAATACGCATCACCCCTTCCCACTGTTTCGTTCGGCTGTTCGATTATCTTTTGCTTCTTGGATGCAACTTATTAGAACAGAAAACGACAATGTAATTAATTGAGTGATGTTGAACGCGAACCACAAATTGATCGTATTAAATTAAGACAATCGGTAGCGACGTGTACGTACTGTTTGATATTTTTGTTATTTCAGCTGATACGCTTAACTTTACAATCCGTTTCTCTTAACTTGCACTATCGACATTACTTAACATCATTGCGAAGTTAATATAGGGAATTGTATTTTCCTTTTGTAAATTGGCTTTTTATTTGTTTTATGTAGAAACTTTGTTGCATAAGATCCAAAAATGTACATAAAAATTGATCAAATACGTGCTTGAACAAAAATTTGGTGTCTTGAGATACATAGGGGAAGTAGTAAATAGATGAACACAACTACTGTTTTTCTTGGAAGTTTAATTGAATTTTATTGTATCATAGCGTAGCAGTTGGTAGATTGTGTATATGAACAACTTTAACGTCCTATCGACATATGATATCTATAATCTGTTATCGTTACGTAATTATATGTTCTAACAATATTATTGCAGGAGGATTTGCCATTGTATTCCTGGTAAAGTCATCGAGTGGACGTTATGCGCTTAAACGCATGTATGTTAACAATGAACATGATCTCAATGTATGTAAAAGGGAGATACAAATTGCAGTAAGTTTTACATATGTTTTTAAATGAAATAGAATTTTCTTTTTACAGAAAGGAAATTGCTTGCTCTATTTTCTGGCTTTTGTCTGTATCTTTGCATTTTTATTTTCAGAGTAACTTGAATGGTCATAAAAATATCATAGGATATTTGGATAGTAGTATCACTCACATTGGTGGAGGGGTACATGAACTTCTACTCTTAATGCCTTATTGCAAATCTCAAGTTTTGCAGATGATGAACAATAGGTTGAGAATGCATTGTTGAAAACCAAGTTTTAATAGATGCATAAGATATGAAAAAGAATTCAGAAATACCTACAGACTAAATTATTTACAGGTTACAAACAGGATTTAACGAATCTGAAGTTCTACAAATATTTTGCGATGTTTGCGAAGCTGTATCTCGACTGCATCACTGTCAGACACCAATAATACATAGAGATTTAAAGGTTTGTGTCTTTCACATATTATAATTTTCATCAATGACGCTGATAATTAAATAGTAGTTTGATAATATCTTCTTCATTTGTTTACTTAAAATCTTTTTTAGATTGAAAATATATTGTATTCTGATACTGGCCATTATGTATTATGCGATTTTGGTTCTGCAACAGCAAAAATTCTTAATCCTAGTGTACAAGGTGCGGCGATAGTTGAAGAAGAAATTAAAAAATATACGACCCTCAGTTATAGGGCACCTGAAATGGTTGATATGTATTGTGGGAAACCTATTACAACGAAAGCAGATATATGGGTAGAATAAATTAAAAATTTCCAATTTAAACAATTTATTCATAGAAGGAAGCAATAAACGAGTAATTTTCATAAATCCTTAGGCATTGGGGTGTTTGTTATACAAACTTTGTTTCTTTACATTACCATTTGGAGAAAGCACACTTGCCATACAATCGGGAAATTTTACAATACCAAATAATTCAAGGTTTGTTCTTTGTAAATGTATATATATATATATATATTTTTGTCACAGATTTTATTTTAATAAAAGTATTGCAACTATTTTATGTTGTATAGATATAGCAGAAGTCTTCATTGCTTAATTCGTTATATGCTCGAACCAGATCCTGATAATCGCCCTGATATTTATCAAGTGTCTGTGATTGCATTCCAAATTCAAGGAAAAGAATGTCCAGTACAGAATTTACATGTATGTATTAAATATTTCATGGTTAATTTGTCTAATATTGTTGTATTTTTCAGACAACTAAGAGAAGGAAAAGAATATCTATAACATATATAATATTATAAATATAATGGAGATACAGATATAGATATGGACATATTGTGCATGTCGCATTTTGTAATGAAATTTGTATTTTTTTTTTTAGAAAGTTCAAACACCAGTTTTGGAATCATTACCTTGTCCATCTATGGAATCCGACAACGTAAAAAGATCGTCACTAGTAAAGACACCAAAACCGACTCCAGTAACTACTGTTGAGGGTACGTCAGTCACACCAAGACAACGGCCAAAAGGGCAGGCTGTGAGCACAGGTCCGATAAGCCTAAGCGGCCAGATTGTGAGCCAAATATCTGGTCAAGGTAGTCAGGTTCAATCGCAAAGTTCCGTAGGGAATACGATTTCGTATGTTCAAATGAGTCAACAACTTGGTCCATTAAACACATCACAGCCTTATTTAGGGCAAAATATGCAAACAAATGTTCAGTCATTACCAGTGAACACTCAAGCGTCTGCTCATCAGGTGTCAACACTCACCCAAGTTTCGCCGCAAGTTTGTTGCACCACTACTAATCAAAGTGTTCCTTTTGGACATCAATCACAAGTTCAAAAATCGCAACACAGTCAGTCACAGTGTTCTACAGTTAGACGATCTCCTGTAAGTGTTCAAGATACAGTAAGTTCGTATTACTTTGATTCATCGGTGGCAACAAATGTGAACGAAGAAAATCTAGAGGCGCTATTTCCACCATCTGGTAAGAAGATTTATTTGTGCAAATTTTGCCAAATTTTTCTCCATTGGGTTATATCTTATTTAGATTATTATATGTGTACAGGTTATCCAGATCCGTTTAAAGACGATAACCGAGCTATGCCACCACCCGCAAAAATACCACCACCTGTCGCTCCTAAACCTTCTAAAATTCTGTCCAAAGCATCAAATTCTACTAGTTGTCCACCTCCCAAATTTACACCTGTAAATTCGTTAACATCGAAAATAAATACTCCGACGGGGACTAACATTACTCCTGTAATGGTACCAACTTTACCGAAACCAGTCAATAAGACGGAAAGTTTAAGTCAAAATATAAGTTCAAGTATTTCTCCACCCGATAGTCCAACACACTCTTCGGTACGTCATAGAAGAAATGTTAGCGACACAAGTGCTTTTAATAAGTGAGTATATATATTCTTTTCCATAAAATTGATTTATATCGAAATATTTACAAAACCTATGAAGCACTTATTTATTGTTGATATTATAGAGCATTTGCAAGCGAAACAACACAATTTCTAGCACCATATGAAGCTTCAGTGAAATCACGTTCGGAAGATGCTACTACTCCTGAAGTTCAGATTGGCGTAAGATCTTGTCTAGGATCTAGCGCTTCGCATGTACGTATTGTAAGTACATAAAATGCACTGATTTGTCTTAATAATTTTCTTTAATGTTAATTTTGTATCTATGATTTAATTTTAATTATTGTTTTTGTTATTATATCGTTTAAAAATATTTGTTATTTTCTATTTTTACGTATTGTATTAACAATATATTTTATTATTTTCGAATCACAAATTTATTATTATTTAAGTTTATTACGATTATAGATCGCCTGAATTATGTAATTAATTATTTTTATTTTCTGTACAGCACACATCTAGAGACATATAGGATATATGGTCAATATTTTTGATATATATTTAAGATCATTAAAAAGCTTATAATATTTTTAATTAGGGCGAACTTTCAAGCGTAACTGCTACTGAAGGAAGGTCTTTAAGCGCGGATGTAGCAGCTTGGAATCCATTTGAAGACGTACAACCCTTCAATCAATTAACAGAAGATCATATTTTTGGTGCCGAGTTTGATAAAATTAGAAGAGGAAGTAATGCAAGCATTGCTGGTGTAAAAAGTCGCGAAAGCCTTGTTATGACGTATGCAGAATTACCGGAAGATCCATTCGAATCCGCACCTTTTAGTTTGCCAAGTAAGTAATAAACGTGTATGGTTAAATTCATATTTTATTTTATTGGCTTTGTTTCTAAAAGTATTGCCGATATTAATTGTAACATAAATTTTCTGTAACATAAGTCTTTTGTGCATCATAATGCTTTTTGTTTAAAATAATACAATTAACATATTGACTTATTTTTTTTTTTTAGCAGGAAAGAAGAACAAAATTGGGTCAAAGACTGCCGCACTTGCTGGAGGTAATGCATAGACTGCTTCGTATACGTTCTTATTCCATTTGCCTTTTTCTCCTCTATGAGTCTGTATACAGCAGAATTTTACAAATGATACGTAATGTACGTAAACGTATTAAGCATAATCTACAATTCATATTCTTCCTTTTCTTTCTCTTTTCTTCCACCACCCTCCTCTCTCTCTCTCTCTCTCTCTCTCTCTCTCTCTTTCTCGCTCTTTACTTTTCATCGAGTCATAGACAAATGGTATACTCAGGGCTGTATAATTCTTCCTTAAGTTTATGTCTAATTTTTTTTAATGTAGATTTTTATCAAAGACGCAAGGTTAGTTTAAATCGAATGGGCTGTCTAATGTGATATGAATAATGTAATTTATAAAATGATGTATCAATACGGGATAAATGTTGCAAAGACGAACTCTATCAAAGATTACATTCCTAGATAAACGTGTTTTAAATCTATCTATTAATTACTTAAATTCAGTATAATCCAAAATGGATAATGTGCACATGGAAAAATAATATATACAGACTTACTTTGTTTCTTGAGCTATGTGCTTAAAGATTTAAAACAAAAGAATAATATAAAATAATTTATTCTCGGTGTATATTGAAGACAGTTGCAGCAATCCATTTATGCATGACTATTCTTGTAGAGTTATACTATAACTTTTCGACTTGAGAAATGATTGAGTATTATCTGTGATGAGATATAAGAAAAGCGATTTAATTTTATTAATACAAGAATAAAGCATACACAATTATAGTAGGAAACAAGAATTTTCTTTATTCCGTTTTATGCTCGGTATTTTACACACACACACACAGGGTATTTTATTTCACATTCCTTAACATTAATAATTTTTTAAATATTTGCAACACGATAATGAAAAGAAGTTGTTAACAATAATTTATTTGTATTAATGCGTACAATATATGATGATAATAAACAATTTTTAAATACTTTATTATCGCCATATATTGTATACTTGATACAGATAAATTTTCGTTGAAAAATTTTTTGATTACATTGTGTCACAAATACTTAAAAAATCGTGCGAAACGTTAAGTGAAACATCCTGTATATGTAATATGTATGCAATATCAGGTGTTGAACAAAATTAATTGCACCTGGGTTGTGACGCACATGATAGACCAATAGAACAATAATGTGTAAAAATTCCTTGTAATATACAGGAATAGGATAACACGATTCGAGACGATGATCATGATTCCAGAACAAAAGAAACGAGAAAAGACAAGAGAGAAAAGGAGAATGTATAAAACAAAATAAGTTATTACGAAATATTAGACAAGGGTTTGTGTTAAAATTGCAGGCCCTATAGGATGGGACTCCTTATGTAAAAAATTGACAATTAGTTCGCTTTAAAGTGAGTGATAACCACTAACAACAAATAATTCTCATAAAAGTTACTATTATATTAACGAATTTTCGAAATAAAGATTATATCAAATTAATGTTATGATTTGTGCGAGATTGGTGTCTTTCGTGAGATATGTTTCTAATGATTATTCGAATTACCAAAGATAGAGGAATAAGTATTGATAGATGTTCTAACACGTACGGTGACGTAAGAAAAAAAAAGGAAGAAGAATGGGAGAGTACAGTATATTATTATAGAAGTAGGCGAAAAAGAAAAGAAAGATTAAAAATTAGACGAAAAAAAAAAAAAAGAAGAAACTGATATATATATTGAACGAGAAACGTGTAAAAATTGTAAAGATCGCAGTTGATAAATATTGATAATGTTCATTACTGTGTACAAGATGGAAAATTTGATTTAGATGTTGCGAGACGCAGAAAATTCCGATGTTGTTATATATTGAATTAAGGGTTTTAAAGGTAATCGCGAAAGGATAATATTACATACTTGATATGTTGATATCGAGTTCACTCTTTCGTTGTATGCATTTGAAGGGGAAAATTTGCGAAATGTTAATCGCGATCGTTGTTGCTATCTAATGTGTTATTGTACTGTTCGTATGTTTATTAATTAATACACTTGAAGTGTATCGAGTGGTGTTTCTCGTGGTTGTATATCTGTAGATAAGTGAAAAAAATATTACAGAAATAAGAATTTAAATAAATGGTGACGGTAATAAAATGATATTTCACGTTAGAAACATTAATTTTACGATTATCGGTTATCAATTGTTCGTAAAGATACATGTTACGACATATTTTAATTTGACTTTCATGCCTTGAAATTACATAACTATGTACGTATCTATGTACATATAGTATATTCATACATACCGCACGATTTATAAGTTTTGAAGGGATTCCGAATAGAAAAACATATATATTAAATACGGAATTGAAACGGAGAGTAAATGTATATTACGGTGTTCTTTCATTGTTGTATAAATTATCTTATTCCTTTTAACAAATTGTACGCGCTATAGTTAGTAATGCGATCCATTGTAATTTTTAAGTGAAATTGTAATTTTAATTGAATAGTGTATTACATGGTGTATTACGTGCATAGACGTGATTAATTTTTCCGTTAAAATAACAGTTTCGTAAAACTAATGAGAAATTTATAACGCTACGAACATACATATAGGGCCACGCGTACACGCGTGAGCGCGCACGTATTAAAAGACGTACATTAAAAGACATACGTTTCACGATGTCAAGATAAATTTACGTAGTATTAAAAAACGCAGTGTGTAATATTCTGTTTACTAGTAAACGAACTTCGATCTACATAGTGTACAATTTAGAGGGGGTTACGTGCAGTTAAGTGTAAATCATCTTACATGAATTCGGAGATGAATTACGATTTCTTTTCATTCGTATATCTTGTCCATCATTTATTGGCTACGCATTATTGACTATTAATAGTATTTTGGTTTTGAAGCATAAACAAATCGAAAAAAAATTAGAGAAGATTACAAAAATCCATAACCAGTGCAGCGAATTAACAGTAAGCGAAGAGAGACGAGAAGTTCTTTTCTTTTCTTATTTTTCTTTCCTTTTTTAATTTTCGATTTTCTTTTACGCCTTTCTTTCTCCTTTTATTTATTTCTCTTCTCCTTTTTAAATGTGTATACCAGACAACTTGGTTCGTTTCATGTCGTGGAACAGTAGCTCATGCAATAGTACACGCAATAGGAGTTCACGTGCAGATAAGTGGACTTAATCGTTAGAAGTTCGTATAATTAAGCACTAATTAAAAATTCATTGATATAAACTGTTCATATAAACGGAGTTCTACTACAAGGTATATTTCCTAAATTTTTTTTTTTTATATGTTATTATTCGCAAGAATACAATAATTGATTAAGATGTCACGTTTAATATTCACGTACTGAACTTCACTTTGTTTCATTTTCTTTTCTTGTCTCTTTTACATCTTCCTTTCTATTTTTTTCTGTGTAACTTCTCTTTTCTTCTCTTTTTACTTGAACAATTTATTTTTCTTCTCTTTCTTCCTCCCCACTTATTTATGTACATCTTGCTTTACTTCTTTCCTTATTTTCTCTGTAAAAACAAATACGTCTATATTCACATCACATAATTGGATATTTCGAATATTTGATTGTACTACTACAAATTTTCTAAGTAGCTACGTCTTGCTTTCTATCTTTAACTAATGCTCATTCGCAACGATGGCAAGGTATGAAGTATTCTTTGTTTCTCCTTCCTTATCTGTGTAGCCGAAATATTGTCTTATCATGTCGTTCGACAAGCACGCATGTATGTAGCCACGAGCAATTGCTGATTTTTGTCTCTTCACGGATTGGAAATTATATTAAGAAAATGTATATAAATGGAACAGCAGTACATTGTTCATTTAAACGCGATTACTTTACTGCGACGTTCATTGGAACTCGAAGCCAATAAAAACTCTTCTCGATGTGTTTTTCTTTTTCCTCATTTTTTTCTTAATATCTTTTCATGATCGATATCTTTCATCGTACCATGTACATTTGTATTATCATTTCTCATTGTCTGGAACACCCTAATGAGTTTGGGAGGCATAAATAATCGACTCTCATCAGTTTATCAATTTACACCATTCACACGAAATAATGTATTAATCGTAACGAGGCATTGAAAAAAGAAGAATTTGGTCCCGTGTCGTTTGCCTTCCATTGTGTCTCCGTGTCTTCCGTAGAGGATTTGCGTGTAAGAGTTAAGATAATTGTGATGGCATTGATAGCACAGCATAATCTAATTCAGTTTGTTATCGTTTCGATAAGTTTTGCCTTGATTCATCCAATATGACGTGACCTAACGAATCTCTGTGCATTTTACATGCATTTCATTCACGAGTACCGAATGACGAGCACGTGACTCGAGAGCACTATAGGAGGCTGACAATCTTGGACATCTCGTATTCGCTGTATTAAGATAATGTTACAGCAATAAACATGTAAATTACTATATAGTCTATGGAGTATTGTTTTTTTTCGAATGTAAAACGCAGCAATTCTTTGTCAGTTAAATGTGATAATTTCGCTTTGCGCGTAAAAACATGTACTGTCTCGCAGTATGGCTCCTGGTATATCGGGTTGGTCGTCTTCTTTCTTTCTTTTTTTTATGTATATGCTAGAATTTCGTATGGAAAAACATCATTGAATCATGCTACCTTGACACAAAGATCATTACTGCGTTTTCTCATATATTATCCTTAACCCCTGAATCTGATTAGGACTGTTCCAGACCATATGGTGACGGTATAATGTGTAACACGGTGGTGGTAGTAATTAACATTGTTTGAAATAGAAAAAATGAAAGAAGGTTGCAAAATAGAGACAAGTCTGAGGTTGAGCAATAAGAAGAAGAAGAAGGATGTTCAGAAGAAGAAAGAGAAGGAGGAGGAAGGAGGAGGAGGAAGAAAAGAGCAGATTAAAGAAAGGGAACGAAGAAAATAAACGTTTAATATTTAATTCGTATTATATCTGATTGAGTGTAACAGGTATGTGAGATACCTGAGTTCTAGAAAGGTGCGTTCTAGAAGTACAATGCACCGACTGTAACAGACCTAATCAGACTTAATTTGAGTCTTATTATGCGAATTGTTTGAAATATTTATTCTTAGTTGCTCGATGTTAAATATAATTGTTTTGTGCAAGGAACAATAACAAATACATACATATAGAACAATAAGAATAGCAGTAAGATTGTAAAACGCGACTTTTTCGTTTTATCTTCTGAATGATGTGTGTTAAGATATTGATGACAAACGCAAATTGAAAGAACGTCACAATTTAATAGATTGGTATTACGTTAAATAATTTCTAACATACTACTGTGTACTGCACATGTATGTGCCTCGTAGGTAAGTATAAGTTAGTTTCGGCTTTTTCAAGCAGAAACATGAACGAGTCAATGATTTTAAGGGGAAAAAAAGACCACGATTGTTACTTATACACAATAAGTCACTGCTATCGTTTCTCCTTCCTTTTCTTTTTATTTTTATTTGTCAATCGAAACGAAGAGTTTGAGAGAGTTTACGATACCGAGGTATTATACGAATCGACATGTAGTCGAGTCGCGAAAGTTGCCAGACTCCCAATCGTATCGCGTGAAATAGCGTTCTCTTTCTTTCTTTCGCGTGATACAGATATGATCCTACAAGTTACGCACACAGTTCTGTTTTTTCAGGGAAGTCGCAATTAAACGGTAGACCAAGAATACCTCCTAAACAATGGAATCCAGGATTCGAACGCGCCGAACAGGACCACAAAATCACAGGGAACAATCCCGTTTCTCCGCCGTTCGTTCGGATCCCGTTGGAAGATCGGTCGAAATACGAGAAGTTAACGTTCGACGCTGGAGACGTGTCCAGCGACAGCGATAAGGATTTATCGCAAGAGCGAATGAAACAGAAGAGAAAGAGAGCCAAGAACATGATACACAGAAAGAGAAAAACGCAGAACACGAAGAACGTTCCGAGTGATCCGGCAGGCACGGCTGGTAATTTGAAAACGCTCGGTAACAACTGGTGTAATCAAAGTGTTTGCAACAGCGTTAGGTCAAATGGTATCGGCATTGGTGATTGCAGAAAGAGCAGTAACACTCGAAATGGTAGTAACAAGGAGGAAATACAGGAAGAGGGGGACGAGGAAGAGGAGCAGGAGGCAGAGGGGAACAAGGAGAAGAAAAAGATAAAGGAAGAAACGAGAGAGGAGAATAAAAGGAAAGAGCAGGATGAAGAAGAGGGTGAGAAACTTGTTGTGGAAGAAGAAGAGGAAGAAGAGGAGGAGGAGGAGGACGAGGAGGAAGAGGAAGAAGAAGAAGAGGAGGAGGAGGAACAGGAAGTGGAAGACGATGATGACGATGACAAAGACAACGATGACATCGACGATAACAATAATGACAACGAGAACGAGAAGAAAACCTACGATATCGATGAAAATTGTGAAGAGATGAACGAAACTACGGAGGCTGTACATAGAATTAGCTCGGTTCATCATGCGGAAAGAAACGTTATTACGAGCGAGCACGATTACAGAACGAAAAAATCGAAGAAATATTATCGAGGAGAGCGATCGTCGATTACTCGGGTGAACACAGATCCAGTTGTCGGTCATCAATACGGGGAGAAGCCACTTTTACTTGACGATGAACTCGATTCGGAACCAAAGTTGGAGTACTCTCATGGCGATCCGTTTGTTATGGACGATCGATATGGATCAAAGTATCAGTCGTTCGACGGCATCAGGGTGTTAAAGAGAAACGAGAGGGCGAATCTATTGAGCGACTTATCGTGGAAACACGGCGACGACGTTTTCGCTTTGGCACCGTTTCCAAAGTCATCCGGCTACTCAAAAAGAAATAACGATTGTCAACAAGAGAGCAATGAATTTAAACCTGTAGTTCCTGCTATTTTTGATTTGACAGCTACGTCAGAGACGGCAGCAGATTCGGAGAACAGATTGCTTTCTACAGGGAGGTGTAGCTCGTCCTCGGCGTGTGCGAATGTCACGAAAGAAGGATTTGCGGATATTGACTTGTTATCCGGCGACACGCAACAATCCCCGGTCACTAAAGCGATCCCCATTATTTACCGGGAGTCTGAACGAAAGAGAAACCAAATGGATCAAGAGGGCAAAGTTGAGAAGGGAAGAGACGGAGAAGAAAATAAAAGGATAGAAGCGACAAAAGAAGAAAAAGAGAAAGAAGTGGATGGAAGGAGAGAAGAAAATAGAGAAACGGATTTATTTGGCTCGTCGCCGTTTAGTCCGAGCAGTTTCGTAATAAATTCGTTTGACTTCAACAGTTTGCGAAACGAGGAGACCCCAAACCGATCGGCAAAGATGACGTTCGCGAGTCAGGAAGAACCTTACGATGATTACATTCACGTGTCTGTTCGTTCCTCTCGGACCCAACAATCTCCGTCGAACATTTGCCACATGAAACAGGCTACTGGAGCCGCTGTGGCCAGTCCAGCTACGAAAACAACGTTGAATTCCAAATTTCCCGACGTCTCCGCCGATACTGAGTATTTGCATACGTTCCCGGATGTTTCGAAAGATCTGTTCGGTTCCATTCCGTTCAACGAATTCGCATCTTTACAATTAAGCGAAGAAAAAAAGAGAACGGAGAGTTGCGTACCATTTGTTCAATTATCGTCACCATCATCGACGCAACTTCACCAAACGCAGTCACAGTCACAGTCACAGTCGCAGACCTCGAATTTCGTTGGCGAGAATTTGAACACGATGCTATTGGATAAAGCGCAATCGTCGGACACCATCGCTGGCCGAGCATCTACTTTGAAAGACGTATATACGATTAAACCGGTTCAGCATACTGCTCGGATCACTATTCAAACAGTGAACAGCGTGTCAAAGCCAGATGTTACATCGGACATTGTTTCACCTATGTCGCCCGAACCGTTGGTGGTTACCGATGACGATCACCACGACATGCCAAGGCATAGACGAGAAAAGTTTAACAAGTCAGAGAAATCGAAGTATCATTTGATCAATGAAATTCATAACGATGTTAGCGACGTTCTATCATCGTCGAAGCTAACTCATAAGACCAAGGCAACTGGTTACGGTAAGAAAACTCCGAGAGTGAAAAAATGTTCTGTTGTTAGCACAGCTGCTGGTTTCAGTAACATGAGCTTCGAGGATTTTCCGAGCGACGAGAACGAGGAGAAACAATTTAAGAACACGAAAATCGCTCCGTTCGAGGTGATCAGAGAACCTGAGAAACGGTTCGGATCGTTGAAGAGAAGGAGCAATCCGTTCACCTGAGACACGAAGATAATGTGAAAAGAATTTCATATGACTGTTCTTGCGAAAGAGCATGGTATTGGCACTGAATCGCATGAATCGTTCGATGATCACATCGTTTTTACTTATTCTCTAGTTAAGTGTAGAACATGAAGAGAGGAAATTTTATAAAACGATGCGTGCATTTCATCGGTGTTGCATCGACTTACATCTTATGATATCGACACCGTGTTGTTGTACACAATCATGCTATCGATTGAACATCGATCAGTTTCCTTTACTCTCATTTGCTTCTTCTCCTTTTTCTTTTTTGGTTTTCATTGTACAAGTATGAAATCCTGCACGATTGCATCTACATAGTTGGCGATTAGAAAACAATCAGAAAAACTTTACTCAACATTTGTAACAAATCAAACGGCATATTCTATTAAAACTATGACAGTACATCGTATAAAATGATTCTTGCTTTATTTGGAGAATGTTTGCTTTAAAGAATAATTTGATATATCACGTTTATATCTTAATTGATGTCATGGATCGACATTGTCAATATTTTTTAGTGATTTTGAAAATAGAATATTATAAACTGTATAAGAATAAACAGAAAAAAAAGAAAGCGGAGGAGAGAAAAAAGAAAAGGATTGATAGATACAGAAAGCTATTTTTGTAGCTAAGCGTTTTCACTTAAGCTTAAGTAACTTTCTACTACTCCTACTACTACTACTATTACTACTGCTGCTACTACCACTACTGTTATTATTAGTACTATTATTGCTACTATTATTTCTATCCCTATCACTATACTACTATTTCTATCCCTATTACTTTACTACTATTACTATTACTACTGTTATTATTACTATTATTGCTACTCTTCTATTTTTATCACTACTATTATTATTATTACCACTGCTATTATTACTAGTATTACTACTACTTCTGCTGCTAGCCTTAAATTCTTAAAAATGGTGCAGTTGTAGAATGAAAGTAGAAAATAACATGAAGAATGGCAGATACATGGTCAAATACTTAAGGTTTTAATTAACTTTCCGCTCATCATTTGCTTTATGTATTATCTGTACGACGTCTACAAAAAAATCAATCTTAAGAACGAGTAATATACAAATGTGTGATGCCAATTAAAATATCGTAGAAGTTATACATCACAAATAATGACATTTAACGAAATAGGAATGGAGAAAATGTTATTAAATTTATTTATTACATTAATTTGCGCGTGCGCTCATTTACTTTACTCCAGACATGCGTGAAAGCGCAATAAATTATTTATTACAAATTAACTGAACTTGCAATGCAGACTATATAAACATATATAACAGTTATATATATGTGAGAATTTTATTTAATTGGGCACTGACTGTATACTGTACATTTTAATGAGTTACTCGTATTAAATCTAATTTCAAACTGCACGCGCAGCTTGAAAATTGCTAAACATTACTAAATTAAACATACAGTCAATATAATGCTTATAAATTAATGAAATTTTACTTTTTGTTTTGATTTTTATGTATATATCTACACACGCAATATTAATAAAGTTTTAAGCGAGTTGCGATATATTAAAAATTATCGCATCACACAATATAAAGAGTAACTAGTAAAATTAACTAAATACATTAAGATGTAGAAACTCGGTGAATAAAAATACTGAATAATTATATAAAAAATTAGCAGCACTGGCATGCTACTGTTTTCTTTTTCTTGTTTTCTTTCTCTCTCTCTCTCTCTCTCTCTCTCTCTATCTTTTTCTTTCTCTCTCCCTCTGTCACACGCATAAAATGATCGATATTTGATGATTTCTTTTGATACAAACCTATGTATAAAAACAACTAGAAGTATTGCAATATTTAATAACAATAAGCGCATGATAATAAAAATGTATAAAGAAACGCACGCTGAAAGATGCTTGAGAAAGATGTTTGCAAAGCGCATTATTAACAAGATTGTCTTATTGTATCGGTAACGGAGTAAAAAAATTTGTTCGCTGATCATTTTATTCTTTCTAAAGCTGTAGAAATATAACATGATCATAAAATCGGTTACGTTACAAGCATATTACTATATATTAATTTGGGCACTGAGTCAGTATAAGCTGAGTTTGAAGTTATTTCAACTCTTTCAAATAGAAGCTGAAATTTATAGTTACCGTAGCAATAAATAAAAGGGTTACAACTGCATCTTACATACGATTCTTTATATTAAATCTGATAAAGCTAAATACTGTGTGAAAACGAAGAGAGAGAAAGAGAGAAACAAACAAAGTCACTCTAATTGTAAATATTAATAATATAGTATTAGTTACTACAGCTGTAAAGTTGGAAAACTAATTATTTCAACGTGAAAAATACATTTCACATCTTTTTTTAATCATTTCTTTTTCCCATCGCTGTCGTAACGTTTAAAGCAGCAGCTTTTTGAAGTTGTATCATGTAAAGGAAACAATAGAAACAAGAAAATGGGAAAATGAAGCCAGACAATATCGTAAAGATGTTTGTATAATTATTGCGTATACATACAAATTTGTACGTTTGTATGCATATCCATATGTATACAATAGCTTGTACACATTTAAGCAATGGAAATGTAGATATTAGCCAATAATATACAATTAAAAAACTTTTTTTGAAAACATTTAAAACTTGCACTCTTAATTGTATACTGAATGATCTATTTCACAGTAGTTTGCGATTTTCCTTCGACATCCGTAATGTACTTAAGTGAAATGAAACAATCAAATAATAAAATCCAGAGAAAATAGATATAACAAAAGAAAAAACTTTCAGTGTATATAATATCATATGGGACTGAATTTCAAACAATTGAACAAAATTTGTAGTACTGCTCTTTTGTACAACTTTAGAATAATTAAAGAAATAAGATAATAATACAGAACATATTTACAGAATCTTTTTTATAGGAAAAAATAAAAAACACGCTTTATTATTCTAACAAGTTGAACGTTTGCTTAATACATTGCATAGTATGATATTCTCTCTCTCTCTCTCTCTCTCTCTCTCTCTCTCTCTCTCTCTCTCTCTCTCTCTCTCTCTCTTTCGGTATGTTTCTATCAGANTCTCTCTCTCTCTCTCTCTCTCTCTCTCTCTCTCTCTCTCTCTCTCTCTCTTTCTCTCTCTCTCTCTCTCTCTCTCTCTCTATTTGTTTATTTTGAATATTTTTCACAATGTTTTTCATGTTTTCAAGTAAAATCATACGATGTACGTAAAATAAGGAACGAGTTTCATTACATACATATATGTATGTATAAAAAAAAGAAGTTGATTAGAAATTGTTAAATTGTTGCAGACTTGTACTATTTGAATGAATGAACGAACGAATGAACAAATAAGTGAATAAATAATAAACGCAAGTAAGAACAAACGGCAAGTGTGCACGAGGGAAATATTACATATATAGTTATATGTAATGCCAATCCGTTTGTTTTCTCCGTGAGTATTTAAAAAAGTAAAAAAGAAGGCATTTGCATATCGTGAATAGCAATAAAAAAATATAAAATTTGTAATAATCAAAAACCGATACACTTCCATGTTAATTGTCGAAGTTTGACCAATGAATGAACGAGAATATGCATGTATTATCTAATCTAATAAACTGCGATTTTGCGACATTGGAAAATTGTTAACAACAACAGAATCTTTTACGCGCCATAATAACATTCAAGAAAAAGGCGAATGTCCAAGCAAAAAAATTAAACCAGGTGGAAATAATAGCTAATAGAAGAGCGAGACCAGTGTCGATCTCTTTGACACGGTTCCAGTTGGTCACATCCGTATGTAAATAATCCATAAAATCAAAAATCGCTCCGCAGGAAAGTCTATTGTGAACAACCTGTAGAAAGGACGGAGGTACATACAGTAAATTGCGCGTAAGATAAGTCGGAGATAAGAAAGAGAAAATAAATAGAAATATAATACATATCTTATTGTTAGTTTAGTTAGATTTTCAAGGATAACATTACGGTTTATACCTCAGCTTCATGTCCGGTCGAACCCAAAACTTGTATTAGCCTTTTTCTGTACTGCTCGCAAGTTTTATAGTAACCATCGGTCATTACTACTGCATGAGCCAATGACAAACAACAAAGTAATATAGTAATAAAGACAGCAGGCATCCATTGTTTACACGGAGTTCGTCTTTTAGGTCTGATCGCTACCGTCGTTGTTGTTATCGGTGGTTCATTGCCGTTCAAATGTCTGCGAATGTGAAAACACAATGATTGACTCGAACAACTGTATCGTGAGCGAACGCAATTGTATTCGCACACGGGCAATTTCCATTAATAGATATTTATCTAACGAATTCTATAAATTATAAAAATACATAGAGAGGTGGTTTTTCAACTCCCCCGGTCGAAACGATCAATTCCATTCTCGTTCCTGATCGTACCTGCTAACATCATCGTAAATTCGCACAGGGGTATCTAAACTTCTATTAATACAGCTTCTGTATCCATGATATCCACCAAGGCACAAACCGATCAAAATCGCAGGTATCAAGCCGTATATGCCAAAATGACAGAGCTTTACATCACCTCCCATAAAAGTACTGAAAGTATTAACACCGTACAGTATGCAACCGCAATCGATGCTAATGCAAACATCCAAGATCAATGCCCAGTATTGCCAAACGGTGACCAAACAAATCAACGACGTCACCGACAAAATTGCACAGGAGATATACAACACGCTGAGAATTCGCTCGGCTCTCTCCTCCTTCATTTTATGGATGTATCCTCTTTTCTCTTTCCTTTTATAAGAAACAAATTTTACCTAAGAATTAATATAAATATTGTGAATATATATGAATAACGATATTTCTCTCCTCCGATTTCATTGCTGTATCGATACATTTCAACATAAGTTCTTCACGTGAGCAGAAAGTCTGTTAAAATACGTTTAGCGATCAATGTGTTAAAGTAAACATTTGCACAACTACTACCATTTCCTCTCGGATGCTACTATTTTTATAATAATGATTCATCGACAGTTTTTTAATGTTTATTTTTAAATAATTTATAGAAATAAAATAGAGTAAAACTTAATTACTAATGTACGCGATGATCAGCGTTTGTTACTGAATAAGTAACGGTACAGTCGAACTACGTATACTTTTGGTTTTATCTCTCACTATATAAATGAAATAATCAATAAAATTAATGTTCGTTAACAACTACGGTAGAACAATTGATTCACGCAAGTTCGTAATTAAAATTCCTTATTGCTATTGTCGTATTATGCATGTATTTTTTTGATATATTCGGTCATAGTTATCAAAATCACACTCACATCTATTTTTTCACAATGAGATATTTTTACGGCATGAATTAGATAATGTGTACAATCCCTTACCCTGGTTTAATAAAAGTTTGATGATGACTCTTTCTGAAACTTTGCAGCTCTCTTCAAAAATTATCCAATTCCAAAATATATTTGTCTGCTAAAAATGTCGATTCCAACAACTTTGCTGCAGACTGAAGCTTTCGTATGTCCATAAATACCGCGCGTTTCTTGTTCAAATGAGCCGTGAATTTGCTAATACTCATCGATTCAACACATCTATATGAACGTCAAGGATATATACTGAGCAAAGACCAAATATTTACTTTTTACAATAAATGTTTGCATCATAAAATATTTTTAAAATATTATGTTTGTCTCATAAAATATTTCTAACCGTTGTTAGAGTGATGATCGATTCCAATGCACGATAATGTCAAACAAAAAACAAGTTAAATTTTTGTTTTCGCTTTACTCTTTGTATCTCTGTGGATCTTATCATTATCAATTAGAATTCACATATCTTTATTACGTACGTTCCTAGTGACAGTATTTCCATTTCATGCGATCAAATTTAAGTTCATTTAACTATAAATAAATAATTCGAATAATTGTTTCTTTTCTGAATTTCTTTTCTTTTTGCACTTACACTTTTGTCTATTCTTTTCTTCTCTTTTTTTTCAGTATGTACAAATTAGACCCAAACTTGCATGATCAATGTGAAACGCAAGAATGCCGAGAACATGAAGATAAACTTTGATAAGATTATCGTGCCTTACCGATACATAATAGTAATCCAGGTGTCACAAACTATACAGTCTGTTGGTATCACCGATAGATACAAGTTTAAAATTAGAAACTAACATAAAATATATATGCATATAAATATATATTTATATATTATACATTTATATATATATATTATATATGTTATAATATATTTATATACATATATTTTTTTATTTGGATTTTAGATTGACTTGACTTATTTCATTAAACAGTTATATTCTATCGTCCAACATGAGTTTCTCTATATACAAAACAAATCATTTTCGTTGTAAATTTCTAGTAGGTTGAAATCCTCTTCCTCATATTTCATTTCGATCTGTAAAAAAAAATAAAGAAAGACTTGTAAATATTGGATATATCCAATAACAATTTACGTCATATTAAGCATGCAGTACGTGTTATCAGGGTATTTAAAATGAAACAATTTAATAAAATATATTAGCAGACTTTGATTTAATCAGTTTATTTTTCTGTTCATTATTTCTTTTGTTTTTCCTTCTTTATTTCTTTTAATTTTTTTAGTTTCAATAAATTAATAAAGACAAATTATATAAGTTTCAAGAAGTAGAATACAACAACTAACAACTAACAATTAGTCAATTAACAAAAATGATTAATACAGTAATATTATGAATCTGAGATTATTGAGACAAATTTTTACATAATATACATAAAATCGAATGTTACTTATTTTTTCTTTTATATATTCAAATAGTTTGATATATTGAAAAACAATATCGTTCAATACAAAATTAAAAGAGTTAAGAATTATTTATATACATATTTATATGTATATAAATATGTATATATATAAATATATATTAAAAAGGAAAGACATCTAAAAAATATTTTTTAAATTAGTGTAATAAAAAAACGACTATTTACTGAATTATTGAAGCTATATAGTATTTAAATGAAGAGTATGTAAAATATAAAAAGGTTTAAAATATTTTAATAATTAAATCATTATTATAAATATATTTGAATGTTTTTCACGAAAATAATAAAATCGATCACGTATTCGTAAAAACAATCATTCTTATGTAAATTGTATCAATTATGAAATGCACTCCCTGTATCATTAATACTGTCACGAAATTGAAACACTGTAAGAGAAATATTCAGAGTAGCTAGAGGTTTTGCTGTTACACACACAGTCTTACGCCGGATTTATGTTGCGATGCCTCAATTCCAACAACGTTTCCCGATTACTCCATAGACAGTATATAGACGCTATTCCTAGTCCTATACAACCACCTAATGCACATTTTTTCAAGCCAGCTGAAATAATTAATCGATCATTTACGCAATTTCAATAGAAAGACTTTTATTTAACACTTATTAATGTTACTTAGATGAAACATACTTGTAGATTTGAACAACATGCCTGTCCCAGCTGCTGCTGTTAAAGTGTTTAAAGAATCATCCGTACCCCTGGCCCAAGATAAGAGCACACCAAATCCACTATACATTACAGACACTATTCCAAATGTATTTGCTAATGACGAACCACTTTTCATAACATGGTTGATTAATCTATCATAAATGAACTTATATATAGTTAATTATATTACTTAATAACATTAATATTAATAGATTTTAAAATACACACTGAGTTCTTCTAAGTTTTCCAGTTTGCTCGGCTAAAGACGTTGCTTTAATGCCTCTATATAAACCAGTTGCACCTCCAATACCAGCTCCTATGATACACGCTGCACCAATCTGACTAAAAGCTAGTTCAAATCTTCCTCTTCGTTTTGCAGCTCCTTCCGGAAATATATATTCCGGTTGGCTTGGAGGAAGGTAAGCAGGATCAAAATTTAAATAAGGACTGAGCGGTGCTAACCCTTGTTGTGATGAAACTGGTAAATATATTACAAACATATGTATATACACGTAAACATACATATTGGAATAAATTTATTACATAACAACAAAATAAATCATAACGACATTATATTACAGTTAATATTTTGCTTTCATTTTGTAAAATTACTATGTTAGTTTATTATATCTTGCATCTATCAATCTAATTTATAAAAGTTACAATGTTGGAAATAGACTAGAGATGTAAAAATACCTGTGACAATTTTATTTCATTAATCACGAGATAGATTACTAAAATTCAAAATAAAACTAATACCTTTCCAGGATTTTACAAAATGTTCCATTTTTTCATATCATCTCAAGAATCTAACACTGAAATTGTTTTCTTCGAATATTCATTTGTTTACGCTAATATAACGTATTTCTCACATAATCTTATTCAGAAAAAAGAGCCAGAAATTTCGCAAATATGAAAGCAAATGTTAGATATTTTAAAAATATAATAAAATTCCAACAGAAAGCATAGTACTGGCCCAATTCTATACACACGAATATTTGAGGTTATACAATCGTATTTAATCAATTATATTTATCTGTTACATTATTATTAATCAGTATATTTAATTTTAATTTAATTAAATGTGAATTACACTTCACTAACCAGCATTACAACACAATAAACTGGTTACTTGTAAATTGATAATGTGCATGACTTTATTATTCAACGAATCGTCGACTTCCAACTTACCTGGTATATTTAAATTACCATATTTCCCATTATTTATTGTACTCTTTGAATTCTCATCTCGTAGATCAATCATTTTTTTTATGCTATACTGGTCAAATTTTGGTTTGTTCTGTTATTTCGTAGAATGGATAGAGCTAGAAATCACGTTAGCACGTTTCTTGGCAAAATTAGTTTAAACCATCTACCCTGAACATCGTCGAGAATCGTTTTCTATAGTTCAAATGGAGCGATTAAAGATATAGTAAAATTTTTTTTTATACTTTTAAAAAGAAAAAAGACAGAGAGAGAGAGAGAGAGAGAGAGAGAAGGAAAAGAGAGAGAGAAATTGTAATTGTAAAATATATTCGTGTAATAATTAGAACTGCAGGCTCTATACGCATGTAAAATACTTATAACACAATGAAATAAAAATGTATTATCCTCCTTTCTTTTATTTTACTTTTTCTTATCACAATAACGCATATGTATACTGACTGTCTTACTGTTATTTATTGTTGTAGCGCAGACGACAAATTTATAAATTTGAAACAACCATCGTAACATAAATTTCTTTGTGCTGTAATGAAATTTTAATACGATCGTGCGTTATTTATTAACAATCCCGTTTCAAATAACCTCATGAGTGCACGGTATCGGGCGAACAAAAATTATTTTTCTTTTACATGTCCACGGTAAAAGTTGAAAGAGAAATACACAATTGCATGTAATACACATATCGTTTATTTGTACGTATATACACGTGCATACGTGCGCATGCGTGAAATAAAGACAAAAATTACTTAAAACCAAAAACTTTCTGACCAATCGATCGAGAAAACGCATAATTACTTGTTGAAATTTATTATGGCGATAATATACTCAAAAATTAGAGGCGAAAAGAAATGAACATTTCGATAAAACAGTAGGTGTAAAGAAAGAAAAAAATTGCGATGTGCTTACGATATAAAATATCAATATTGCTACATATCGATAATTTTTATCGAGATGCAGTGTGCTTCGTTCGAGCGACGTAGACACGTGTAATTCGGCGAGTGGCAATGAAACTTGTCAATTATTCGAACTTGAGATCGAAAACATAATTGATCGGAGTTCGGTCGGAGTCAGAGAGATATCGAAACGGGGATATCGATCCCTTTTCTTTCTCTCCTGACGCTTATGGACGCGCGGATACATGTCACCGATGTGGTGCTCGGCAAACCGAGCGAAAAAGTGGAGGGGAAAGGCATTAGAGGCACAAGACGCAAGCGACCTCTGTTGCGGGAATGGTTGTGGGCGCGCATCAAACTATGCGTTGCATTGCTGTTGAAAATGGCGTCGGGCTCGGAGGTGCCAGAATATTCGTCTCCAGCAAAGCGGCGAAAAGTTGACGGCATCGGTTACAACAGTACCAGTTGCGTGAAATCTGATTTACAAGCCTGTCGCACGCCGCACGATACCCCTAATGAAGAACTCGAAGGTATTTTGATAAAAATATGGTCGATTCGCTAATGAAATTTACAAGATTGCAAGATGGCGGTTGTGAAGGCGTCCGTTTTTCTTCCGCGGTTGTGTCGGGTTCGTTCGTTGTTCGATCGGGGACAAGAGCCGCCATGACAGTTTCTGTGTGTGTCGCACATCTAGCCTCAAATCCGTTTCTTTCATTTTGTTCAGCACATGCTATGTTTAGCGATGTTACGAGATCTTTTATTTTGTGATCTAATAAAATTATTTGTTAATTGAATTGTTTCCAACTGCTCTCCCAAAAACACATCTTTTATGGAAACGGCCGTAAGTGAGAATTCACTCGGCGAAAATAGAAAAACTAGTATATAAATACAGTATAAAGCTGCGTTTGTATCTGTATGTGTATATATGTGTGTGTGTATATATAGAAAGTGTATTCGACGAGCGTTCACAGATGGCATGATAGACGATTTCGTTATGCACGACCCATAAACGATGGGTATGCGCTTTTCTATACAATTTAACAGTATCCCGCCAATTTTCGAATGTCTCCAAAATAATTTTGTTATCAATAAATTTTTATTTTTATTTACACAAGCATATTTACTTTTATATTCATATTATTACGTTTGATAAGTCGAAAAAAATATACAATGAAATTAATTTTTATTAAATTTTACTTTTTGTAATTAATGCAAAGGCAGACAGAAAGTCAAAAAAAGAAATAGTAAGAAAAAAAAAATGCTCTTCTACTGTTTTATTGTTTGCATAATGCTATTACAGAGACATATGGTGGAGATAGTGGATTCAACGAATTAAGCGATGAATCCAAATCAGCATCTATCTCACCAGATGCCACAAATTTAATGGTAACTCCATCGAGAATTGACTCGACTAGTGATGACACTGGTTGTCCGTAAGTTTCATTCGTACAAACACATCCATATTCCATATTTAGATTTCGTTGTAATTAACTGTTGAAATTATATTAATCATAATGACAAGTACATAACATCTTATCAGTATTAAATTTTTGTAACAACTAAAAATTTTGTATAATATTCCAGAATTGATACGGCAGATGAAAAGGATGAAGTATCATCAACTGTTTCAAATTTATCTGATTTATCAGGACTTTCTGACTTCTCTGGAGAAGGAGATATTAATCATCATTGGAGAAATGCATCCTCGTGGGTTCAAAAACAAATGTTGATAGGTGCTGATCCTCGAGATCTTTTACATCACCTTCTTATGGATTCTACCCAGATTCCTGAACAGGTTGACGACCTGACTTTATGGAAGGTGTGCATAAAGAAATTTAATGCCATAGTATACACTGTAAATGTCAGTCTTGGATTCATGTTATCTAATATTTTATTTGGCTTTATTTCAGATTATAATAAATATGATGTCGGAACCACCACGACGACAAAAATTGAGGCATATAAATACCTTAACAGATGTTGTCAGATTGATACGCAATAGTAACAAAATAATAGTATTAACGGGTGCAGGAGTAAGTGTCAGTTGCGGGATTCCTGATTTTAGAAGCAGAGATGGTATTTATTCAAGATTGGCACAAGACTTTCCAGATTTACCAGATCCACAGGTGATACAATAATAAAATATATCGTACTGCATATATGTAATAAAATACAAATTTTATTAATTTTTTCTTCTACATTAATTATTATTTTCTTTTCATTAGGCCATGTTTGATATTAACTATTTTGGTCAAGATCCGAGACCATTTTATAAATTCGCGCGAGAAATTTATCCTGGACAATTTAAACCTAGCCCGTGTCACAGGTTTATAAAAATGCTTGACAAGCAGAAGAAACTTTTAAGAAATTATTCGCAAAATATTGATACATTGGAACAAGTAGCAGGCATTGTGAATGTTATTGAATGCCATGGTGAGTGACATATGATTAGGGGTGTGCGGGTACCCGAAATCACGGGTATCCGACTAGTCGAGTCGAGCTTTAGAAGTTAGGGCGGACTTGATCGAGTTCCCGATTTACATGAACTTTTGAGCTACTCGACAGGCTTTCGGATAGCTCGATTTTATCGGACTTCCAGCCCGATAATTTCGGGTTACATGGAAAAAATATGAGTGAACGGTTCGCGACATTTTTATTATTATATTACGATTTTCGGTAATTTATATTACGATTACGTATTATTATATTACGATTACGAAAATCGGTATTATACCATAATATGACAGGCGAAGTTCAAATTACAAATGTTTCTGAACATATTAAAATAAATTTATTTTAAATTGATATTCAAGAAATATAATTCTTCTTCTTGCTGTCGGCAATAATTTTGATCTTATCTTGAAGTTCAGAAACATTTGTAATTTGTATTTCGCCTGTCATATTATATAATACCGACTTTGAAATCGTAATATAATAGTAAGCATGTCGCGAACCGCTCATTATATTTTTTCTATATAACCCGAAATTATTGGACAGTCTAATAAAATCGAGCTACCCGAAACTATCGGGTAGCTCGAAAGTTCATGTGGATCCCGCCCGAGTCCGCCGGGTTTTTTCGGGCTTGCCCAAGCCCGTAATATCGAGTGCCCGACACACTCCTACATATGATATATAAATACTCAAACACATACGTACATGTATACATATACTTGCAAACAAAAATTTGTTTGACGCTTTGGAATTAAAATAAATTTTTCATAATATTCAAGGATCTTTTGCTACCGCATCTTGTACGAGATGTAAATATCAAGTGAAGGCTGATGACATTAGAGAAGACATATTTTCCCAGAGAATTCCGTTGTGTCCAAAATGTCGAGTGAATACTTTGCCTCCCATCTCGGAGATTAATCTTAATGAAAATTACAAAGGTAATTATAATTAATAGTGAACACTGATAACATTTACTGATATTGTTATGTGATCTGTGGTCATTTTGTAGTTTTTCATTGCTAATTTCTCTGTGGTATGGAAAATTAGCTACCTAGTGATAGTTTTTGCTATTAGTCTTTCCTATAGCGCGTCGCGAGTCGGTGGCCATGAGAGAACATTATCTACTCTTTACGGAATACGTCTTCGCTAAATGATGTTGCCATTTACTCTGATCTACGCATAAGTTGATACATCAATTGTAACTACGAGTAAAACCTTGGCTTGTTTATAAGCATATAAGGTAAACTTTTAAAAGTTGCATCAAGTTACCCGTGCGTGCTGTTTAGCCAGATTTGCGGGGTACAGTTTACAATACGCCGTTGAAACAATTTCTGAAACTAAAAATACGATCCATGTTTATGATCGAATAAAACAGACAGCGCAATCTGCTACGGCTAACGGAAATGTTAGTAATAGGGATAATTTTCATTAGAAATTTTTATAATTTACAGATTTAGTGACACAGGGTATAATGAAACCAGACATTGTTTTCTTTGGCGAAGGACTTCCGGACGCTTTTCACGATGCAATGGCCAAAGATAAAGACGAATGTGATCTTTTAATTGTAATCGGATCGTCGTTGAAGGTCCGACCAGTAGCATTAATACCTTCCTCTATTCCGTCTCACGTTCCACAAATTCTCATTAATCGTGAATCGTTGCCGCATCTGAAATTTGACGTAGAACTTTTGGGAGATGGAGACATTATTATAAACCAACTGTGTCACTTGTAAGTAATAATTATCAGTGATTGCTGAAATATGTATAGAAGAGAATGTTATATCATATCATGTGTCTACATAGAATGGAGAACAGCTACAAAGAAGTATGCTGGACCGATACAATCCTCAAGGAA